AGGAAGTATATATAGTTATGTTATTCTCCTAATCACATATTTAGAAATAGAGGGAGTATATAGCGAAAACGTGCCCATCTCGATCACAAACGATGCATGTGCCCATCTCGATCGGTCCATATATATGTACATCTACAGGACGTACCGTCGCTTCACACACGGCCGTGTATACGAGGAGATCAGCTAGCATATGCATGGGTTTTTAAAATTATTTTTGAACCGTTTTAATTTATAAAAATGAACTCTCTTAAAACCTATTTCCAATTCTGATGTGACAACTGACAACAATGTCTACCACACGAAATGATTTTCAGGCCGTAAGGCGTAGCACCATTGTCCCTCAACACTAGTTGGGTCGTCCTAATTTGAATTGCATGAACGAGAAAAACTAATGAATAGGATAAAAAGGAGGGGGATTTTTTAAGAGGATTTTAAGTGTAAAACAGAGGTTTGTAAAATATAGGAAAACACAGGAATAATCTTTTGGTTAAACCACACGAAAAAGTAGAAATCGGATGAGAGATAGATTCAAAAGAATTTTTTCAAGATATTGGACCTCTTGCTAACTTTTCTCCAAAATCTTTATAGGATCGATTATCAATTATTTGTTTCAATGGCTCTCATCGAATTATTTTTCCACTGAATTAAAATCCTTCGAAATTCCTATAGTTTTCAAACAATTCAAAAAGGCCCTTACATATTGGCAACCAAGGATCTAGCTACTTGAATGGGAGTGGATCAATATTGGATCGATAAAGATTGTCTGCTGATTTTGGAGCTATAATTTTATAATTCACAATCATTTGCCATACAGTAAATTAACTATACCCACAGACGTCGTTGTACGGCCGGCGGCCAGGGTCTCGATGCCGTACTACTGGAGCCAGCAACGACGACGATGACGGGATGATCGTGGTGTCATGAAAATCGACGGAATATATAGTACTACGACAGAACAGATAGACAAACGGTACGTGTCACCACGCGGGAGAGAGAAGACATGTTAACAGATCACTGTCAATATGGTACAATTTTGATAATCTTGATATATATACTCCCTCGATCCGTCCCTTGAACGGCGTTGATTTTTTTAAAATATTTGGCTGTTCGTTTTATTCAAAAAATTTAAGTAATTATTAATTTGAGTATTTATCTATCATTTGATTCATTATTAAATATACTTTTATGTGTACATATAGTTTTACATATTTCACAAGAGTTTTTGAATAAGACGAATATGTTTAAAAAAGTTAACGGCGTCAAATATTTAGAGACGGAGGGAGTATATAAGCGCAAGTGAACAAACACGCGACAATAATCAATAGCAACTGCTTCAGCCGCTCACTAGGGCATCGCCGTCAAGGCAATGACCGGCGAGGCATAGTGTCTCCCAGTGTACAGAGCCAAGATGGCCGGCAAACCGCATGTTCGGTTAGCAAACAAATGAAGGAGCTTGCAACCACACAGACCTCATCTATCGACTGTACTGTCCTAGCTCCCTATCGCCAGGATATATCGATATAATCGACGGATTTTTCATACAAGATATCATAAGATCGCATATCAATAATCCCCTCTAATTCAGTTTGTAGCAGAGGCAAAAGTAGGAAAAAAGAAAAAATAATAAATAAACGTAGCCTAAATACCTGGTTACCTATGTGATACTCTTGAAAACACAAAAATGATACCTTTTATTATTAAGAATAGTTTAAATTATTATATTTTAAGACGAAACGACTAACGGGTAAGTGTCGCTGAAAGCCTAGACATGCATGCCATCGACAAAAAGAGATACTATGCGAAGCTAATCACGTATTGGATGAGAACATGCGGACACAGTAACAATTAATGAAAGATCGCCCGATAGTTAGGTACTTCAATTTTCACAGTAACCATCATTTTTTTTTCATGCTCCAATTTTGAAGAATCAAGTACTATATGCTCTTTTCAAGGCTAAGGTGTACTATGTACTGTACTAACAAACTGTTTTCACGGACCACAATAATTAAGAGCAGTTGTCTGATTTCTACCGACAAAACTAACTGCATTATTCATCTCCTATAACTTTATTGGCTGTTTTGTTTCCTTGCACCAATCACAAGCTGTTACGTTATCATTTTGACAAACACTGGATGTAAAAGGGGAAAGTCAATATTAATCTTTCCTCAAAAGAAGCGTCCCCTCACTGCTGGAAAACCCATCTCCGCTCCCGGTTCATAACCCCCTTAATCTCGGGTACATAACCGGGACCGAAAATTCAAGACTAAAAATATCCATCTTTAGTCCCGATTGAAATAATCGGGACTAAAGATCCATTCCCGGTTGGTGTTGATGGTAGCACCACGTGGCACGAGCTATCATCTTTAGTCTTTTTTTTTCGTTGTTTTTTTTTGTTGTTTGCATATTGATTTCTTACCAAACTCCACAATAGAGTCATCAACATTCACATAAACATCACAAAATCATCCACAGTCATAAAAATCATCCACATTCATAGTCACATTCACATCACAAATTTACAAATTCAAAACATCACAAATCAACAAATTCATAGATAAATCAACCAAATCTAACACTTAAATCAACCGGGACCCCATCTTCTCGCGCCACCTCCCTCCACCGCCGCGTCGTCGTGGGGCTGCCGCCACCGCCGCTCGCTCGCTCCCTCTGCTGTTGCGAGAAAAAGTGAAGGAGAGGATAAGAGAGGAAAGAGAGTGGAGAGAGGAGGAAAGGGAGGAGGGAGTGTTTGCTATCGAGGAAGAGAGAGAATAAGTGCGATGAATTATATACGAAGTGTTGAATTTTAGTCCTGGTTGATAATACCAACCGGGACTAAAAATAGTAATAGGACATACGCTTTTTGAACCGGGACTAAAAATGATCTTAACACCGATTGGGATTAAAGATCATAAAAGTGGCGTTGGCTTTATAACCAGGAAAAAAAATGTTTAGTCCCAGTTCTAATGTTGTTTTTGGCCAATCCAGTAAAGATGGTTTTTAGTGTCTCGATCACTTTGCGTTTCTGTGCCCTGGATGGATTAATTAATATAATTGATTAATCTCAGCTATAGCTGCTTCATAGAGTGAGATAGACGTCGTACTGTACGTCTGAACCGGGCCAAAAACGGCATCCAGTAGTTCTGATCGCCTTCATACTCTGCAGTGGAAAGTACTTGCATATTGTCATTTTTAGATGGAGCCATCAGCTATACATGCATTCATGGCCTCTTGCTAATTATGCTACTTTGGACTAGATAGCGATCGATCGATGTTACTACTCCAGTCACCAGACTCCAGAGGTCGTACATGCGGCCAATAATTAATGTAGCTAACAAATACTGTACTAAGCAAATATAGGACCAGAGAGTGAGAGGTTTGAAATTCAAGTGTGTGACCAAGGAGACGCGCCAAATTAATTAGCTCCGATCGAGTGACTACTGACTACCCCATCATAAGCAAAATTTTGTATTTTAAGTTTTTCTCTGTTTACTTTAAAATCGCTAAAACTATGTATATAAAAGTTCTACATATAAATTATTTCCTAATCATTAATAAGCCTCTTCGTTAATTCCGACATGATCCCATGATGATCTACACTAGTAGAGAGAAGGTTTTTCCGGATGGCCGAAAGGCATTTTCGCGTACAGTTGGGTGGCCCATCTATCTAAAAGATCACCATTTTTCACGTACGTGCACGAATCAATATTTGCGTGCGGTTTGTGAACTGGTCTTCGGGAGATCGGTTTTTTCAGACGTGATCACTTATGGTCTGTCTGAAATCTAGTGGTTTGTTTGTTTAGAAAAATCATTTATTTAGTATTGTGAATTGGAACATATATATAGATAAGCATATCGATCGTCATCCTAGGACCACCAATTAATAGGATCAACCGCGACTAGATCTTTGTGCACCAGAGACAGTAGAGTACAGCCATTTTAGTTACAACCGCATATGTTCTTCTGCTACCATACCTACGGGCCTTGCGTTTTGGCTAGCAGATTTTGCACTCATATACTATATTTTATAGGTACATTAATACTAAGAAAAGCTAATAAATCTCTCATATTATATTTACTCTAGCAACAAACTCGATGCATGCACCATCTCCACTATTTCTTAGCCAATAACAAATTAAGATATTGCATGTGGGTTATAAATACTTGTGTGATGCATGCATCAATGTCCATTTACTCCAATGCACAAATAGCGAATAAACTTAATGAATGAACACAAATATGTAGATCATTTAGAAATAACCTAAAAAAATTATATGTAAATTAATTTAGAATGGAGGGAGTATATATACGACAAACCTGTGTTATGGCGATATATTGGTTAACCTCAGGAGACACATGTAGTACTCCATCCATATTAAAATATACTAGCTATTTTTATTGATTACATATTGTCTCAAAACATATATGGCAACATCTGACATATACCCCTTCTCTCAACCAATCACAATCATATATATATCTCATTTAATTTCTTCACCTATTTTCTCATCTCAACCAATTACACCTATTATTTCAATTACGCCAACAGAATACATCCATTTTAACTACCACTAGTTGTGGCGTTATGCTAGTTCCAGATTTTCGTTACGAAGAACTTAATTACTTATAACAGGAGCTGTTAAACTTAAAGTTATCAAGTACAAGTACTATGTATATCGGAGTAATTAAAAGTGAGGGCGATCTGCTCTCCCCACTGCGCTCCGCCCGTTTTTGGCACGGCGTGTTCGTTTCCGCGGCTATCCACGTCATCCGAATCTGGTCCTAGCAATTTTGCAAAAAAGTACTCGCTTAACATGATAATATTTATGAGGTCCCTCAATGTAAGTTTACTGTCTTATGTATTCTTACGTAAAGGCCCTCTGTGTCTTAGTATATTCTACGTGAAGGAGACGATATTCCGAATATAGGGACTGCGCTTTGAAAGAAGGAAAATAAGGGGGTTTTCTGCGAAAGGAGAAAATCTCTATCCCCCTCCTTTCCCCGAAACCCTAGCCAACACTGTTCCCCCAACCCTCTCTTCCTCTCTCGCTCTCTCCCCTGCCCTTGCGACGGCGCCGCCCTGTGTTCTCCTCGCCGCCAACGGCCTCACCGCCGCCGCCGCCGCCTTTGTTCCCTTCCCTGCTTCTCCTTGCCGACGACGGCCTCCCCCTCCCCAATCTGGTGCTAGCTAGGGATGGGATCGAGGAGGGAGGCGGCAGGGAACGTAGCAGCGAGAGGCGTCAGTGGGCCGCGAGGCTTGCGCCGCGAGCCCCCATAGCCGGGGGAGAGAAGGGCGCTAGGAAGGGGAGCAGGCGGCAGGGAGAGCGAGGGAGGAGGAAGGGTGGCGTGGGAGCAGTCCTTTCAAGGCACTCAAGACAGCGCCAGCTATGTCCGGTGACGGTGTGCTCTGTCTCGACGGCCGGGGCTCGAGGTCGGTGGCGAGGCAGTCCGATGGATTTGCATCTCAGGTAAACAATGCCACTTCCCCTGCTCTCTTTGTTTTCTCCTGTTTCTTACAGGGTTTGTGGAGAGTAGTCGATCTAGAAGAAATCTTATCCCGCCGTTGCATCTTGTGCTGACAAATGGATCATGACAGGGGTCAGGATGGATGGATTTATTGCAGAACGGATCCATCAATATATTTGCCGTCACCTTCATGCATTCCTCTGTGATTAGGAATGGAGATCTGAGAGTTGATACTATTTGTTGCGTACTAAGCTCTATATGGGGAAATTTTGCAAATTTTTTGGTGCAGAAAACATGAGCAGAAGGAGATATTGGATGACTGACGAACTCACTTCGTTGCCGAAGTAACATTATTTGATCTCTTCAGGTTCTCTCCCCTCTATCATTCTACCATTTATTCTTTGCTATTTTGTTAGGCTATCTAGCAGTAAAAATTTGTGCCCTTTTATAATTTCCTCAAAATGCTGGAAACTCCTATTCTGATTCTCTGCTGTTTCAGTGGCAATAATAGATCTGGGTTTGGCAAAGTTCCATTTTCTACTATTTGTTGGTGAAAAAATGAGGCTACCATTCTCCTCCTGCAAAATAAATCAGGGTAGCGATGCAGTCTATATATAAATAAGTGTATGCTTCCCATATTCCAATCCTTGTGACCTAGATAATGCCAAACAAATTCATCGTCATTTTCTCATGCAATATATTGCCATCACCTCCGTGCAGCATGTCGATTTCTATACAAAGGCATGACACGAGACATTATTTAGTGGCCTCTGTAAATTCAAATGATGTTAATTTCTGAGTTCAGTAAAACATGTAGCAGTTCATCTCTTATGCTGAAGAAAGATACCAGTTTTACTATGTCAGCTGTTGGTTTGTTTAGGTGGGTTTGCACGCGGTGTACTCAATCCTGAATGTTTAGGTTACTGATGAGATGCCATGTATATTGGTAATTTTGTGTCACAATTTCAGATTTCAGAACCGTGTCAGTACAAAAATCAGCTAAAAATGGTGAGTACCATATTAGTGAAACAATTCACTGTCAGTTCTTTGTGTTAAGCAAATCAAATACCGTTATTGCCAGAATGCAAATTACAACAGTTCTAGCTTCCATCTCAAAATATGGGTGCTTGCAGAGTTGTTTCATTGGTTTACCCTTAGTACTATTATCTTGGTGCTCATATCTTCTATGCAACAAAAAATTGTTCTAAACTCTATGTAATTGTAGATGTGATATATAATCATTTTCATGTATTTTTTTAAAATTACGTAGTTTCTTAATTTATCAAATGATAGGGCTCCACGAAGCACAAAAAAGGTAAATACTGAAAGATAAGTTCTGTGCACTTTGAGTTTTATTTTCTTTCTTGGAACTCAGGACTTCTGATGATGATAGATTGATAGCTCTATTTTATTCATTCATGCATATTTGCTTCATATTGTTCTTGATTCAGTAGCTAGGCTGGTTGAGAGGGATAATTGATAAATTGTATTTCCTATCTTCTGAGATTTCTTCTAACCGTGCATGTCAGCTAAAACTATGGCATAAAATCCATATTGCAAGTATGGAGCTGGTGAGGTGCTTGACTGATGGGGAGACATTGTGAGGTGCTCGGCGCTGTCGGCAAGCCTTTGCTGGTCATTAGGCCAACAAGGTGTATTGCAGTGGCAGAGCAAGCCAGCCTGAAAATTGCCTCCAGATTTGCTGCAGCGGCAGAGCAAGCCTGAAAATTGCCTCCAAATTTGCTCTTTACATGGTGATAAAATTAGGCTATAATGGTTGTATTTTTTAGGTTGAACTGCAAACATATCATTGTTGGTATGACTGCATGGATAATTTTGTTAACGGATGTGCTATGGTTCACACGTGCAGATGTCTGTGGCCCTTCTTCCTCGGACATTATTTTTATTATCATCATCTAGGTTAGGATAGAGGGCTTTTAAAAGAAAATACTCTCTTATTTGGTACGCAAAATCCTACAGATCTGAATGCTCTTTTATTTCATATGTAGTGCTTCCTGAATCGTTTGTATAATTGTATTTCCATAGAGCTAGACCCTTTCGTCTCAATTATTTGTTTCTTTTCATGTATGAACATTCTTTTTTTCGATTGCCAAACCAGGTTGTTTGCCTGATAAATGATAATGTAACAATGGTAACAGTAAGTTAAAAAAAAGGATGATGATCAGTTTGATGCATTGCTATGTATTATCCAGAAAATCGGAAGCTATTGATCGCATTGGAGGGCAACATGCCCTATATAAGATATTTGGACTGTGTTATTTTGACATAGGCATTGTTAGCATATAGCAAGACTGTTAGATTTTCTGTGTACATACTGTCATATTTTGTCTATACTTGTGTTGTTTGTACTACTCTATTAGTCAGCTACTCTACAATAGTGCAATTAATGTGACAGTTCAATTTTTGGTTGGGATAAATTTTAAAGACAATGAAGTAGGACATCCATATCTACTCAAGTAGCATGTTTGGTTAGTTCTTACTATTTCAATATATGTATCGCTTTTGATTTTTTTAGTGTTAATGAGGTTCTTGCTTGACAGGTATTTTTCCTTGAAAAATTTTTAGTGTTAATGAGGTTCTTGCTTGACTGGTATTTTTCCTTGAAAATTATCCTGGTCGATCAATTGAACGGTTTGTTGCCAAACCTAGAAACGATTTAGTTCATCACAAATGGTTTCAGATACGGTAAGTGACAAAAGGGTTCCACTTACCTGGCATTTTTCTTTGAAGAATATCTTAGCTGATCAATTGACCCTTACTGCTACCTAATCCAGAAATAATTTAGTTTAATAGAGATGTTTTAGGAAAGTCTATTCGGTTAATGCCTTTGTGGTGATCAATTGACCTTTTGAGCTTTGTTATAGACAATGAACAGGTGCCCTCTATAATGCCATTAGTGTGCCGTGAAACGTGCCAAATATATGTCCCCCTTTCTTTTGCTGACAACCCTTGAAACACTACCAGAAACATGTTGGTTCCTATAACGTTTGATCTTGCTTTACATGCTTTCACGTTTACTCATATAAGTTCCAATTTTACATTGTCCAAAACAAACGGTAGGGCGCCGCGAAGCGGGGTACCCCTAATGGGCGATCGATCGCCGTGGGGATGGGGTAGCGATCAGATTCGCTCCCCACCTCCCCCCTCTCTTCCTTCACCTGGTTTTCTTTTTTGGCATCGCATTACTTTCCTATTTTAGTAAATTTATGCACCTAAAGTTTATACACCTTAAGTTTACACATCTAAAGTTTAGAGACTAAAAGGTTATAAGTCAAAAGTTTATATATCCGATTCAAATTTGAATTTGAATTCAAATATTTTTTATATATAGTATTTCTATACATCTAAAGTTTATAGATCTAAAGTTTATAGACCTAAAGTTTATATATCCGATTTCAATTTTGAATTTGAATTATATCTGATTCAAATTTGAATTTGAATTCAAATATTCGATTCAAATTTGAATTTGAATTCAAATATTTTTCATATATAGTATTTCTATACATCTAAAGTTTATACACCTAAAGTTTATAGACCTAAAGTTTATATATCCGATTTAAAATTTGAATTTAAATTATATCTTATTTAAATTTGAATTTGAATTCAAATATCCGATTCAAATTTGAATTTGAATATATATGTAGGACGAGCTATGGGCCTCACATTCTCCGTTCCTTGATCCGAAGTAACGTACGTTTTAACCCCTAGTTAACTTGGGGACCATGAATGAATAGTGTGGACTTGACTTGAATAATTTGGCGTATGCGAGACCGTCTCGATCACAGACGATCAGGTAGATCGAAAAAGTTGGAGAGCCGTCGGAATCGATCCATCGGTTGATCATATCGGTCCTTACCAAAAAGATATCAAAACTTTTAATATAAATTTACTACTTTTGGTTACGAGACATCAAATTTACGCTAAAAAAATCAGTACAAAACTTACCAGAAGCTCTAAAATCCCTACTATTATAAAAATTGAAGATGTTTTTATCGGTACTTTGATAAGTCATCCGTGTATGAATCGGTTTTTAAGTTCGATCGTTTTTATAAATACATATCCGTATTTGAGATGGTTTTTAAGTTCGTTCATTTTTGTAAATATAGAAAGAGTTGTATAAGAATTCCCTTTATAAAAAGCTCGCATGCTAACTTAAAACGATCGGACTTGTAATTGCAACTCATGATTTTCTAAAAATTAAAAAATATATATATATCCAAGTGAATTCCCACAGTGAATTTTATCTTAACTAGACCGTATAACAACAATAAAATTAGGGGGCTGCTATATAATGGAATCCCGTTTTCGAACGGGATGATCCCGAGTAGGTATCAGGTGTGATACCTATCAGGTATCAGACGATTCTACACAACAGGATGATCCCGAGTAGGTATCAGCTGTGATACCTATCAGGTATCAGACGATTCTACACACGTTTCAGGTGATACTTGCAAGTATCATGTGATACTTATCAGGTATCATGCGATTTCTATCACGTATCGCGTGATACTCGCGAGGTATCATGTGAAACCTGTCAGGTATCAGACGATTTCAACCACGTATCGCGTGATACTCACGAAGTATCATGCGATACCTGTTATGTATCAGACGATTTCTACCACGTATCGCGTGATACTCACAAGGTATCATGTGATACTTGTCAGGTATCAGACGATTTCTACCATGTATCGCGTGATACTTGTGAGGTATCAGGTGATTCCTACTAGATATAGCTGAGCATCCTGTTGGGGGAGGAGCATCCCGACACACGCGGTCGGTCCCCTGCAGCCGTCCCTTGTAGACGAGGATGGCGACGGCGGCGGCGGGGGACGGGCGCGGCGGCGGCGGGGGGCAATGACGGCGGCGGTGGGGGATAGGCGCGGTGGCAGCGGGGGGACAACAACGGCGGCGGTGGGGGATAGGCGCGGCGGCGGACGGGCGCGGTTGCGGCGGCGGCGGAGGCGACAGGGGACGAAGCGGCAGCAGCGGGGGTGGCGACGGCGGCGAGTGAGCAGGCCTGGTGCGTGTATGGATAAGAATCGCGTTGTGGAGGAGGAGCTATCCCATCCCCTAGTATTTCCGTAAAATTAAAATAGCCTTCACCCGTTACAATGCATCGTGCACGGGCATTTTTCCTAGTAACTCATATAGATGTATCTGAAGGAGACAACACCGTGGTCGCTTCACACACGGCTGTGTATATGCATGTTCCGATGAGCTAGGAGATCGATCGATCGGCTAGCTGGTAGCTCTAGCTAGCTAGCAATCGTCGTCTCGTCATGGCGTACGACCAACCTTGCGTCTCGATCGATCGCCGTCGCCGTCGCCGTACGTACGTCACTGTTGCAACGGGTGGACACGGTTGGTCTGCAGCCCTTCCGGCCGCGGCCAACCGGTGGTCCGGGGCCGTGCACACCGATCGATCGACGACGTCGTTGGACGGCTCGGCGGCGGACTCTCGGTCGACCTCGTGCTGCTAGCTGGAGTACTGGAGCCGGCGACGACGACGACGCAATTAGTGAACGGTCATGAAAACCGGCGGCCGCACGGCATGTAGGACGACTCCGACGTCGGCGGCGGCGGCCGCCGGCGGATGGGGCTAAGCGCGCGAGCACCACAAACGATGTCGTTCTTGACCAGTGTTTACTACTACTTTGGTGCGCACGCATAAATATACCTATTCGGACAAAGTAAACGTAGCTTAATTGGTTAGCTTTCTTATGATGTAATGTGTGTGCTTATCTTGAAGATCCATGCAAGATCCATGCAATGAAGCCTATCCACTCAAGTTTCCTGAGGTGGAACATACTCGCATCCCATTTAGCGGCTCGGGTTGAAGTCTATGTAACGAAGCCTATCCACTCAAGCTTGTTGAGGTGGAACATATAAGCTCGCATTTAGCGTTAATTATTCTTTCAGTAACTGATGACGTACCCGTTAATGGTGGATCCCTCCGTTGGACAGGGGTGAGTCGACCAACCCAACTAAAAGCTCCATGCTACCATACACCCTAGACCTACCTAATCCTTCTAGGTCTAGCCCATTGCTTGAGCCAGTCGACAGGGCTTCTCTGTCAAGCCATTGATCGGCGAGGCGTAGTGTCTTCCTGCATAGGAAGCCTAGCTAAACTGCCGCATTCAACTTGCAATCCATAGACCTCGTCACCACCGGTCGTACTACAAGTCTACAACTCCCTAGCTATCGCTATGATCGTCATGATGGCCAGGTTAACGTTGTTCATACAAGATGTTAACACATTTATTAATAATTCTCCATTATTTGGTTATATGTCAACAATTGAGGTCGAAAATGTAAACCGTTTTGTTTATTAAAAAAGATCAACAATTAATCATCCATGCCTCAGGAGAAAAGACAGTACTTTGAGGCGTGGTATCTTCCAGCATAAGAGCCTAGCAAACCCTGAAAATGCACGGCTGCATCTCTGAATATGAAACCATGGAAAGCTTACAAAAAAAACAAGCATTCGAGTTAACAAGTGGCTGAGAGCACAAGCTTTGATATATTACTAATCCGCGATTTTTCTATCCTTTGCGTGGAATATACGGATTTTCTAAAGGCCTCCACGTAAAATATCATCTCACAGAGTCACAGGTACTGTTCACGTGGGACTTAGATCGAATTCCGCAAAAACCAGAGGGCACAGCGCCGTTGGTCGCCTGAGGCGCCGGCCTTGAAGAGTAAATGAGCACAAGCCATTGTAGAAGCTTATCATTGTGGCCGAGATTAGTTCCAAACTTTTTCTTTAAACTTTAAACTTTTCCATCACATCAAATTTTTTCTACACATACAAACTTTTAACTTTTCCGTCACATCGTTCCAATTTCAACCAAATTTTTAATTTTGGCGTAAACTAAACACTCCCTGTGTTGACAAGTGGCTGAGAGATTAGCTTGACGCAATTGACGATAACAGATACAGGACGCAGCTATTCAAGTTTTGAAATAAAGCACAAAAAAAGCACAGGCAAACACAGTGACCATGAAAGATCGCCTAACAGTTGGGTGCTTCGTTTTTTTGCATGCTCCAACCAAGCAAGCATCCACGATATGATGAATCAAGTACCATATGCTCCTTTCAAGGCTAATGTACACTGACAAATTTTCTTCAGAGACCACAGTGATTAATAGCAGTAGTCTGGTTTCTTCCTAGATACTCCCTCTATTGTGTTTCACAATGTAAGTCATTCTAGCATTTCCCACATTCATATCGATGTTAATGAATCTAGATAGATTACATTGTGAAACGGGGGAAGTAACTTAATTGGCTATTTCCATATTTCCTTTTTCTCGCATCAATCACCAGCAGTTACATTATCCTTTTGGCAAACATTGGATTTGGGGCAAACTGGAGATACACTGCCAGCTCATTCTCCTTATTTTTACTAGTAACAGCTTAGGATTAAGAACAAACTGAAGAAACACTGCAGTATTGTCAGAAAACGTAGCAGAAACAAAGGATTGCGACAACACAAGGTCATTGACTGAGCCCAAAGCCCTCGACTAAGAAGAAATACAGGGATTCATCCATCAGTTGGGGTGGGGTTTGAAGGGCTAGGCATAGCGAGTAGCTATGAACAGTGCAGGATTTACAGTAGTACAGACTATTTGTTTGTTCTAGACTTTGCCCTCCCAGAGGCACTCAAGGGAGGGACCATTGTTATTGTGATTGCCTGCATGAGTATTGTTCAGTAAGAGATCCCTGAGATGAGGTGGTGGGTGAAGACCCATGGCAGAAGCACGTTCCCAACGCTGAAGACGAGTAACGCCAATGCAAGGGCCAAACTTCATGTCCATATCAAACAGTCGCAACTGCTCCTCTTGCTCACTGAAATCATCTGCATGGACCATCATGATGAAAAAAAAAACTTGGGATCTCTAAAAACTTGGTTATTCTGAATTATGAATACCACAGTAAGTACCTTTAAGATCTAGGTTACCATGAGAAATTAGTGCTGATGTCTGAGCAGTGTCTGAGGCCCCAACAGAGGCCCCTCCAGTGTAATGCTGTGTTTTCTTCTTGGAAGATGACGATGCTTTGGTGGGACCTCCTTTCTTCTTCTGCCGGTAAAAGTCCTTCATGCCACCAGAAGCCATATCTGTCTATTCTTCAGTTCTACCAATGTTTTCCTGGAAGTCTTTCCAAGAGAAATTTCAACTTTGACTTATGGATTTGGTTTACATACTTTCAAATATGTTCAAAACAATAGCATAAATGAACTATAGTAAGTATACAATACAAAACATGGGAACATCAGAAGTGAGAAACCTATAGGTTCATACTCCAATTCATGACCACTCAACTGCAGTTCTTAACAAAAGGAAACCCCAATCAACACTCCTCATAAACTCAAGGACAAAGCAGCAAAAACATGGTAAGCAACACATATTGCAAGATCCAGCAACACAAGAATCAATCTGTGCAGCCCATTTATATGCAAGTATGAGACTCTGTTCTCATGGGCTTTCAGCTTAAAAAGCTGCACCGATCTGTTGATCGATCTTTGATCCAAACAAAAAAAATGCCAAAAGGCTGCAATACATCTACCCAGCCATTTTCCCCGTGAAAAAAACAACTGCAAGGCTCATTGCAAATAGTCAGCTTACCCACAATCAGACAAGCAGATGTCAACTGATCAAACCATCATACATTATTGGAACATAATAATAACAACAAAATAGGAATCCGCCTGATGGAAATATGCAATGCACACAACACTGTAGACGTGGGAGCTCCCCGCAAGCGCGCATTGTCAATACTCAATAGTAAACAAACCAAGCAGAAAATTGGAACCCAACTATGTCCACAGAATGAATTCAATCCCAAATTGGTTTGTAGAACCTCACTGCCCGCCGAGTCAACCATTGTGAACATCACTACAGAAACTACTGTGCCAGAACAAATTGGCTCGCTGTTTCAGTGATCGAGACTACACCATCCTTGCAGACCAGTATGAAACATGTTCCACATTGAAATTCAGAGCAGACTAACAGCAATGGACCAAGACTCGACCATGGGCCGTGTCCATGATCCCAATCACGCCAGTACACAAGACAGATGTATCCATCGGATCGGATTAGCACGCGAAGATGCAGCAGCGAACATTTCCACTTAGGTATACTAAGCACCCCCAACATTCCAGGCCATAGCAGCCGCAAGAACAGAAATGGGGATTAGTGATTACAGTTGGTTACTCGTATACCTTCGTGCCGCTCCGCGTCTCGCTGGCTGCCGCTGCGGGGAGACGCGAACTCACCGGCACTCTCCCCGGCGTCCGGCCGGCCGGCCGCTCGCGCCCTCGGTGGCGCTGCTCGTGAGCCGCCGCCTCGCGCGCCCGGCGGTGTCGCTCGCCGGCTAGGGTTTGGGAGCTTTCGGGATAGGAATGGGAATGGAATGGAACCTTCTCTGCCCTTTTGAGTTGGGTCCTTACTTGAGCTTCCGTACTAATCAGGCCTCTTATGGATGGGGCTAAAATTCTGGCCCACATGGGTGGATGGGCCGTCACTTTTCGTCTAATCCAAACTAGGCCCACTAGGCTGGCCCATCTGCACTATTGGGCCGGAAGTGATACGGGATAGCACTTAACAAGAAAGGAAAAGGTATACTGAATATCCCTCAGTTTATCCTCCCTGGTGCCTAGACTGCCCGCATCTCCAACGTTGTCGACCATGTTGGCTGGTCAAAGGCAGCGCCTAGATCAAGCGGTTGCCGTCAAATCGTCTCATCTTCCTCAGGGTTCACAATTCCGATGAAAATCGGTCAAATTCCACAAAATTTAGATGTTTCGACACGGCTCGGAATTAAGTTTCCATTGGAATTTTGAAGGTTAAACAGTAGATTTGGTTGAAATTCACTCAAAATTTATCGAAAACCGATCAAAATTTATCGAAAACCGTGATACCGATGGGGCTCGAAATTTAGTAGTCAACCAAAATTGTAAACTGGAATTGTAATCCCTGAACTTCCTCCGCGCCATCGCTGAAGAGGCGGAGGGGTTGGGATCGAGGTAATTGGGGCTCCGGCAAGGATTTGGCAGCAACGAGACCGTGACTCGATTTTACGCTCGTTTTACTTACAAATTAAAAAGGATATACTATATCTCGTTTTTGTGCAGTTTAAAGGCACGAATAGAACTCGACCTATATTAGTTAAAAAGGGACCAAAACTGAACGTTTTTCGTAACAGAAACAGATTGGTACGACTACGACGCCCTGTACCGAATTGCTGCTTGTCTGTATGGGCCGTGCACGCGGCCTGCTGGGCCAAACCACCGCCACGTTGCCATCGCTGATTCGCCGAGCCGAGACGAGGCGACCACGCCTTCGCCGCAGTCTCGCAGAAGCCGCGCCGCTCTGGTCAGGTCAGGTGAGTTGTGAGGTCAAAAGCCTCCTCGGCCGCCGCGTCGTGGCGTTGCTTGCGCCCCAACCATCTCTCGCTCTCGCGCGCACGCAAACGCAAGCCATTACGTAACCACGGCTCGGCTCGGCTCGGCTCGGCTCGGCTCGCCGGCTCGGAGCCGCGTGCTTTTTTTTTTCCTTTTTTTTTTCCCATAAAAACTCGCCCGCGGCTGGCTCGATTCCGCCGCCGGCAAAGCCACCAAGAACTCCGCCGAGAAGAAGAGGCGACGAGAGTGACAGGCCGAGGAGGGAGGGGGATTCGAGGATCGCATGCGCCGTGCCGCCGCCGCCGCCGTGACGGTGACGACGACGACGAGGATGGCGGCGGAGGGGATGTCCACGGCCGCCGCGGCAGCGGAGGCGACGGCGACGGCGGCGCCCGCGGCGGGGTCGAGGTGGGGGAGGGCGTGGCCGTCCGCGCTGCGCTGGATCCCGACCTCCACCGACCGCATCATCGCCGCCGAGAAGCGGCTCCTCTCCATAGTCAAGTATCGCTCTCCCTTCGCCCCCAATTTTGGTTCCCCTTTCCTCCGATTAATTCAATTTCATGGACTGTCGACAAGTCCGTGCCCGCTCGTAAAGCCGAGATGCTGACCACCAGGACAGCGAATTGCTTAATCGTGGTGTTACTTTGGGATTGGGATTGGGTTTTGGGTAGGCACTGGATTTGTAATGAGATGTTCGCATTGCAGTCTAGCTCAAAGGAGGGGTATTGGGACTGTACAACGGCTGTTCACCCCCCACCCCCCCCCCCCCCCCTCTCGATATGAGTTTTACTGCACACTGGTCGAGCTGTGTGGCAGCTCTGCCTGTTTGTGTCATAATTAAATTAAGCACGTATTGTTAGCTACTGTTTCATTCTCGAGCTGTTTATCTGAATTGTACTACTTGTTAAGCGTAAGTTGTGATGGGAAACAGAATGTTTATTACTTCGCCGCATCACAAAAGGGTGGAGTTTGTTTAGTGGATTTAGATGTATTGAAGAGACTGTTTTAGCTGGTGGCAATCTGCTCCCTCTTTGAGCTCACACACAGTAGCAGTGTAGCACAATGTTAAAGATTTTTCTTTTTCGTACCAATGAACAAATTCACAGGAAAACAAGCGGGTCGTCATATTTGATATACATTGATCTTTCTACATTCTGTAATATTTAAGAATCCATTTTTGTTCTCAACTACACGGGAGTGCCAATATATTTTTCTGTTTCTGCTCATGTAAGGAGGCATTTATAAACTTGTGACATCCACTCCTGAACAACCTAATGGTCTAATGGTTTGTGTTAGTTACAAGATACAACCTCCTAAGGTTGTATTAATTGTTGGTGTGGTGTTTCTTCCTGGTTTTATGCTCTCAGCTATATTGTTAACAAATATACTTCAGTTCTTTCTTCATTTTGCTCTAGATATATCTGAGGCTCTTTGCAATTTTCTAATTGGTGGTGCACTTTTTATATCTCTTTACAGAACTGGCTATGTCCAAGAACAAGTTAACATTGGCTCCTCTCCACCCGGATCAAAAGTTAGATGGTTTAGATCATCAAGTGATGAGCCAAGATTCATCAATACTGTAACATTTGATAGCGAAGAAAATGCTCCCACCCTTGTCATGGTCCATGGGTATGGTGCTTCACAGGGTTTCTTCTTTCGAAACTTTGATGCCCTTGCAAGCCGTTTCAGGGTGATTGCCATTGATCAGCTTGGGTAAGTTTTGAGGGAAATAAAGGGACTCTTTGTCTTGTATTCCTCTATATTGTCACTCAGTATCTCGATTACTTTGCTCATTGTTTCTCAATTATCAAAATAGTCCTATGAACAGCTTGTTGAACTAAAAGGATACATAGATTTTTTTTGTGCACAAAGTATTTGTGTACCTATACTGACATTAGAGAAAGGAAAAGTGGTGCACGCATTGATCTAAGGGTTCAGTTATATATATATATATATATATATATATATATATATATATATATATATATATATATATATATATATATATATATATATATGTCCGAAACATTTCATCACAAGTTGTGGTATTGTTATACGGGAATCGGTTGCCTCTATTTTCTCATCTTCGTTTCATCTATTTTGTGAGAGCTAAATGCAGTACTTCATTCACAGGAAAAATCCTTATTCCTCATCTCCAAGTTAGTAAAAATTAGTGTGATGATACCTAGAAGTGCTTGTCTGATGTATATTGTTGCAAAAAATGTTGTACTCATGTTCAATAATGCTCTATACTGCTTTTCTTAGTTATTTCACATTGTGTGATGTTGCATAAAATTGATTTTTTTTGCTTCCTTTGCTTTTCTTAGTTATTTCACATTGTGTGATGCTGCATAAAATTGAATTTTTTTGCTTCCTTTGCAGTTGGGGTGGATCAAGTAGACCTGACTTCACTTGTAAAAGTACTGAAGGTTAGATTCAGATAATCTATTTGTTGTGCATCTTTGAACAATTTTGTCAGAACACTCTTATGTTTCTGATAACCCTTTGTGGCCATTTGCTTTCATTTCCATTTGGTGAGCATGGCATGGGCCCTAGTTTATGGTGAAAAATATTAGGGCACCATTTTCTGTAAAACTGTAGTTGGCTTTGTAACAAGTACTAAAACAAAACCACATGCATGTTCAGTAATTCTGTTCGGCACATGCTTATATTAAACAGTGAAGTAACCTGTTCCCTTTTTCCTTTCTGTTGGTTCATTTTGTGAGCAGAAACTGAGGCATGGTTCATAGATTCCTTTGAGGAATGGCGCAAAGCAAAGAATCTCAGTAATTTTATATTGCTCGGTCACTCTTTTGGAGGATATGTTGCGGCAAAGTACGCTTTACAGGTATGTTCATAAAAAAATACAGAATTAGCTTCTTCATTGGTGCTCATGATAGTACTGAAACTGAAATCCTATTTCAGCATCCTGAGCACGTCCAACACTTGATCTTGGTCGGCCCTGCTGGCTTTTCATCAGAAACAGAGCATAGCTCTGAGTGGTTAACCAAGTTCCGAGCTACATGGAAAGGCATGCTAGTGAATCATCTATGGGAGTCCAATTTTACTCCTCAAAGAATAGTGAGGTAAAGCAACTTCTTGCACTTCATTACTCATATTTCCAAGTTACTCTGTAATTTTATCCTGATATATACTGTATTTGCTTTGCTGAACAGAGGATTGGGTCCTTGGGGACCAGGCTTAGTTCAGAGATATACCAGTGCCAGATTTGGCTCACATTCAACAGGTGAATTACTAACAGAACAGGAATCCACATTACTGACAGGTAATTTTGTTACGCCAATCTAGTACATTCAATGTGTCAAATTACCCATGCAACAGAACCTTACCGTTGCTTTGTTTTGAAGATTACATTTACCATACTTTGGCTGCCAAAGCTAGTGGAGAGTTGTGCTTAAAACATATATTTTCCTTTGGGGCATTCGTGAGGAAACCTCTTCTGCAAAGGTCAGTTTTCTTCGTATTAACTAAATGTAGGAGTTATGAGCACCCTGGTGATCTTGAGAGCATATGCACAATAGTTAGTTGTGTTCACACACTAATTGTGTGATGACCTCCTTGATACTTATTGACACAGTAGTTCAGATAACATTTTTTTTGATTTTATTCTGAGATTTTGGTCCTCCTTCCTTTAAGGGTAATCTACAATTCTACAGTTCATACTTTCTCCATGTAGTGACCTCCTTTGTTGATACTTTATTACCTTGAACATACAAGCATGGCTTCGCAAAAAGAAAAGGGAACATCACATTCTCGCATCTGTTCAGTTAGCTTCTTTTTCCCCCCTTTTTATGCCAGGATATACGATTATTTTTTTTGACGCAACGGATATACGATTATTAGCTGACTCATTTTCCTTTTGTGATTTTTCATGGTGCTCTTGTTTTTAGTCATACCATGCTTCTCACTGTCTCACTGCCCTAAAACTTGTAACAGTGCATCCGATTGGAAAGTGCCAACTACTTTCATATATGGCCAACAAGATTGGATGAATTACCAAGGTGCACAGCAAGCACGGAAAGAAATGAAAGTCCCCTGTGAGATCATCAGAGTTCCACAGGCAAGTTTTTTTTTTCACTGACAATACATATATAACAGAGCTTATACAATAACATTGCTGACATTTGTGAACTCGATGGTTTATTATGCAGGGAGGACATTTTGTGTTCATAGATAATCCTTCGGGGTTCCACTCCGCGGTCTTCCACGCATGCCGCAAGTTTCTATCTGGAGATGGAGAGGAAGGCCTCTCTCTTCCTGAAGGCCTAACATCGGCCTGAGATGGCGTCTCGTACGACAATCTCATCATAGCAACCCAGCACGATTGATGGAAAATACTGTGACCGTTGTCGCCGTCTTGTTTGTGTTTACACGAGTTGCGTCAACATGTATCATGTAGATATATATACACATGTGTACAATTGTACAAGTAGTGAGAAACACACGCATTGCTATGAAATACGAAAGTCAATTTCCATGTTACATTAGTGCAAATTATATATACGAAGGTCGATTTGTGCTTGCTGTTGTGATGGAATGCTTCAATGATTTATGTATCATTACTATGCATTGATCTGCTGTGCTTGTTTTATGTCAAATCATTGAACATAAATTATCTATTTTCCGGTCATAAATATTTGAGATTTAGCACAACATTTGGTCAAACTTGAATGGTTAATTTATAAACAGAAAAAAAAACTTCTCAAATGCTAGTTTACAAACAGAAAAATAAACACTTTAAGCATGAAATTGTCTTGAAAAGTACTCTCATAATATCATAAGCTTAGTAAATTTTAGAAACTTGTTCTAATATTAAGTTGGAATTTTAAAAATTTAACTAAATGTTATTCCAAACCTCATTACTCAATAGTGGAGAGAGTACCATGTAGTAATACTCCTCTCTTTTTAAAATAAACAAACCAAAAGTACTACGAATTTAGATAAAGTACTATAAATTTAGATGAGCAATAATACTAGGATATGTCATAGTAAAGAGAGTACCATGTAGTATAGTCCTCTCGTCTTAAAATAAACAAAAGCAAGACTACTATGAATTAAGATAAGCAACAGTATTAGGAAATGCCATGTCACATATTATTTTCATTTATATTTTGGAACAGTGGGAGTAAAGCTTGATTGATTTATGTAAGTACGACTTGTTTGTAAAAGCATGGGTGGCTCGCCGAAGTCCTCGCCGCCGGCGAAGTCCGCAATTGATGGCAATTTGAGGGGAAAATCCACGGACCTGCACCCAGCAGCACACACTTGGATCGTCTTAGCCATCAGTGCACCGGTGTCTCTCACACTCGCGCTTACTTCGATGAGCGCCGCCGCCGCAGCAAGGGATGGGGGCCTCGCCGCGGCCACCTCCCGGATCGCCTCCCACGGCCGGGCCGGCGACGCCGCCGCGGCGCGGGCCGTGTTCGACGCGATGCCCCGCCGCGACGCCGTCGCGTGGAACGCCATGCTCACCGCCTACGCACGCGCCGCGCGGCCGCGGGCCGCGCTCGCGCTCTTCGCCCGCATGCGCGCGCCGGACGCGTTCTCGCTCACCGCCGCGCTCGCCGCGGCCGCCGCGCTCCGGTCGCCGGCCGCCGGCGCGCAGCTCCACGGCCGCCTCCTCCGCCTCGGACTGCGCGCCCCGCTCCCCGTCGGCAACGCGCTCGTCTCCATGTATGCCAAGTGCGCCCGCGCCGCCGACGCCGCTCGCGCCTTCCGGGAGATGCCGGAGCGCAATGCGCTGTCCTGGTGCTCGCTCCTGCATGCCTTTGTGGTCTCAGGCCACATGGAGCTTGCCCACGAGTTGTTCGACGAAATGCCCAGCAAAAGCAATGTCGCATGGAACACGCTGCTCATGGGGCATTCTCGCAGCGGCAATGCCAAACAATGCCTTGCTCTGTTCAACCAGATGTGGATGTCAGGACTGACTTGCGATGATGCGACGCTCTGCATTCTTGTTGATGCTTGTGCGGAGCTGCCCGACCCGTCTACTGGCTTTGCAATCCACAAGGTTGTAGTGCAAAGTGGCTGGAATGGCATCCCCGAGGTCAATAACTCACTCATTTCCTTCTACACTAAGTTCAGCTTGCTAGATTGTGCTGTGCAGATCTTCGAGTCCATGAAGACTCGAACCACTGCTTCGTGGAATTCACTGATTGATGCGCACGCAAGGTTTGGCTACATTGAGCAAGCTGCTTTACTCTTTGAAAGTGCACCCGAGACCAACATCATCTCATGGACTGCAATGATCGGAGGTTTTGCGAGGAACAGTTTAACAAGTGAGGCCCTTGCGCACTTTGTGAAGATGTTGACGCAGGAGTATATCCAACCTGATGACTTCACATTTGGGGCTGTGCTTCATGCTTGCGCATCTGCGCCATGTCTGGCCAGTGGAAGGATGGTTCACAGTTGTGCATTCCAAGGTGGATTTGCATCCTACTTGTATGTGGCCAACAACTTGGTGGACATGTATGCCAAGTGTGGAGACGTCGAGGGTGCAAACAATGTATTTGATGCCATCCATCAGAAGGACTTGGTCTCATGGAACACCATGCTGTTCGGATTCGCTATAAACGGGTTGCCAAAGGAAGCATTGGAAGTGTATGAAATCATGACATACCACAATGTTTCCCCAGATGAGGTTACATTCACCGGCTTGCTCACTGCTTGCAGCCATTCTGGTCTTCTGGAGCAAGGGAGAGCCTTCTTTGAGTCAATGATGTCTGTCCATGGAGTTCAACCAAAACCAGAGCATCTATCTTGTGTCCTTGACATGTATGCAAGATCAGGTAACATTGCAAAGGCCATTGAGATGATGGAGCAATACCCAGAAATTGTCAAGTCTCCTGGCAGCGGCCTATCTGAGGCTTTGCTTAGCTTCTGTTCATCAGAGAACCTGGATTTCTGGGTTGGAAGGAAGGTAGGAGACGATGTGGTGGCGAGGGCGCCTGCGAGAGACACGGGCTATGTCATGCTCTCCAACTTGCTCTGTGCGAGTGGGCGATGGGATGAGGCTGAGAGGGTGAGGAGAGCCATGGCTGAGCAAGGTATCAAGAAGTCTCCTGGTTGTAGTTGGATCGAAGTGAAAGGAAAAGTTAAGGTATTTGTATCAAGTGAGCAAGCAATTGATCTAACAGATACTGTGTATGGTTTAATTTACTTATTGGATTATGAAATGAGAAATAGCATGCTGCTGTGTGATGTCTAATCTTGTCTCCTTCCATCCATTTATATAGCGTTTATTTATTAATTTATTTATTTGCTATTGGAAACCTTTGCAAATCATTTTTAGGACATAAGAGAATTCCCATTATGCAGATGAATTTAAGTAACTAATTAAGTACGAAATCTGGAAAAAAAAATTGAGCTCTAACAGCAGACTCACCCTCTACCTGCGGCGAACACAGGACAAATTTTTGGTGAGTGCTAATAGAATGAAGGTGGCAAACATAACATAAGAAGACTAAATATAATACGTGTAAATATATATGAGTATCTATTTGTAAAAAAGAGGAAAAACTAATCATCTTTCAATTATCTATCAATTTTCTTCTATGTAGCAATTTTTTTTCTCTAAGCTGAAAAATATATGGAAGGGTTTGGCCAACTTGAGGGGGGTACTCAGGCCCACCCTACTTGGCTGGCCTTCCCCTCCCTCTTTCCCCCTTTGTTGGGATCGCCTCTGCTTGCGTGTAAGCATTTATAAATTCTTTCGATAGCCTCTTGGAAGAGAAGAGCAGACAAAGGACATCCTGTTGGTTTTATTGAGTACGCGCATTTCCTTTTGTGCGTCGCCCATGCCTCACAAGCAAAACAGGATCCTCTGATATGTAGAGATGTCTATTCGAGAAAAAAGAAGAAGATATATAGAGATGTCAACGGAGAATTCGACCATACATCCCCATCCCCGTTCCTGCCAGCTTTAATGGTGGGAACATTTTTTCCTTCTTTGCTCTCCCAGTGGGGAATTAATCCCCCACAAAGCCCCGTCCCTACTTAAAACAATATCTACATCTCAAATCATATATGTGATGCAATGGGAAGTACTTGGCCAATGATTTGAGCAAAATCTACTCAAAAGGAAGTACTTAGCTAATCGAACAATCACTCAAGTGTAAAAGCGGCTTGGGGATTCACATTTTTAGGCCGGGCTCATGAAGGTTAAGGACTTTTGCAACTAGGATCTATGGTAGCTGCAAACGGAGAACAATGAGATTTTGGGAGGATTACTGGGTGGGTGACAACTCCTTTGATAAGTTGTATCCCTCGCTCTATTTACTTACAAGAAACAAGCATGTGAGAGTAAGCGATGTATTCCTCTAAATGTGTCCTTCAGAAGGGCTTTGGTGGGGGATAACTTGAATGCGTGGTACAAGTTGGTATCCAAGGTGGCCTTGTTTAACTTATCTAATAGTCTAATATTTTTAGATGGGAAGCCAATGGAAAGGGAGTCTTTCTCGGTGAGTTCTATGTACAAAGGCTCTTATGTACCGAAATATGGTACCAAGGAAATCGATAATCTAGAAGCTCAGAATTCCACTTAGGATTAAGATTTTTCTTTGGTATATCAAAGAAGGAGTACTCTTAACAAAGAACAATTTGGTCAAAAGGAGATGGAAAGGAAGTACTAAGTGTTGCTTCTATAGCTCTAAAGAATCAATTCAACATCTCTTTTTTGATTGTCATGCTACACAATCGGTTTGGAATGTTCTTTTCATGGTTCTGGGAATACAAGTGCCTACTTCTATTGCTAATCTTCTAGGTAGTTGGTCAAGGGACTTAGTACCTAAGCTTAGGGCCGCTTAGGGATCAACTTTTCGTGGGAGTTGCGGCTATGTGTTGAGCACTTTGGCTTGCTAGGAATAATGTAGTCTTTAATGGCCACTCTAATCTTGCAGGTTTTTTTCAGGAGTATGCATTGGGTTTGCCAGTGGTCTTTGCTTCTTAAAGAGGGTGATGAGGAAGCTATGAAGATTGGGTGCCAAAAATTGGAAGTTACAGTTATGGAATTCTTCTCAAAATCTAGGTGGAATTGGAGAGGAAGATTGAATTTTTAGTCTAGTTAAAAACTTTTGTTGAGAGACTTGTTCTGGATGTCTTTGTCATCCATTTAATTTGCCTCCTATGATGGCATTTGCTTTGAACTTGTTTGTAAGCCTAAGTGCTTGATTATGTAATGTTATGGTTGTGTACATCCTTCGGATGTAGAGGCTAGATTTTATTTAATCAATTATCTAAAAAATATATGTGATGCAAGACATATCATCCACACCTTTTATATCATTATATTAGCATATATCCACCAATTTAGATGACAAGAATACAACATTATTGTCATTCATCCACTAATCATGGGCCAGTTGGACCTTCGTGCGTACATAATTTGCATTGAACTTGGACCCCCTATGCCAACTAATCGAGTCTCCGAGGGGATTGGGACAGCCAAAACCAATGGAGAATTGTTTCCCCCATTTGGTTGCCCCCAGGGAACAAGTTGCAACCATCCTCATCCCCTAATGAAAGAACTCCCTGAGGGGAAACTGTGGCCCATTGACATCTTTGTTGTGAGTCAAGAGGAGAATGTGGCTCATATGCCAATGATAGCAACTAAAAAGGATCAACATACCACACAAACAAATGCTTCCTCTTTTGGCTCAATGCCTCCTTTGCCCGCATTCTCACTTTCTCACCCAAAGCCTCCTTTTCTCGCATTCCCACCCAAATTCTTCTTTACTCACATTCATACCCAAATTCTCCTTTGCTCGCATTCCCACCTAACGGGCAGTAACTCGTCACTGCTGACATCCGCCTCCTTGCGCTAGTTATAGGCCTTCTTCGAACCCTAGCCGCCGCCTCCTCCTCCTCCTCTCCTAGTCCTTGCACCCCTAACATGGAGGATGATCCTACACGCCGCCTCTCGTTGTTAGGCGGAAGCAGCGGCGAGCACCAGCCTCCCATGGTGTCGCCATGCATCTCCGCCCTTGTAGATCTAGCCTCCCACCGCCGCTCTCTCCCTTCCTCGGTCCTCTTGCCCCCGTTCCATCCTATGCCTATTTGTTTCTGCTCTTCAAGGGGCCCGGGCTTCTTCCACTATCACATGCCCCCGACACTGACTCCCACGGTAGGAGGAGTCGGCGACGGGTCCCATCACATTTACCCGTTCTCCGATTTCCCTTTCTTTTCCATGGACTCCATCGCTCTACCCACAAACGCCCATTTGGCTGGGTCAACGGTAATACCACTCACCTCATCTTTGATAGGATTCAATGAAGGGCTGCCCGGCCAGCCACCGCTTTGGGAAGGGTATAGGCGGTTGCAAAGTGACCTCAATGTAGGGTTTCCACAGCCAAACCTGCAAATGCTACCTTTAGCACCGGTTAAGCTGGAGCCCGTGACCGAGGAGCATCAATCAAGGGGCAAAAGTGTCATCATCGCCGACAACCTCGTCGACTCGAACATGGTACAGTATTTTAATGATACCTATCTTTTTTCCCGTAACTTTTTTTATTTATTATCGCTATCACTGCTTCCCCTCCAGTAGATATGATATCATTGATGGTATTCGTGAGCTTGTTTATGGTTCTTTACTTTACAAGAACAAAATTTTCTCTAGTGCCATTATTTCTACTCCTATAGCTATTAACTTGCAGTTATATTCAAGTTTGAAAGCTGCATTTGTTGATGAATCATTATAGACTTTTTACCAGGGCTCAAACATGCTGCTCGGCTCCTCCAGCAATGCCAACCAAGATCAGATTCACCAGCTAGGCAGCCAAGATCGCATCCTACAAGAACATCGCCGTATCGAGACCACCGAGAACGAAGCTAACGACAGCATGTGTGGCAGCAGCAGCATGCCCCACCGTCGCCGCAACTCGTCAGTGGGCAGCAGCCGCATGACGAGGAACCTCGATCCCGGAGCCGGCAGCTCGTCGTCGCACGGTGGAAATGGACCCGTTGTTGGTGACACTGCTGCTGCTGCTGCCAACCTCGGCGATGGGGAGTTCAGTGAGGCTGACAAGAAGACGATCATGGCGAGTGAGTACCTCTCGCAGCTCGTGTTGAGTGATCCGAAGAAGGTCAAGAGGTGAGAACTTCTTTCGAATCTAAAAGAGTTCATGTGGAGGGATTGAGGCTCCCATCGGATGGCCTAATCAGCCAAAGAAAAAGCTAAATTTTAAATTTTCAAACTTAATTTTAAGATTGATTTTGAGATATTTTCAACGTAGATTCTTTTACAACATTGGCTTTTAAATCACCAAGAACACATTTATAAAAGTTTCACCTACAAATTCATTTTTATTTCATAATAAGCCGTTTTGGCTTATTAGGAAATAAGCCAAACGATGGGACCTGATGGTGTCTGTTGTGTGTTCTATAATTAGTTACTGAAATTGCACATATTGCTGAATAAATTTTTCAGGGTTCTATGCAATAGGAGATCTGCTGCGAGGTCCAAGGAGCGCAGGTTGAACTATAAGCTTGAGCTTGAAAGTAAGGTGCTGGTGTTGAAGATAGAGATTGAGAAGTTGTCTGAAAAATTGGCGACGGCTCAGGTTTGTTTTTTTAAGATTGTGGTCATTCTGATTTGGAGTTTTGATCATTTTAAATTACTGATGTAGTATTGTTTTGCAGAGGACATTTAATGAGCTTTTAGCTCAAAACAATGAGCTGAAAATCAAGATACAAGAAACGGGTAGGGAACGCCAGATGAAAGAAGGTAAGCTCCCTTCCCTTGTTTAATAACATTTATTTGTTCATTTTCCTCAAATGGTGATTGAAATATATGGTAGCTTGCAATGGAAACATGATGCAGATGTCATATATGTTGGATACCAAATGCCCAATGCAAGATTGCCAAATAGGCATATGTATGCTTGCATCATTTTTAAGGAAGTATGTAGCTTGCGTGAATAGCTAGGTTACTGCACTCTTTTATATCACAAAACATGGTGATCATACTTGATGCCTTGATGGTATACTTCTTTTGTAGCTACTGGGTTCAAACACTAGATGCATACTCTTGCTTTGTATTTTCACATTGTTCCTGCTTTGTTGGTCTGTCTATTTAGGCCCTGTTTAGTTCAGGGGTGAAAAGTTTTTGCGTGTCACATCGGATATACGGACACACATTTGAATTATTAAATGTAGTCTAATAACAAAACAAATTACATATTCCACCTACAAACTGCGAGACGAATTTATTAAGCCTAATTAATCTGTCATTAGTAAATGTTTACTGTAGCACCACATTGTCAAATCATGGTGCAATTAGGCTTAAAAGATTCGTCTCGCAATTTACATGCAATCTGTGTAATTAGTTTTTTTATATTTAATACTCTATGCATGTATCCAAACATTCGATGTGACATGGTGAAAATTTTTTTGTTTGGGACTAAACAGGCCCTTATTTTAACTCTCTATTCATTAACTCGGTGAAAGAATCTCCCATTGATTTGCAGCTTGTTGTCAAAATGTGCTTGTCTCCTTTTAGTTTTCAATGATTGCATTCCCAGATAGTTGTCTCACTTATGTGCACCATATATGGCTTGAGTCATGCTTAGTTTGGATAGCGGTCTAGTCTTAGTCTTAGGATTAATTTGCTCATAATTTTTCCTTTAATACTCCCTTTGTCCCAAATTATAAGGCCTATATTTTTTTACACGGTATTCAACAACATACTTTGACCATTATTTTATTATGTTCTATGTTCTCAACAAATATGAAATTAGCATCACATAAAAGTACTTCAAAATATGAATCTAGTGATATAACATGCATAATACTTAATATAGATATAATTACTATGATTATTAGTCAAAAGCTACCAAGTTTGATTTTCCTTAAAAGGGGACGCCCTATAATTTGGGACGGAGGGAGCATATAATTACCTCTCTTTAGTTTTGGGGTATGTGTGCTTGGTTATGTGTGCATCTTAGTTATATAGAGATTGAGAATGTTTTCAGTGCAATTGTATCTCCTTGGTGTAATTGATTAAGTTCGATGAAGCCATTGTCTAAAAATGTTTTATATTTCATTCACAAGGACCAAACTTGCATTGCTGGAACTTTTTCTTTGGCTTGTTCTGTCACTAGTTTACCTTGTAGAACTATTTTATTAGAAAAAAAAATCAGTCACTAGTTTAACATTGGTTTGCCTGTTTATTTTGTATCCAGCTATATTCAAATCAATAGGTTATGAGTCACTTCAAGTTGTTGTTGATGGTGAGTTCGTCATGCCAAATGGTACACACGAAGAAACGGTCGCTCGGTTGATCGAACTGCTGGAGCCAGAAACACAGGCTGGACCATCACAAATCCAGGGATATCAGCCATAACAAAGTTTGAAGCTTTAGGGTGATTTCTGATGAGAGGAAACTTTTGAAAGGGGAATGTCAAACTATACTGCAGATTCAAACATGAATTCGCTTAGACAGCCGAACCAATAGATAATTCATCTATTACTGAGTGTTGTGCTACAGTTATTTTGCTAAAAGTTTGGGTGAACTGACACCCATGTGGGCTTCTGTAATATCAAATTTGCCTGCATCTGTACCGATGTTTTAATTAGAATCATCAGTTCATTTTGGGGATTTTATTAGTGTGTTTAATTTCTAGTTTTGACCAAAGCTGTGGCTAGGCTTCAACTTCTGTGCTAGTACATTTTTTTTTTTGCTTTAGTTCGAAAGTCTGGTATATGCTGCAGGTACAAGGTAGACTTTGGTTTTGCATTTTCCCTGTTTTCTACTGTCAGCTGGTACGCCTGTAGCCACAAGATGATTGTACTTTTCTGTTGATCAAAATTGCTTCGGGCTGTGTTTGCAATTCCATGTTCTCAGTCTCTTTCTCTCGTTTTTCGCACACACGCTTTTTAAACTACTAAATGGTGTGATTTTTTAAAAAAAATTTATATACGAAAGTTGCTTAAGAAAATCAAATTAATCCATTTTTTAAAAAAATAGCTAATACTTAATTAATCACGTGCTAATGGATGGACTGCTTCGTTTTCCGTACGGGAGGAATTTGTTCTCATCCCTTGATTCGTTTCTCTCTTCCTCCAAAAGAGTTACTCCTCCCTTCTAAAGTATAAGCTTTTCTGGCTATGCATCTAGTCGGACTATGCGTCGGAACAGAAATGCTTAGATTTTGGAACGGAGGAGTGGATGTTAGCCAAACAAAATCTAGTTAACTCTCACAAACTTCCAATGTACAAGCATTATGCCACAAGAACACACAGAAGAGCTCCAAAAACCTAGTGGCTGTCTGGCTGATCATAACTGGCCTGACACGAAGAAACCAAAGCTGATAGCACCGGTAGCTAATATATAGCTAGAACCAGCCAGCCAACCATGATCACCAAGAGACCAAGAAAGCTACGGTTTTATAGGCAAACCAGCACAAAAACACCGCACAAGCTGTAGTAGCTAGCAAGGAGGCGGCGAGTGCTCAGTTCAGCAGCTGGAGGCGGCGGCCGCCGTCGTCGCCGGCGACGATGTGTTGCGCAGGTCGGCGCGCAGCGCGAGGTTCTCCCGGTGGAGCGCGCTGGCCTTCTCCCTCAGCCTCTCGTTCTCCTCCAGGATGCACCTGTTCTCCAGGTAGAGCTTCAGGTTCACCATCTCCATCTCCATTCCATCAGATCTCCTCATGGTCTCTCTCCTCCTCCTCAGCCTTAGCCTGTGTATTTATGTTCAACCAAGGGATGGAGGTTTAGCAATAGATTGTGTTCTAGTTGATACATTTTTTTTAGTATAAGTTAGACGCGCACTTGCGAAAGGGCATGTAGCCTAGTGGTTGCAGTGATCTGAGTAGCACCCTAAAGTCTAAGTTCAAATCTCCATAGGAGCGAATTTCGGATTGGTTATTTGAGGGGCTAAGCTTCCAATATAAAAAGGTTGCATACATCCTGTTGGGTGTAGAGGCCGGGTAAAAAAATACCCTCCTCTAAAAAAAAGTAAGTTAGACACGCACACCCACACATGCTTCGACTATAGTTTGTTTGCTATTAAGATTTTTTTTCCATTTCCGTTGAGTCTATAATAATGTATTGCGATACATAGGTTGAAAGTATCTTCCATTATCTTTAAAAAGAATTTAAGAGAAGCATATGCGATGGCAACATGCATTTTTTTTTAAAACAAAAAGAGTTAGAATCCGGCCTCTACATCCAAAACAGATGTAGACTGTCATGAAGTATACAAGAGTACTTAGACCCGAACTTCTTACGATAAGGCTTCAGCAAAGAAATAAAAAGGAAACACTGCAACACGCATATAAGTAAGCACAGGTGCAGATGCATAAACAAGTTCATGAATCCATCAGTCCTCAGACTACAAAAATCTCACCAAATTAAACAAAGTTGGGATAGATGCTATTACCTCTTCCTCCTGAGAGCCATGGGGGCATGAGCCGGCTGCTTTCTCTGCTGCTGCTGTTGATTGTCCTGCCTGAATACAACCAAAGACAGATAGATCTTATTCTTGCTGTTCCAGGAGCCAGAACACATGCTAGCTGCTGGATATAGATACAGTGTTTGTTCCTAGATTCCAGTCATCTGTGGAGCTCAAGGAGTTTGGAATGATCCCAGCAATTGCAGATAACACGATATATATAACATGGCTTCAGCCATGGTGATAGATGGCTTTTAGGTTTTTGTTTGGTGGTGCATGCACACATTGACATGACAGCATGTGAAGGAGGCAACCTCTCCATCATGGTGCATGGACTATGGATGCCCAATGGATCTTCCAAGAATTAATCATTTACTACCATATTTCACCAAAAGGAAGGGTGAAGAATTTAAGTATGAATTCTTGAGTTTTGGATATTAATGAAATTCATTTCTTGAGAAGTTGGACCTTTGTTTGACAAGAGATTGGATAGCAGAAGACAACAAAAGAAGAGAATCGTTTCAGACTTCCAAAGAACAGTTGAATTTCCATGATATTTTTGTTGTGGTAATATATTTTTAATCAAAAGTTGATGAAAAAGAATCACATCCTAGAGCTCCTAGCTGAAGGGAAAATGGCTGAACTGCTACTATTATAGTATTATTGATTCCTGGGCAGAGTGTCTGCACCCATGATGAAGCTTTAGAGTTTTCTTGGTACTCGATGCATGGTACACAAGTCAAAATGCTTTCAAGCATTTCATTCTTTTTGCTTCAATGTTTCTTCACTAAAATGATACCTCGACACCTTTTCTTCTCCTCTCTCTAGAGAGAGAAAATATGCCATAATAGAGACAATATATGCCATCTTTCTTCAGCATTGTTGCTGGATTTCTGCACTGTTTCAGCACAACAGGTGTGCCTATCAGCCTAATAGGAATTCCATTCTCTGTGAAGAGGAAGCCTGAGAGTGATCACTCACCGCTGTTTCTGCCAACTTGAGAGGCCAAGATTCCATGAGAGAGGCCATTCTCTGAAAGCCATTCTTCCATGAGAGAGCAGGGACACCAAGTATCCATTCATCGCCATCACAAAAACCATCATGGAAAGGAGAGAATCTTTTGAGAGAAAAACTAGGAGCAAAGAAGACACTTTGGGCCACTGCCTCCCAGCTTTGGCCAAAAGTTGCACTCATTGCTCACACACACACACAGCAGCAAGCAGCTAGACACACAAAATGGCACAAATTATCTGCACCTCAAGATGATCAGCTACACTTGTGTTGTGCTTACCTTGGAGCTAGCGAGCTGCACCGTCCGATGCTGTCCAGGAGGGTCCCGATGCGCGACACGTCTCGCTCCCTGAGTCCACTCATGCGATCCATATCTAGGCAGAGTGGAGGTTTCATTCCGATGCTTGAACCTTCCTGCACATTGGCAATGCACCATTGGTCATTGCTGCTGCAAATTTGGTCATTGACACCGGCTGGCCAGTCCATGATTCATGAACCTGGCTCACCATCACCACTGCAAGTGTTGCCAATGAGCATGTGAATCACATACGATAGTAGCTAGAGGTTATCATGATTCATGAACACACACACGAACACACATACCTCATCCAGCAATAGCAGTGAGTGTGTGATATTGGTTCAGGGTTAGCATTATGAAGCCACATGCCAAGAGCATCTCGAGGTGAAGGACAGGTGCTTTGGCACCTTTTGGAGCAGGTTTGGTTAAATGATCATGAGCAGAAGAAGCTTGCACAACAATTGTTCAAAACAGTTGAAGATGAGATGAGGCATAGGCTATAGCAGGTGAGGTAAATTTTCTTCTTATCTGAGTAAATACACTCATTGTCTAGAAAAAAATCTGAGTCAATACACAAATTTCAGGGTGGTTTTAGCTGGCATTTGTAGAATTGATACATACAAAAAAAATGGCTCTTTCGGTCTGATAAAAAATCATCTTTCTGAAGTAGCTGCAAGCCGTCAGCAGCTTTTATCTTCTGCCTTCATAGCATCTACCGTTTGCCATTTCATGTCAGGTGTACCTGCCATTCTCAAGAAGCTTCCACCTAATAGATAGATGTTGCAACTCTAAGTAATCCGTTTTCAGAAGTATGGTATATTTTACCACAATAAGTTACTAGTACATTAGTGTATGCATGCTACAGGTCCCTCTATGAACTTTTTGAGCTTTCCTGGGATGCTTTGAAGATGCGAAATGCAGCTATGCACATTGTAATGTTACCAATCACTGTTAGAACACCTTGGAGCGCTACAAGCACCTGCAGATAGTTTTCAAAAAAAAAAAAGAACCACGAAGAGAATTAACTTGAGTAGAAAAAAAATATCGAAAACACTAGTTGAATTATACTATTGTATGTTTTTACAATAAGAGAGTATCTCGATAATACTAAAAAAAATCGCATGCATAGACTTGCACAAAAAGAACTGTGGAGAACAGTTCCACTGTCTAATCATCTGTGTTTCATGTGCATTGATTTAAAGGCAAATAGACACTAGACCAATTGAAATGTCAGGATAGGCCAAGTAATGAAGTGATATTTGACAAGTGTGAACAGTTGCAAAACACTGGGAAGGAAATGATGATAATGTTGATGAACGGAAAAAAAATAGGAAGCATTAGTGTTTCAACTGTAGGGATATATTTTACCTCAAGAGACTCCGAATTATAGAAGAAATGCCACGTGCAAGCGCACATCGCTCCACCAAGAAGTGGAACCTATTATACAAAGAAAAAAAATGCAAATCTGAGTAGTCAACAATCATAAAGTAAGCTGTTGAAAAAATCAGTCGAAAACTTGTGAACAACTGCAACTACCATCAGCAAAGACCTTACTATATAGTAGTAGTAGTAGTATAGATAATAGAAGCCACACATAAGTAAAGAGGGGGTACTTACAGATTAGATTCACTGAAAACAACACAAGATTTCTTGTGATGAAAACATAACATAAATAAATATGAGACATTCTCCTCCCACTCTCTGAATCTTACTACTAATACACAGGAGTACATGAAGCTACTAGGTTGTACAAAAATTAACATTAGCCAACACAAATTTTATCAGCAAATGCATCATCATTTAATCCAAATTTATTACACTCACCATTCCTCAAGAGAGGTCTTTCCAACCCTTGAGCCCCGTCCTCTACCCGTAGCTCCAAACCAGCGTCATGGCCGTCACCCTGCAAAATCCAGACAGAACAGGCGATACTGATAGTAGTAGTATGATGCACAGATACGCGATACTGGTACGGTGATACGGATACGTCGATACTTTGATACGGGAATTTTCAAAAACATCAATGCGCCGATACGGCGAGTGTATATATATTTCATAAAATGAAAAATATAGAAACACTTTAACAAGGGTGAAATAATCCTTACACTGTTCATTGCATGCTTAGCATTTTTAATACCTTTGCTGGTTGATAAGCTCAATCGTGGGACCCACCTGGCCAACTCAATTAAATCGCTACCTTTCTAATCAGAAAGACACAAGGTCACAAGCAAATGCTGTAGTCCCGGCCGGCTGCTTCTCTCCCAGTCCTCATCAACTAGCTCCTCCTCCCGGCGTTTCCTCCTAGGCCAGCGCCTCTGTGGCTTCTCCTCTCCCCTCCCCCGAGCCCTAGTCAGACGGCCGGGCGACGATGAAGCATGAAGCCGTCGTCGTCTCGATCTGATGGAGACGGCCATGGCTGACGGATGGATGCTCCCCCCATCCGTGGTTGCTGCTAGCCTGCTACTACCCACTCCATGGTGTATTCGTAACTGGTGAGGAGCCAGGACTGAGGAGGTCCTTGTCTCCTCGATACGTATCAAACCAAAGTATCTAATCCGTATCCATGGAGTATCGGTAATTATTTTGATTTATTTTCGCTCTTAAATAATCGATACTTCGTCGATACCGTATCGATGACGTATCCCGCATATCGCCGTATCCGATACGTATCCCATACGGGAACGGCTGTCGAGAGCCGTATCTGTGCATCATACTCTGATACTACTCCCCTCATCTTTTGCAGCCACGGAAGCAAGAGGTAGTTAGGTAGGGTAGTAGCAGTACCACTCGGCGACGCTGGAGACGTGGACGGCCCAGGTGGGCAGCGAGAGCGCGTTCGCCGGCTGGGCGGCGGCCAGCGCGGCGAGCACTGGCGGGGAGGCCGCGGCTACTCGTCGGGGCCGCGGCGGCGGCGGTGGCGCAGGCGACCGCGGCGATGAGGCGGAGATGCGCCATTGGTGGGATGGGGAGCTTGGCGTTCTCACACAACATCACACACAACACAAATAAGTGAGACTCGAGGATTTTGTACGGAGCAGCTGTACACCGTACACGTGTACATCTGTATCCATACGACCATACCGTAGGTGTACTTGATTTTTTTTAAAACAAGATAAATTTAATTACTCCTTCCATTTCAAAATCGCTTGAGGCTGCGTTGAAAGGATAAATTTGAAAAAAAAAATCTTGTTTTCCGTGCGCACTTTTTCCAAATGTGTTTTATTTAAAAAATATATGTAAGAAAGTTATTTTAAAAAATCATACTAGCTCATTTTTTTAAGTTTAAAATAATTAATTGTTAATTAATCATACATTAATAGCTCACCTTATTTTGCATATCATCTCAATCCTTTCTTCCCTTTCTCTCAAACACATCCTTAACTTTGTCCAAGGCAAACATTTCTAACTCTGATCATTAATTTTTAGTTTTTTAAATAATTTAACAACATATGTACTATTTACATTCTGAAAACATCTCATGGTAAATCTAAGAACATAAACTTTATAGTGTAAAATTGTATAAATTCTTAGAAATTGATAGTTAAAGTTTTTTTTTAAGAAATGATAGTCAAAGTTAGTAATGTTTGATTTAGGATAAAGCTAAGCCGATAAGTAATTTGAAATGGTGTGATTAAGAAGAAACTACTACCTCCGTCCCAAAATATAACCACTTTTGGCTACGAATCTAGATAAACAAACAGTTGTCTAGATTCGTAACTAAAAATACTTACATTTTGGGACGGAGGGAGTAGGTTGAAACTGGGATAGAAAATTAAGGAAATTCAAAGACCTGTTGTTTCCTACTTCTTCCTCCACTTTTTCTCCTTATACTGAATAAATGTTACAGAGATCCTTTCACATAAATGCTTATAATCCTAGCTGCACTTGGACAACTTTATAATCCTAGCTGCACTTGGACAACTTGAGGTCTTGGTTAAGTTCAGAACAGGAACAAGAAAAGAGTACCACGGCGAAAGAAAGCGAGAAGGATTCAGAGCAATGGTGTACATGGTTTATTGGCACTGGAAGAGTTTGTATCTTAGCCATCAAACATCTGCCGTCCTCACCTCCAATTTTGTGATTGGCTGTTCTTCATGGTGATTTTAGAAGAGCGTACATCACTGTTAATACTGAACACTGCTCTGTAGCTGACTGACTTTAATAGTTCAATATGAGCTATTCTTTTGTTCTCTTGGACCACACCATAACAAGAGCAAACCCCATTAGGGACATCAGCACAACCTGCAGAGAAAAGTAGAAATCAGTTTAGCAATTTTTCAGGTGTAAGATACAGGATTTGAAGTTGTGCTCAAATCGATTTCTAGATACATAAGAACTGAAATCTGAAATATTAATTGTGTCAAAACACATTTGCGAAACACATCTTTTGCATGAAACAGTTCTGAGATTTTGGGACAACTATATATAAAAACTCATATCTGTTCCCTAGATGGAAATCACGTAGGTCGCATAAAACTCATATCTGTTCCCTAGATGGAAATCACGTAGGTCGCATCAGACAAGATAAACCAGTACAAGACTAAGAATTAATGGTTGACTCCTGAGATAAAAGCAAATAAGCAACAGGTGAGGAAAAGTAGACATACTGATATAGCCGGGGGCACTCCCACTAGTGGGTCTGGGAAGAACCTGTTTGCTAAAGCAAGAGCAAGAAGGCTACTTTGCATTCCTGTATGACATATATGTGATAGTGAGACAACAGAAGAAATTGCAAATAGCATATCCTAATCCAACAAGAAACTGTATATTACCTGTCTCAAAAGATACTGTTCTTTGTAGTGCCTTTACATCTGCTGACTCGCGAAACCAAGTACCAGCAAGATGATATCCAGCTATAAAAGATGATGTATGGAATGCAAAAAGGAGAAGCACTGTGGCTAGTCCAAATGGGGACAAAACAGCCTTAATATTTATGGCCAATGGTGAACCAACACATAAAGCAGTCACAAATACCGATAGTGGAGGGAGAAATGGCTGAATAGCTGAACAGAGCCGCGGAAGATATCTTCATATCATCAAGAAACAAGAAGTTAAACACATTAATAAATACTCTTAAATGAATGCATACTAATAAGGTTGCAAATATCAAAAACATATAGTATGCGTATAAGTAACTGTAAGATGTAGAACAGGGTGACATATACTTTCAGACCAAAATAAATACCTATTCAGAAGCAATCCGGCAGCAATTGGAGCAACCACTATTTGAACAATACTGGACATCATCCCTTTCACATCCACCGGTAATTTCTTGCCAATAAGAAAGTAGGATAAAGTTGGGGTGACAAAAACGGCAGTAGCTGTTGACAATGATGTCATAACAATGCTGAGGGGGGCCATATGTGGATCTGTCAGAAACGTTGCATAGTTTGATAGTTGTGCTCCACTCACACATGAAACCAACATGATACCAGCACCTGAAAAAAGACCAATTCAGAGTTCTCTATATAACCATCAATATTTCTCATGTAAGCATAATAAATACTAGGATAAATTCAACTCCCCTACCTAAAGCAGTAGGAAGATTGAAAATTGTAACTGCAAGAGTGCCAAAAAGGAATCCTAAGAAAGGCTTGATAATAAATTGTCCAACATAGCCAGCAGCTATAGCATCTGGTCTTTGTATAGCCTCAATGAAATCCTTAACACTTGAGTTTACACCCACTGCAAACATCAAGAATCCCAATGCTGGTGCATAATATCTGCCCAGTCAATGACACAGTGAGAATGTAATAATAAAGTCAAATGTGAACAAATTAACAATCAAATAAGAATAGCATTGCGAGTGCATATATAAAGTATCAGTAGCAGAAATGACATGATACAGCAATCACAGCTACATCCCTTCTCTGTTATACTCACTCTCGTATAAATCAACAATGGCCTTTATCAACATACATGAATGATCAGCAATTAAGCATACTATGTTTCAAGGGTGTTTTTTGTCACCCAAAGATCAACTGGATATAATTCAGTAGTACTACACATATACTTCGATATCTGAATCTACCTAACTGGTCATCATGTAACTAGTCAGCGATTAGTGAATAGAGCTTCATTTCACTGAAAGTACAGCCCAGAAATATCAGCGCAACTAGCTGATGAGAAAGTAACACACAAACACCTGTTATTCAGGTCAAGAACTGAATTAAGTTCAACTTAAAACACACAAGCAAGACTGACCTAGTTGTGAACCATGTAAAAGAAGGTGGGTACACCAGAGCAAGAATTGTGCTCCCCAGCACTACGTGGGGAATAATGGTGTTGGCACTCTTCAGAATCTTCAGCAAATCGACTTTGCTCTCCTCCACTATCTGTAAAAGGTTACTCCAAGCCATTAATCAAGCACCAAGTGAATACCCAAATAGTAGCAAATAGTAGTAAACTGATACAAAAGCTCACTAACTAGAGCATTGAAAAAACAGCATCAGGATGGCACCTGCGGCGAAGCTAACACATCGTCATCTCCAATGCGATCTTTCTCAAACGAACCACTCGCACTCGCCCAGACACGTCCACTCGCAGCCACTACAGATCCCTTCTCTGCTTGCTTCAATTAATAAAGAACATGAGAACCACTACGATTGTGCTATCTTTTGAGCACAAAACATTAAACTTCTAACCAAAGCAGTAAGCTTTTGATGGAAAGACAGACATCATACCGAATTTATAAAAGGAAAAGAAATAAATTCAAAACTTTACATTTTTTATGCCACCAACCAAAGGTGAATCAAAGATATGAACAAGAGTTTCTTAAGACTATTAGCCCCCCCCCCCCCCCCCCAACGACCTCCAACTCCAATCCTCCTTAATCGCCAACCCACACAGCTATAAAAAGGGGATATTTCAGATCGGATCAAGCAGAGCACCTACGCCGTGAAAACGGCGGCGAGACCGCCTGGGGAGGAGCCAGACGGGGCAGTCGCCGGCCGGTGGGCAGATGGTGGACGCCGGCGATGTGGGGCCGCACCAGGACGGCGGCGTTGGGGGCCATTCGAGCGCCGGCGACCGCGAGGGTGGGTGGGTTTTGGTTTCAGAGTTTCAGAGCTGATGACGCAACGCAGCGAAAGAGACGATTCAGATTTCAGTGAGAAGTTGGGAGTTTCGACAAGGAACGAACAATCAGTCGATTAGCACCTTCTGATTTGGAATTATTCGGCTAGTTTATCATCCTCCGGCCTGATTGTTCATTCTTTATTTTCAAAGCAATCCCTACCTGTCCAAAAAAATTGCTTCTTCCGTTTCCGTTTCATATTATAAGTTATTTTATTTTTTTTCTTAGTCAAACTTATCTTATTTAAGTTTGATCAAGTTTGTAAAAAATCATATTAGTATTTTCAATACAAAACAAACAAATAGTCAAAATATATTTAATGTTAAATTTAATTAAACTAGTTTGTGGCTTCATCTTTTTCTTATACTTATGATTATCATTCAAATTTTAAATTTTTAACTTTAAATTTGGAGTTTATTTTGAGGTTTTTTCATCTTAGTTTAGTTTTTAGCCTTTTGTTTTAGATCGTTTAAAACACGTATATAAAAGTTTTATTAACAAATTATTTTTCATTTACAAATAACAATAGGGATGTTTGTATTGTGAATGTTGCTAACTTTTTCTATAAATTTGGCCAATTATTATAAAAATATTTGACTAAGGAAAACATCAAACAACTTATAATATTAAAAAAAAGAATATCATGAAAAAAAATAACAGCACTATAAAACTATCATGAAAAAAAAAACATCATTCGTTTGACAACTCCTACGCATAGACTTTAAGGATGATGACAACAGGAAGTAAGCACCGGCCTATTTTTATGCTTACATAGATCTGGGCAGTTTTGTTAGCTTGGGAAAACATAATAAAGGACTCAAGCTGCAAATCCACTGAACCCCAAGGTCGAATCCAAATGCAGTTATAAGGCCCCTTTGAATCGCAGGATTGAGAAAACGTAGGAATAGGAAAAACGTAGGATTTTGATAGGAATGTAAGTGTAAAACAGAGGATAACAAAACGCAGGAAAAACACAGGAATGACCGTTTGATTGAACCACAGGAAAAACACAAGAATTGGATGAGAGAGATAGACTCAAAGGAAAGTTAGCAAGAGGTTGAAGCTCTTGCTAAATTTCCTCCAAAATCTCTATAGGATTGTCCATTCCATAGGAATTTCAAAGGATTGGATAGGATTCAATCCTTTGTTTCAAAAGGCTTCATAGGAAATTTTCCTATAGGATTGAAATCCTCTAAAATTCCTATGTTTTTCCCCAAAATCAAAGGGGCCCATAGCGATTCAAGTGCAATCCATGTGTGCCAAAAACATGATCCATGTGGTATGTGTTGGGAAGCATCAAATCCTCAATGTTGGAGTTCAAGTGCTCCATCCGTTTCAAAGTTAAACAACTTTTAGAGTCTGTAAAATTTATCCCACATATAACACTTTATTATCTATAAAAGATGATGTATATCATTAAACTGCACATACTATCCCTATTGTTTTTTAACTTTATTACGCTTATGCCTTATTACTGTTCGAGCTTATGTCACATCTATTCCAAGGATGTTTTTCTGCCCTACTTCTTCTTCACTGTGTCAATGGCTAAAACTTGATATATTTTATGACGAAGGGAGTGTTATATTTGTTTGGGGTTAGGACCTGAAGTATAGAAGTTTTAAATCATTTTGATCTTCTTTGTGTTGAGTCTGTTCCCTTCCTTCCTTCCAACGTTAACTACACTTTTGTTTCAAATATCTTCTCCTTTTGGCTTATTTTTTTTACACAAACGGTGCTAAAGTGAAATAATTTTTTTCATTTTCCGTTTAAATTGGAGGACACCAAAAATCAACCGAAGAGAATTTAAACTCTTGTATAGTTTGTGTCAGGTGTGGATTCATCGTCCCGTGATCCCATCAGACAGACGCGCAATGAAATTTGAATGTTTTTCAACGAACCAGAAGCAAATTTTTATAGCAAAAAATTATTATAATATAATAATATTTGTTCAGACTCCTATGTATTTGTGTCAAATAAATATGAAAAAAAAAAGAGAAAAAAAAACTCTCCTACTCCAGATGGGCCTGGGCTTCTCACTTGCTTCGAGCAGCAAAGGCCCATTCGCGCTTCCGACGAAGGCCCATTCGCCAAAACTCGGACACGCCCACGCTTTACACGGCGGACCAAACGTCCCCGCCACGCAAGCGCCCATCCACCCGTCCATCCCCGAAAATATCTAGCGCATCGACCGCCACGTGGACAAGCTCACGATCACGTGCCGCTCACGCGCCAAAGCTAGGGTTTACCTCCCGCCGCCGCCATTGCTACATATACCTCGCAACCCCCCTCCCCTTCTCCCCCTCTTCCCCCCCGGCTGCGTCTCCTCCTCCTCCGCCGCCGCCGCCGCCGCCTCCTTCTCCGACGATGCCTTCCCTCCCCGTCGCCGCCGCCGAGCCGATGGCCGTCGACGAGTCGGCCTCCAAGAAGTCGAAGCGCAAGCTGAAGGCGGCGGAGGTGGAGGTGGAGGCCTCGTCGAGGAAGAAGGAGAAGAAGGAGAAGAAGCGGAAGGCGAAGGAGCCGTCGCCATCGTCCTCCTCCTCATCCGAGGAGGAGGAGAGGAGCAGCACGAGCTCCGACGAGCCGGCGCCCGCCGCGAAGAAGGCGAAGAAGGAGAAGACGAAGGAGAAGGTGGTGGTGGAGGAGGAGGAGGAGGACGACGACGAAGGGGAGCTCACCGCCAGCGGCGACGAGGATCCCGCCGACCCCAACGCGCTCGCCAACTTCAGGATCTCGGAGTCGCTCAGGGAGAAGCTCAAGTCCAAGGGGATCAAGGCGCTGTTCCCCATCCAGGCCACCACCTTCGATCTCGTCCTCGACGGCCACGACCTGGTCGGCCGCGCGCGCACTGGACAGGTGAGTGTTCCCTCTCGATTTTTCGCAGCAGCAGATCATTTGATATGAAACGTAAGTAGTAGTATGTTCAAATTACCATGTGCTTTTCACACTTAGTGTAGCATGTTTAGTGGATGATTACAGAGGCCGTGTTCCAGTAGGAATCTCGTGTAATTCATTGAACTTATCGAATTTAGTATATGGATATTGTAAACATGGTTTTAACTAATTTAGCTGTTTGCACAATCTCAGAATGGTGTTAACAAGAAATTCGAAGATTTTTGCTGTTTATGTGTCAACGTAGGTTTCTATGAAATGACTGGGAGGGGAAGTTTGTATCTGTAGTGAATTTCCCTTTTACTAAGGGTGGTTACTTCCATTATCATCAACAAGTTCCTTGTTCCTGAGTAATGGCAATGAGGAATGATATTGCATAATTTTGTCTTGTTTCTCTGAATTGTTTGTAGCCTACTTATAGATAATGTTAATTTGTTATAGGGAAAAACATTGGCTTTTGTTCTACCGATACTTGAGTCATTAGTTAATGGGACACACAAGGCATCCAGAAGGACTGATTATGGCAGGCCTCCAACTGTTTTGGTTCTGTTGCCTACCAGAGAGCTAGCCAAGCAGGTACGTTTGTACCACTCCATCAGGTTCTCGAGGAAAAAAAATTCCTTTTTATCTGTTCTGACCCTTGTACATGAATTTCAGGTGCACACAGACTTTGCATTTTATGGTGCAACATTTGGGCTATCTGCATGCTGCGTATATGGGGGTTCTGATTATCGTTCTCAAGAAATGGCAATCAGAAAGGGGGTTGACATTGTTGTTGGAACTCCTGGTCGTGTGAAGGTAGTTACTATTGCTTTGCTGATACTTCTTGACTTGGCCCATAGTCTGTTAGGTTCTATTCTCATGTTTGCTGCATGGTTTTCTTGCACAGGACTTTGTTGAAAAGGGAACCCTCAATTTTAGGTCTTTGAAATTCCGTGTCCTTGATGAGGCTGATGAGATGCTTAATATGGGCTTCGTTGATGATGTTGAGCTTATTCTTGGTATGCCCACGTATATTCTAGTTGCTCTTTGGTTTGTGTGTCTCATGTAATCATGCCATTGTTGAGTTGGTCCAATTGTTCTCTTTATTGGTGTTATTTATCTGGATTTTGACATGAAATGTTCAACGGTTGACAAGTTTACCTTCAGTATTTTATCTATTTGATGCAAAATCTAATGTAACCCTTTATTATTATGAACAGGCAAAGTTGAAGATGTTACAAAAGTACAGACACTTCTCTTCAGCGCTACTATACCAGAGTGGGTGAAGAAGGTGCGGACATCTTTAAAATCCATTTCTCTTTCTGATTTTCTTTAATATTATTGTGTGGCTGATAATATATCGGTATGGATGCTGTGATGGTTATAGCTCTCCTTGAGATTTCTCAAATCTGGAAAGAAAACGGTTGATCTTGTTGGAGATGAGAAATTGAAAGCTAGTGCATCTGTTAGGCATCTTGCTCTTCCTTGTAACCGTGCTGCAAGGGCTCAAGTTATTCCAGACATCATCCGATGCTATAGCCGGTGTGTACACCCACCAAATTGTCCTTGTGAGAATAACTTTTTAGTCATTTCTTACTTACCCTTTATATTTGTCTTCAGTGGAGGCCGGACCATTATCTTTACCGAGACAAAAGAATCTGCATCAGACCTCTCTGGTTTGATTGCTGGATCACGTGCCTTGCATGGTGATGTTGCTCAAGCTCAGCGTGAAGTAAGTAATCTTTAATTGTTCAGTGCACTATACTTTGGAATGATGTGTAATCATTTATGCTATTCAAAATTCTACTAGTCTAGTAGCGTGACTAGATTTATTTTTCTATAAAGAAAAATGGTCTGCTCATGTGCCAGTTGTCTTTACTGACATGCACCATGTACCAATTTATATAATCTTGGAATGCTATTATCCTTATGACATGATTGTAATTGCCAATCCTAAACTAGTTTAGATGTTATTTGTGAATAATTACTTTGTATTTTCTTTGGCTATTTGTAATGTTTAGAAGGTTATCGAAAACATGTATATAAATCACTGAATAAATTTTTGTAGGTTATTCTTGCTGGGTTCAGGAGTGGCAAGTTTTTAGTTTTGGTTGCTACAAACGTGGCTGCACGAGGGCTGGACATTAATGATGTGCAGCTTATCATTCAGGTACGACATGTTCTGCTGTTGATTAATTTTTCTAGGGACTAGGCCTTTGCCAATGTCATTGATAAATATTTCAAACTTCCAGTGTGAACCTCCACGTGATGTTGAAGCCTACATACACCGGTCAGGTCGGACTGGGAGAGCAGGTAGGAGTAATTCGGTTACTATATTTTTTCTGCTTATGATGGTTACCTTCTAAGCAATGTGTTTTGATTTTCAGGCAATACTGGTGTTGCTGTCATGCTTTTTGAACCCAGATATAAGTTCAATGTGAACAGAATAGAAAGGGAGTCTGGGGTCAAATTTGAACATATCTCTGCACCACAGCCAACTGATGTGGCACAATCTGCTGGTACTGAAGCAGCAGAAGCCATTTCCAGTGTTTCAGACAGGTAATAAGTTTGAATTTAAAATTTTAGGATAAGCATACTTTGTGTTATATTGATCTGTGCCATTGAGCTTTTGATTGGATTCCATGCAGTGTCATTCCTGTTTTTCGGGAGCAAGCTGAGCAACTATTGAACTCTTCCGGGATGTCTGCAGTTGATCTACTAGCCAAAGCACTTGCGAAGGCAGTTGTAAGTTGCTTCTCCTGTTATGTAATTAATACTGTAGCAAGTACTAGTATAGCTGCGATACTTAACAGAGATGCATTTCTTAGGGCTACACGGACATAAAGAAGAGATCCTTGCTGTCTTCTATGGACAACCACACTACATTACTTCTTCAAACTGGTCGATCGGTGTATGCAGCAGGGTGAGTGGATCAATTAACTTCGCTCCAGTATTCTTTTGAGTGATGAGTTGTCTCTTCTCTTCAACTGATTGGGAAACTTTTTATCTTCTTGTAGATTTGTTCTTTCTACTTTGAAAAGGTTTATGCCAGAAGAGAGACTTGCAGATGTAAAGGGTATAACCATCACTGCTGATGGGACAGGTGCTGTATTTGATGTTCCTTCAGCAGAGGTTGAAGACTATATTCAAGGTATACCTCTCTCTCTCTCTGATACATGGTTTCAATAGTTCATACAGTACAACTTGTATAAATTCACTATTGTGCTTAACAGCTCAATATATGTAAAATTATCCATGCTTTCCACTCTGTCTGGGATTCATATTCTTATGCTATTAGCTCAATTGTATTTGGTACTCAAAACATATGTCGTGGTGTTCCACAGGTGCACAGAACGCTGCCATGGTGACTGTCGAGGAAGTGAAACAATTGCCACCCTTGCAAGAGAGGGAACAGTCTGGTGGCAGCCGAGGTGGAGGAAGGTTTGGAAACAGGAGATTTTCTGGTGGTGGTGGTGGCCGGGGTGGAGGCGGCAGAGGGTTCGGTGGAGGCAGAGGCAGGGGAGGTGGCGGCGGCAACAGGTTTAACAAGAGGTACTAGCTGTTGCTGGAGCACTCTCATTTTTGACCTATAGGTTGAGCCAAGGCACAGGGAATCGCCAAAATTTTGACTGCGCCATGTATCGGTTTTTTGTTTATTTGTTAGTGTTTGTGTGTTCGAGATTATGATGATCAATTTTGCCATCGCAATAGTGTACAATATTGATCTGATACTTGCTACATAGTAACTGTTAAGAATGAAGCTATATACTTGTTTCCCCATCGGCTATTACCGAAGCTTTTGAATGAATGCAAAATATGTCGTCTGTGAACAACAATTCCTGTTGTTCGGAGGAGGATTTTGTTTGGTTCATCTCGCTCAAAAAGTTTTATTCAGTAAACTTGCAAGTTTAAATTTGACCTGTAAAAATATGTACAACAATTAACAAATTTGAATGTGAATACTGCACTGTCATATAACCTAGTACCGGATCTAGATTCGTTGTAATATGAAAATGACACATCCGGTACTAGGTTGCTATATTATAGGACGAAGGTTGCTATATTATAGGACGAAGGGAGTATTGATCTGCAATGTCAAATCTTTTTTTATTTTTCTTCTATTTCAATATGTCGAATTTTACATGCAAGTTTTAGAATAATGTCTTGTATTGATCTACCTTACCATTTTTTCAAAAAAAAATGATTAGATGATAGGCAAAATTAAATAAGGTTCTGTCCTTCCCTTTCTTTTCCAACTCACTTTCTTCTTATTTTTCCGCGCGCATGCTTTTTAAACTGATAAACGATACTTTTTTTGAAAGTTAAGAAAAATTACTGTAAAAATCATATTAATTTATTTTTAAGTTAATTTATACTAAAAATTAATTAATAACGTGTTGATGGGTAATACCATTTTTCGTGCGTGGAGTTGGAGTTCTCCTAGCTCAGCCTAAGAGGTTTATTAAAAACTGATTTTAATTAGACCACATGTATAGATGAGATAATATCCCCTCAAAACAAATAGGCTTCCCATGTGCTTCACTGATTCATTCTGTCTCCTTCCTCTCGCTGATGTTCTAGCCTCCATTTTCTTCAATTTTTCTCGTATTTCTAACATACATAAACACTTGCTGTGACCTGTGAGCCTTGTGACTATTATTAATCGGCGTGGGCTAAACGAGTCGATAACAACAAAAAGGTCTCCATCATACCCAACAAAAACCATTACTACAGGTGTAGTTCCCGTCACGAAAGATCAATCCATCCATCCGTCCAAATGAATGCATCCCGCTTTATCATAGGAAATAGCTATACATACAACCAACTTGTACGATATTTATCCGACTAGCGCCGAATTGCTACGTGTCTAAGCTCACATGGAGAGATGCCGTGAGTACTGATTAGTGGTCGGATGCGGGTTGTATGGCTTCTAGTCGTATGTATAGCAGGACTATTTATCATATTCAATCGCCGGTGAGCTACATACGATGTGTCTCCCTGTTGAGAGTACTGTAGGTGGTCCGATGCAGGTTGTACAGCTCTAGTCGTATGTATAGTAGAACTATTTATTATATTCATATCGTCGGTGAGCCACATGTAGTGTGATCTCCCTACGGATAGTACTGTTTGGTGGTCGGATACAGGTTGTACAGCTCTATTCATATGTATAGTAGGACTATTTATCATATTTAATCGCCGGTGTCACACAGTGACGAAGCTATATTATCTTGGGGGGGGAGGGTGCACATGAACCTCCTAAATTCCTAACTTCTCACTTAAAAACACTAGAATGTACAATGTTGTACTGAAGATTTCTATATTCTCAATGGTAGTGCACCCCCCTTATTTTAATGCTAGCTTCGCCCCTCAGTCACATGGTGTGATCTCCCAACAGAGAGTACTGCCTGTTGTTCGAATATGGTTGTACGGTTCTAGTAGTTGTATGTATAGCTATGTATAGCAGATACGAGTTATACGGTTCTAATCGTATGTATAGTAGGACTATTTATCATATTTATAGCATCAGTGAGTCACATGTAGTGTGATCCCGCTGCTTAGAGTACTGATCGGTGGTCGGATCGTATGTATAGCGGGACTATTTATTATATTTATATCATCGGTAAGTTACATGTAGTGTGATCTCTCTACTTAGAGTGTAGCAATTGGTGGTCGGATGTGGCTTGTACGGCTCTAGTCTTACGTATGGCAGTACTATTCATCACCGGCGCCCAATGAAGGCGCGCCGCCGCTAGGTTGTTGTACGACCAACGACGTCGACCGACCACGTAACACCACTATCTCAAACCAATTATTGCTCATGATGATATTATATCTCACCAAATTATTCCATATTACTACTGTTTTTGTGACGTCACATCGTGCCCCCGCCGGCGGCGAAGGGGTCGAGGTGGAGCCCCACCGCCGACAGCAGCGGCGGGCCTCGCCGCGACGCCAGCCACACCCTCACCGTCCGCCCCGCCACGGGGGCGCCCAGCCTGTGCAGCCGCTTGTGCCCCACCGTCGTGCCGCTCGCCACCGCCGCGCCGCCGCCGTCCACGTACACCTCGTGCCGCTCCACCCGCTGCCCCATCGCCACGTGCTCCTGGATCCTCACCACGTTGAACTTCCTCGCCGCCGCCGACGCCGGCCGCCGCAGCTCGATCCAGTACCCGCCGCCGTCCTCCGCCTCCGCCGCGGCCGGTGCCCAGTACGTGTCGTCGCGGCCGTCGAGCACGTTGGCCGCCGCGAACCTGCCGCCGCGCTCGCTGCTCGCCCTCGCCGCGCTGCCCGCGGCGAGGTCGGTGCCGAAGATGGCCGTCACGGCGGTGCGGAACTCGCGCAGCCTGGCGATGTCGGCGGCGTCGACGAGGCCCGTGGTGTTCGGCGGCGCGTTCAGCAGCAGCACGCAGTTGCGGCCCACCGAGTTGTAGTATACCTCGAGCAGCTCCGGCAGCGGCTTCGCCGTCTCGTTCTTGTGCCAGAACCACCCCGGCCGGATCGACACGTCGCACTCCGGCGGCACCCAGTCCTTCCCCCTCGGGTCGCCGGTGTTCAGGTACCTGGGTGGGTGATGTCAGCAATGGCGGGACGACGGTGGCCACCGAACTAATTAACGCGTGTTTAGTGTAGTGTTACCTACTTCTCGATGCCGGCCTCGCCGATGGTGATCTTGGAGCGGTTGATGGTGGACCAGCAGGTGGATCCGGCGGAGCCATTCTCGTCGCCGACCCACCGGAGGTCGGGGCCGTCGTCGGAGAAGATGTTGATGGAGCTCTGCAGCTGCCGCACCGTCTGGAACCACTCCTGGAAATGGTACGTCATGTTCGTCGCGTTCTTCCCCTTGGCGCCGTCGAACCATATCTCCGACACGCTCCCGTACCTGACAACCAAACACATCAAGCTCGATCGACGTCAGCAATGGCGGCGGCGGCGGCGACGTGTGTGAGTGTGTCAAGCGTGTCACTGACCCAGTGAGGAGCTCGTGGAGCTGGGCGAGGTAGTACTCGTTGTAGGCGACCTCGCGGCCGTACCGCTTGTCGTGGCGATCCCACGGCGAGAGGTAGATCCCGATGTCGAGGCCGCGGGCGCGCGCGGCGTCGGCGAACTCCCGCACGACGTCGCCGCGGCCGCCGCGCCACGGGCTGGCGCGGACGGAGTGCGCCGTGTGCGCGGACGGCCAGAGGCAGAACCCGTCGTGGTGCTTGGCGACGAGGACGACGAGCGACGCGCCCGCCGCGGCCGCCGCGTCCATCCACTGCGACGCGTCCAGCGCCGCCGGGCGGAACGCCGCCGGCGGCTCCCGCCCCGTGCCCCACTCGGAGTCCGTGAACGTGTTCATCCCGAAGTGGAAGAACATGATCACCTCCCGCCGCTGCCACCTCAGCTGCGCCGCCGTCGGCACCGGCAGCACCGGCAGCGGCGGCGTCGCCGTCGCCTCCGCCAACGACGACGATGTGGCCGCCACAACGGCGGCGATCAGCGCGGCGGCGAGAGCGCAAAGCGGCGACGCGCACCGACCCATCATCTCTTCTCCCGTTTTGTGTTGCAAATTAAGCGATGCGAGCGATATATATGAAGGTGTATCGATCGGCACACGATTCTGGAGGAGAGATACACGCGACGCACGAGTGTGTCCGTTTCCTCGTGGCATCATGTGACGCAGAAGGGGCGTGTAAAACGGGGAAACTATTTTGAATCCTCAAGCTAGGGATGTTTTCTACTATAGTTTATTTAAAAACCATTTAAACGGTTATAGACTTATACAACCAGAATAACTTCTGCGTACGACTCGTACATCAGACTCCTGTACGATCATGACTAGCTGTGAGAAACCTAAACCCACATAGAAGTAATATGAGCAACATGACGATTAGTCTAATGAGGTGAGACGTACGCTAGTCATATGCATCGGTCGTACGTATAGCACTTATCTTTACAACGTATCTATACAACTCCACAAAATCTTATATCCAAACTCAACTCACATGTCGAGATATAGAAAAAAACAAATTCAGCGTATGAATAGTAGCTACTATTAACATTTGAATTTACTTATTTTTTGTTTCTCGATGTGTAGGTCGAACTTGAACTTGATTTTTGGTGTACTAATAGATAATATCACTATATTCTACATTGTTAATCCTTTTTCAATTTTTTTTTACAAATATTAGTATCGAATTTGAAAGAAAATGTACAGGAGGGGATATCCTCTCGAGGGATTAGAATCTACTCCCGTGTAAAATGGGATGGTTTATTTCTTTTTTTTTTGTTTGTGATTGGCTAAATCACATTTGACAGAAAATTGGGTCTCAAATCTTGTATATTTCTACTCTTAGGATCTATTTCACAATTCAGGTTGTGGCTTCTCCTCCCCCAGCTCCAGTTACCTCGATGAATTCCGATGATTGGTAATGGTCCAACGAATTGGGGCTTAGGGCTTAAGGGTGTAGTCCCGGGAAGAGGGAGGAAGTTCCTCGGGCTTAGAGAAATGGTCATAGGAGGTGGCCTGGGTGGCAGAACGGGCGGGTGGCAAGATGGCGGTGGCATCGAAGCCGCAAGGTCATTAGTGGGTGGTGGTCCGATGTTGACAATGGGAAGGAATAAAGCAAGTGTTTAGAAGTTGGGAGAGACGGTGGCTTCTCCAACAGCGAGGAGCCATCAGAAACGAGGAAGCTACAATAGGACGGGAGCATCCTCGTAGTCACCGACTTGAAGAGGAGAGAGATGTGAGAGATGTGAGAAATAGGGGAATGTTCGGTGGGTCTCACCCGTGGCAGCGGCACAGATGAAGAGGGATGAAGAAGACGTTAGAGTTTAGACGTGTTGCATGAATCTTAAAAAAGATGATGGAACGGTTCAGAAATCGTATGTTATTTAAGAGATTTTTCTATCAAATGATAGGTAAGTAGGTTTTATTGAATGAATAAAGAAATATCCAGAATGAGCCTGTTATCTTTGTATAGACCATGAAAAACACGTTGGATTCAGGATTCGAACCCAGATGAGCTGAACGAACACCCTCGCATCACGCCACCTGAGTTGTGCTCAGTTCTCAAGTAGGTATTTTTGTTATGAACCCTGCTATATATGTACGACTTCTCCATCCGACCGATGTACGACCGAAACGGCAGAGCAACACAATACATGATGGCGTGATGCTTCGTGCGACGTATAGCATGTTGCTAACGCCACGTACGCCGTAGTCGTCCAAAAAATCGGATGCTGAGGTCGTTTGTGTAGCATTTTCGTTTTGTTATTCTCGATTCCGTGGTTTTGGAGTTTTGTCATCCCAGTGTCGGGATGATACTAGTAAGAAAGAAGACAAACAGTTAATTGGTTGCTGTGGATGGCTCTGGCCTCTGGGCCTCTGGCAATGGAATATGGAATGACATGGCGTGGCATCCATCGAGCCAAAGATGCAACATGCTCCTGCGTCCGTACGCGAGGGAGCAGGATTAGGGAGGCAGAGCTAGGATAGCAGCGTGACAGGATGCAATGCTGGCATTGGGATGTTAGCTGTTGGCGTTGCGAGGACGAGAGGGTGTACCATGCATCGCATTTGTATGCTGCGTCGCTTTAGTTAGGCAGTCGACTCGATCCATCACCCGATCGGTCACCAGCTAGCGATCGTTGTTTCTCACCGTTTGTCGCGGTGCATTGCAGCGGCTACGGTGGACGATACTTTTGGCTCCATCTCTAAGGCCTAGCGTTTCGATCTGGCCCTGTCTGCGCCTCGTAGAGTGGTACACTGGTACTACCTCTATGGCATAATATGCTACTCCATCCGTTTTGTATTATAAGTCGTTTGATTTTTTTTCTTGTTAAATTTAATTAAGTTTATAGTAAAATTTAGCAACATATAAAATATTAAATTAGTTTCATTAAATCTAACATTGAATATATTTTGATAATATGATTATTTTGTGTTGAAAATACTACTATAGTTTTTTATAAACTTAGTTAAACTCGTCCAAATTTAAATAGGAAAACGGAAGGAGTATAATATAAGATATTTTGTTCATATAACTATATGACAAAGTCTTTTTATATTATCGGATAAAAAATAGTATGTACTTGTAGATACATATTTTTTTTATTATGAACTATTATTATTGTCGGACAAGTATTATGTACTTGGAAGTACATAATATAAGAGATTGCCTTATTATCGGACGACTATTCCTATAAATCAGCGAAAAAACTATATATTTTTATTCTTTTTGTCAAGCGAAGCGGTGTAGAGAGGACGAGGATAAGATGGTGTTACCGGGGTACTGTAATGCACGAACAACAAACGATCTAGGCCATCTAAAAAGTGACTTAGGGTGATATTATGTTTTCTCTCAAATGTGATATATGTACCGGAATGCTAGGAGACGGGATACCGTCCCCCAACGGGATACTCCTCCTCCACAGATGCGATTCTCATCCATACGACGCGGCTGAAGGCATCAACGCGTGCCCGTCCCCCGCCGCCGCCATCGCCGCCGCGCCCGCCCCCACGCTGCCGTCGCCGTCCCTCACCGCCGCCGCCGCGCCCGTCCCTCACCGCCGCCGCCGTCGCCGCCGCGCCCGCCGCCGCCGTCGCCACCGCGCCCGCCCCCACCGCTGCCGTCGCCGTCCCTCGCCGCCGCCGCTGCGCCCGTCCACCGCCGCCGTCGCCACCGTCGCCGTCGTCGTCGCCATCTACAAGGGACGACTGCAGGTGGCCAGCCGCGCGTCGGGATGCTCCTCTCCCCAACGGGATGTCCAGTTATATCTAGTAGGAATCACCTGATACCTGGTAGGTATCATCCGATACCTAGTAAGTATCACGTGATACATAGTAGAAATCGTCGATATCTGACATGATACCTCGCGAGTATCACACGATACGTGGTAGAAATCGTCTGATATCTGATAGGTATCACATGATACCTCGCGAGTATCACGCGATACGTGGTAGAAATCGTATGATACTTGATAAGTATCACATGATACTTTGCAAGTATTACCTGAAACGTATGTAGAATAATCTGATACCTGATAGGTATCACACCTGATATCTATTTGGGATCATCCCGTTCGAAAACGGGATTCCGTTATATAGCAGCCCCCTATACGTAAGGCAATCTCTAAACTTAAATATTCCGTGTTGCACACATACTTAAACAGTTAAACAACCCCTTAATTTTAAAGCTTTAGTGGCGTTTGGATTGCGTGTGGTACAAACCGATCGATGTCTACGGGGCAGCCGCCGGTATGAGCAAAATGGAAGTCGTTTCTACAGAGTTTTCAGAAATCGGTGAACTGACATCAGTTCATTAATCTTGAACTAGCTGCTGCCCATGGCCTTTAATTTAATTACCCCACAAGTTAAGCTATGGCGCGTTATCGGAAATGCGTAATCTTTGCATGCCAGCCTGTACAAAACAGACTTTGAGCTGCATATATAATTTTTGTCACTTTGACAAGGTGAAGTTAGCCCGACAAATTAAGAAACAGTGGCACACTTCCTGACGAGTTGTGCAGGTAGTATTAGCAAACTGTTTTGGAATTTCATCATATTATGAGTTGTACAGCAACAAGATAATTTTACATCATATGGCAAATCAACTGCTCAGTATCATAAAATAGCATTCCGTAGAAATGTTCATCGTCAATGGTAATTGTAGCACTAATCATCATTTGTTAATGGTAAAACATAGAATTTGACCGAATGATTAAATGTCATGTTAAAGAACCAGCAACGTACAGTCTTATATTTTAAAATGAAGTGTATATGTGGTTAACTGTTCAGCATTTCTTATTCCTTTGGAGGGAGGGTAGAGTGTTTGTCTTTGGGAAGTATCTTTGTTCCATTGCAGGTGTGATGCATCATGCAGTTTGTTTATTTTATAGTATCGATCGTTACCCTGAAATGAGCACTTTGATATTCAGGACTCTGGAACACTGCTTTATCTTGCTGCTATTCAGGATCGTTCCATTTTATCTTGCTGCTATAAAATGGAAGATACAAATCCTATGAACATTTCTTTTTTTTTAGAGAAGAGAATCAATAGATATCTCATGAATCTCTGGCAGATTTTGGGTTAATGCCATTGGAGCTGAATCTCCCGACAGCAAGTAACCCTGCTCTGCTGAATCTGATAATTTGGGCAAGTCAATCAGTATGACCAGTAACACCACGTAGGCCCTAAACTTTCGGTGTCATGAAACCAATTTTCCCTAAAAATTTTCACCCTGTCACATCGAACATTTGAACACCTACATAAAGTATTAAATATAAGCTAAAAATAACTAATTGTAAAATTACGACTAATTTACGAGACAAATCTTTTAAGCTTAATTGCTCTGTGATTTGACAATGTGGTGCTACAGTAAACATTTGCTAATGACGGATTAATTAGGATTAATAAATTCGTCTCGTGGTTTACTGGCGGATTATATAATTAGTTTTTTTATTAATGCCCAAACACCTCATACGACATAATATATAATACTCGATGTGACACGCCAAAACTTTAAACCCTAAACACCCCCATACTGTATGTGATATGTCTCTCTGTTTTGCCGCAGATATCCCAGGTGGACTTCTTTTTGGCCCAACTATACTTCAGCTCTCACAGAGTTCAGGTGCAGAGGTTGGAATTTCTTAGACAAGTTCATTTTAGATCCCTCAATTTGTCGCCGAGTCTAAAATTCATCCCGAAACCACAACACCAAATATGATACATCCTCAACTCTCAAAACCAGCGCAAATAACGTCCTAAAACGGTTTGGACAGTAGTTTCGGCTGCCGTAAAGTCTACGTGACATTGACGTGCTACTTAAAGTCAGTAAAAACCAGGACCCACATATCAATGAGTACCCGGCTAAAAAATTTATAATGGGTCCCACCTTATTTTTCCTTTCCTTTTCTTCTCCTTTTCCTTTTATTATCTCCTTTCTTGCTTCTTCTCCTTCCATCCTGACATATGGTGGCCTACTCGACATGGGCCACGGTACGAATGCTTATCTGGCGGAATCAGTGGGCCACATGGGCCAGGTTGACTTCTTTCTGGCCCAAGAACGCCCCGGTATAGATGGCCAACTGGGCTGCCCGGCACAGTTCTTTCTGACTACTTGGGCCGTGCCGGGCTGGCCCGAAGGCACGATAACCTATTTGCTTCTCTATAGAAAAAGTCTACGGCTCCCATCGGATGGCCTAATCAGCCAAAGAAAAAGCCAAAATTTGAATTTTCAAGCTTAATTTTAAGATTGATTTTGAGATATTTTCAATGTAGTTTCTTTTTCAACATTGGCTTTTAAGTCACCAAGAACGCATTTATAAAAGTTTTACCTACAAATTCATTTTTATTTCCTAATAAGCCGTTTTGGTTTATTAGGAAATAAGCCAAACGATGGGACCTACTTTTCGTCCCTTAATTCTGTGGCTATGTTCAAATGGCTAGAAAATAAGTCTATTTTATATTCCTTTTTTCTTTGGGCTTTACCTTACACGGTTATTAAAGTCTATTTTATATCCCTATATTTTTTATATTTTATCGGGCTGTGCTGGGCCGGCCCACAGTGTTGAGGGTGCAGCCCAGACACGCCCAAACACAGCCTGCCTGTCGGGCCAGGCCGGCATGGGTACGACCCCAATCGGACCATGCCGTGCTTGGGCCGGACCAAAATGACGTGCCTTAGGCCGGGCCGCCAGCCTTGGGCCAATTGGCCATCTATACGCCCCGGATCTGAGAGAGTTGAGGTACATAGTTTTTTCTCAACTGTTTCAGTTCAGATGCAACGCTGCCTCACGTACCAAAAAACTACCAGCTCCCCTGCAATGTACTACCTACGTTTCTGCTGTAAATTTGTTGGTTACTGACTTACTGCGTACACTGCACTATCAGTAGTACTTCTACAGAGATCGTCCTGATCTACACAAGCTGTACACTCTATTAAACCAAATCTTTATCCCCCATACACACACTGTCACACTGTCTCTGCATTACTCACAGTCACCAGGCAGCTCATTATACCAAGCATCAAATCCAGTATAAAACCTCCTCTTGCACACACGGCCACTGCGACGCAGTGACACACACACTTGGGGCGCGCGGACGATATGGCCATGGACATGGCGCACCGTGACCACCTCCTCGCCGCGGCGCACGGCGCGCTCGCCGCCGCCACCCTCGTGGCGTGCGTGCTCGCCGAGGCCGCCGTCCTCGCGCTGCGGCGCGGCGATGGCGCCGCCGGGATGCTCTGCTACTACCTCGTGCCGGTCTCCGCGATGCTCCTCCTCTACCGCTCCCGGCGGCGCGCGGCGGCGGCGCGCGTCGGGCTCGTCGACTTCGCGTGCCTGAGGCCGCCGCCGCGGCTGCGCATCCCGGTGGCCGGGCTGCTCGAGCACTTCAAGCTCATCGGCTGCTTCGACGACGGCAGCGTGGAGTTCATGACCAAGGTGATCGAGGCGAGCGGCATGGGCAACGAGACCTACTTCCCGCCGTCGCTGCACCACATCCCGCCGGCGGCGACGCACGGCGAGGCCATCCGCGAGGCGCACATGCTCTTCTTCCCGGCGCTCGACGACCTCTTCGCCAAGACCGGCGTGCCGCCGTCGTCCGTCGGCGCCGTCGTCGTCAACTGCAGCGGGTTCTGCGCCGCGCCGTCGCTGTCCGCCATCATCGCCAACCGCTACGGCATGCCCAGCGACGTCAGGACCTGCAACCTCTCCGGCATGGGCTGCGCCGCGGGCGCCATCGGCGTCGACGTCGCCGCGGGCCTCCTCCGCGCGCACGCCGCCATGTCCTACGCCGTCGTCGTCAGCGCCGAGATCGTCACCGTCGGCTGGTACAGCGGCAAGGACAAGAGCAAGCTCCTCCTCAACTGCTACTTCCGCACCGGCTGCTCCGCCGCGCTCGTCACCACCAAACGCGGCGGCGGCGGCGTCAAGTACCGGCTCGTCAGCGTGACGCGCACCAACCAGACGGCCAACGACCGAAGCTACCGCTCGGGGTACCGCGACGAGGACGACGAGGGCATCACCGGCTTCACCCTCGGCCACGGCGTCGGGCGCATGGTGAGCGAGCTCCTCCGCGCGCACCTCCTCACCCTCAGCCTGTCCATCCTGCCATGGCGCGAGAAGCTCCGCTACGTCGCCGCGCTGCTCCGCCACCGCCGCCACGACAAGAAGGCCGGCTCCGGCGGCGGCATCCCGATGCCGGACTTCAGGGCGGCGGCGGAGCACTTCTGCCTGCCGTCGTCGGGGAGGCCGATGATCTGGAGGCTGGGGCAGGGGCTGGGGCTGGGCGAGGGGGAGATGGAGGCGGCGCTGATGGCGTTCCACCGGTTCGGGAACCAGTCGGCGGCGTCGCTGTGGTACCAGCTGGCGTACATGGAGGCGAAGGGGAGGGTCCGGCGAGGCGACACGGTGTGGCAGCTCGCCGTCGGCAGCGGCCTCAAGGCGAACAGTTTGGTGTGGGAGCGCGTCGCCGACGACGACCACTTCGCCACGGAGCGCCACGGGAGGACCACGCTGGGCCCATGGGCCGACTGCATCCACAAGTACCCCGTCACTGAAGGGTAGCACGCATGCATACACATGGAAGATTAGAAATTAAGTTATGGTTTGTTCTAATAATAAGCCACGAGTAAGATTTCATGTGTAATCTCGTGTGTGGTTTCTTATATAATTTAGTGTTTGAATATTTCCACCACTTTACTGGAAATAAAGGCTATATATATATACTTTACCTTAATTATGTGAAGTATAGTATTATTGCATTTTTTAGATGCACTTGCTAGTGCAGTGGCAATGGGTGTGTGGTTTCCATGTGCGATTTCCAGCTTGCTCACAATTTCCCACTAACGCATGATTAATAAAGTATTAGCCTGAAAACAACTTGAAAAATAGATTAATATGGTTTTTTAAAGCAACTTTTCTATAGATTTTTTTAAAAAAATACACAATTTAACAGTTTCAAAAGCGTGTGCGGAAAAAGAGGGAAGTGATCGAGTTGGGAAAGAATGGGAAGAACACAGCCTACGTCAAAACTCAAAACTCCGACAAAGAATCCGTGGTTTAGATTTTGGAGTGGAAGGAGGGAAGGGGGGGTGTTCTTTATCCATGGACGATGGTCAGACCTACAGTAGACAGCTATTCGAGGACGGACTATGAGATGGCAACAGCACCATTGGAGCTATGGGGTTGGAAGCTAGCAATGGGTAAGGTTGATGGTGGAGGCAACAATGGCATGGGAAAAATGGATAGCGGGGGGCACATTTACCGTTGCGCGACTTGGAAAAGAGGAGAGGTGGGAGGTAGGGAGGGGAGGAGGCAAATCTAACGCCGACGAGATAAGGAAACAAGGGATGTAATGGTGCTATTGTACGAGGCGAGCGGCGGTGGATGAAACGAAGGAGGAACCGATACGGAGGATACGATATTTGAGTTAATTAAAGGATAGTGGTGGAGAGACAAATAGATGGAGGAGATGAACACAAATCTTGAAGCAATCCTAATGGTTAATGGTTAAGTAGAAACTAGACTGTCCCACAAGAAAAAGTATATGTATTATCTCCATTTCTTTTTTTCGATTACATAGAAGATGCATGCGCACACTTTATAATGTACACCATCACATCTCTATCTCATAAGTGCACCTTCTAACACACGTTTGAGAGTTATTATGGGCAAACATAAAACCATAGTAGTCAAGGGATGACAACTATTTGAAACCAGAACAAGTATTACGCATGAATTTCACTCAAAATTATGAGGGAAAAAGAAAACGGTCCAACTGAAAACATTCTCCACTTGTACAGATAAGCCCGATTTAGTGGTCGAACATGCATGATATATCCAAGACACAATCTTATCTGCCTGACGATGCACGATTGCCCGGACCATGTGCATGCACGTCCCACAAACGTTGTTGATCTAAGGATCGGAGTACTCAAGAATGTTGTCACATGGAAGCACATAGATCCTGTAACATTACTGTGGCGGCAGTGGCCTGGATCTGCACTGCTGCACTGCCGATCGAGAGAGTTAGGTTTGCAGAATTAAGTGTGCCCTGTCTGTCCATGGCTTCCGCGGCAGCGGACAGTAAATGAGGCGGTACACGCTCTGCCCAATCGATCTCTCGTCTCTGGCTCTGCTACGTCAGTACTCCATCCCTTCCAAAATATAAAAAAATTTAATTAGATTTTAGTACCGAGAATATGCGCAAACAGTTTCACCGTGTCTAGGCTGTGTTTAGTTCAGCGCAAAGTTTGAATTTTGATTGAAATTGGAAATGATGTGACTGAAAAGTTGTGTGTGTATGACAGGTTGATGTGATGGAAAAGGACTGAAGTTTGGATGCAAACTTCTGATCTAAACACAGCCCTAGTTGCAAAAAAAATTTCAAACTTCCAACTTTTCCATCACATCCAAACTTTCCTACACACAAACTTTCAACTTTTCCATCACATCGCTCCAATTTTAACCAGACTTTTAATTTAATTGTGAACTAAACACACCCTTTGTTGAGATTTATAGTAGTAGAATGTGTCCGTCCAATTAAAATCTCTTATATTTTGAGAGGAAGAGAGAGTACATATATATATATATATATATATATATATATATATATATATATATATATATATATATATATATATATATATACACTGTTGGACTCGGTGTAAATGGCGGCATTGATGGAGAGACAATGCACATGGTAAAGTTATGGCTCATGAGTCATGACTGACCGAGTGCTGCAGCGTTATATTACTACCACAGTGAGGTACTGCAGCTGATTTTCGTATAGAAAAACATATCAAAGAAAAATAAAATCGAAAATATTCCAAGATAACTATGAAAACATCAATTGAAAGAGAGATTGAGAGTTATCGAGAATCCTAATTCTTGCCATTTAGAATGGATCCAATTCCATTAAATCTGACTCAGCGATCATTTCTCTTTAACACAGAATGACCAATGATAATAAGGGCTCCAGAGGAGGAGTGTAACAAAGTAAAATGACTCAATGCTAATCTATTGGATGCAATAATTACGTTACAATTTTCATGGTTTGTTTGTTCGTGTGCATATGTGGTTGCAGACTTGTATATACGGGTATGTATATGTTTGGTTGCTCACATCGAGTATCTATCTATCTAGGCAGGTCATGTATGTCTCGTCGGAAGATTAAGTATTTGTTCGTGTAGTTTTTTATGTACAAATACACAATATTCCGAATGTGCTGAAGATAATGCTAAAATTGTAGAGGGGCATACGATCCAATGACTCGAAACTATACGTAGTGAAGTGTTCTGGCTACACAAGAATAATACGTCCGTGACTGACGCCGAGAATATATGTGTCCAGTCTAAGATTTTCATCACTACGGTGGGTTACCGCTACTCATTGATATCGGCGGTACCGGTTGGTTACCAATCACAGATCGAATAAACACTACCAATTATTATAAATTTTTGTTTTTACCATACATATTTTGTCGATAAACCCAGTTACCACGATAACCGAGCGGTTGATGCTGATGGTAGTGCACACGGTTCGTCTCGTGGAGTGTCGGAAAAATCATCATACTCAATCACCAACGTAATTAATTCATCCTCCACGGTAGTTCTCCGACCCAAATCCCGAAAGCCGCACATGCTTGATGCAGTTTGTTCAATGAAGTCACAGCTCATGAGTCATGATACATCTGTATGTACTGATCTCAGCTAGATGATGAGTTCGAGAATGAAAGTTGTGCGCCCAACTGCTCGTACTGTTCGAGAATGTCGTCCTATTTTGTACTTTTCGGTGGAGCCATGATCCATTGGTGCCAAACTGCCGATCTACTCGGGCAGGCTATGGCCCACCTCCTGATCGGACGGTCAGCAAGGCCTCTAATCTGACTCCAAAATGCTCGGCGGTTTACCCGCTTATTTACACTATAAGAATTGTTTGGTACAGATTTAGCTCCACTTATAATAGGAGCAGGCTAAGTGAATCGCTATCACAAAATAAACAAGAGATGTTGAGCTGATTTTAGGATGTTCTACAACTCCACTTCAAACCTAACTCTTGAAGCTAAATTTAGAAGTTAAAGCTCTAACAAATAGGCACTAAGTGAGTTCACGGATCGACCCGCTTGCACCCTTAAAAATATCTGGTCGATTCCATCGGATAGTCAATCATGACACAAACACCCTCGTTTTAGCAAACCACAACCAACAAGGCTGTGAACACAGGAAAAGTTAACTATTTGTCACTAGAAGAGGTGGTCACCGGGAACGCAAACATCTCTTAACTTTGTGCCATTTTCGCCTATATGACGTGACACATAGGCACTCTGGTATGGAACACGGACATGCAATATCCTTATATTGGCATGCCAATGTGTCAAGCCACGTGAACAAAAATATCAGGAGATTAAAAAATTTATCTCTCCTATGATGGCAAACAAGTCACAATACAACAAATAGAAAGTGGCCACTTGCAAAAGATGCAAATAACTAAATTTTCCACGGGCCTCTTCCTATCTATATCTAGAACTTCGAACATAGGCATGCTCCATTATCGACCAAACATTTACAGAACTTTTATGTATAATAGACTAAAAGTTTTCGAAAATATTTTGTAAATAGCATGTATTATATGGAGCATATATGAATACATGTCCTAGTCAAACTCCACAAAACCGCAAAAATAAAATTGTAGTACTAAGCAATGTACGATCACTGAAGCAATCCTTTGTTGGATTTTCAACCCTCCTTTAGGTTTTCTACTATCTTCAAGAGTTAGAAGATGTATACCTCTTGATTAGCACCATGAGTAATACCTATCCCTCACAACGAGAAGGCTAACACACTCGAATGCCTCTACGTTCCCTTTTACTTTACGTGGACATTGTTGCTTTCCTTTTCTAGCCCATGCATGAAATATTTTTTAAGTAGAAACTCTTATTCACACTCTTTTCTATGAAATTGTGAGATTTTCAAATCGCGTGTTTGTAGACATGCTCAATTCCGATTTGGCTCCAACTTTCAGTTTAGAAACTCTCTATATTAAAACATTTGAACACGCGTAGACTAAAAGGTGGGTTGGCTAGGATGAAAAGTCATAGACCAATTTCAAAACCCGATTTGTGCGTGCGGCGGTGGAAGAGGGCAGGACACACGTGGACCGCTGTACGTGGGGACACACGTAGGCTGATTTTTGCATGCCTGCTTCCCGCGCAAACGCTCGCCCATTAGACCCACCCCCTCATAACATGTTGGAGGGTAGAAAAACCCTAGTTTTACTAACAATGCTCCTACCGAAAATCAGAAAACCAATACCGTTAACTGAAAAAGAAAATTCTGCAGTATGCATTGGCACGGCCTTTGAAGTCCAACGAATTCAGTACTTCATACTAGTTCTCTTGACACTCTTGTATATCTCTACAAGTTTAACCACCAATCCAAAATCACCACCGAGCAAACCACATTGTACCACCAAACATATGAGAGTTTTGCAGAAGGAGAAGGTAAATAATACTAGTACGGAGGAGTATTTCCGGTTACTGTCGGCGCTGTGCAAACTGTGCAGCATCGCGTCGCCGTCGACGTCGCGCTGCCACGCTGCCACTACTCCTCATCGGAGCTGGAATCCGTCATCCCCTCGTACTCGTCGTCCTCGCCGCCGCCGCCGCCGCCGGTGGAGGCCGCATGGTCGGCGGCGCTCGCCTCGTGGACACCGGGATTCTGCCCCACGTTGTAGCTGGAGGCGCCGGCGAAGTTGGCGTGGTCAGGGTTGGGTTGGAACGCCCAGTACTGAATTGGCTGGTTCACGGCGCCTGCGCCGCCGGGCGGGACCATCCACACGGTCGCCGGTGACATCGCCTGCTTGCCGCCGTCGCTGGTTGCCGGCATGGCGATGAACGGGATGGCGCCGCCTCCGGTGGCTGTGGGTGGTGTTGCGGATGAGGCGGGGGCGAGGCCGCTGGATATTGAGATCGAGCCGCCGCCGTTGGCTTGGAGGAGGGGGTCGGCGACGATGGGGTAGTAGACCGCGGGGGGAGGAGCCGCGGCCAGCGCCTCCACCGGGCCGCCGGCCGCCGCGCGCGTCGGCTGGAGCTTGCGGCGCCGCTTCGGGGCGGGCTCGTCGCCGCGGGCTGCGGCGGAGGGCGACTCGGTGGGGATGCGGAGGACGCCGTCGACGGTGGTGGCGATCGCGGGCACGGTGCCCGTCCCCGTGGCGGCGACGATGGCGGGCTCCGACTGCTGCATGAGCCAGCGGATGGTCTCGCCGTCGGACTTGTGCCCTAGCTCGCGGGTGAGCTGCGCGATCCTCGCCGCGCAGTTGACCGGCATGCGGATGCGGCGCCCGCGGCCCTCCACCTTGACGTGGCGGTCGCGGTTCCGCGGCGGGGGCTTCGCCACCGCTAGCCCACGCAGGAACTCCACCGCCACGGGCTCCGGCTTCGGCACGAGGGCCATCCCCGCGGCGAACGCCGACCCATCCGCCGCCATCCCCGCCTCCTCGCGCTTGTCCACCTCCTCCTCCTCCCCCTCCCCCTCCCCCTTCTCCTGCAGCCGCGACACCACGGGAGACCGAATCGGCGCGTATCCGGCGAACGCGGCGTCGCGGGGCCCCTCCTCCTCCTGCAACGCCACGGGGGATTGGATAGGGGGGTAACCTAAGCCGGCGAACGCCGCGGCATTGGTGCCGGGCGCCACGCGCTCCCCGGCGGCCGCCGTCTCCGCGCCCTTGCCCTGCAGCTGGGACGCCATGGGGGGGATCGATCGGGTTACGCTTCGCTCGGGCTCCTCTCCTGATTCTTCGCGTGGCGGCGGCGGCGGCGGCGGCGAGGGGGGGACCTAGTTCGTCGGTCTATGAGAGGTCATCTCTATGAAGGGTGGGCCCCGTGGGGTAGGGTTAATAGGGGGGCCACCGCCGAAGCAGGACGGTGGGGCCTTCGACGAATTTCGGCCCACTAAAAAAAAACTCGAGATGTGGCGGGCGATGTCCTTTTCTCTCCGAGATTGAGGGAGGCCTCTTCCACGGCCTGACCATGAGAGGGCCCTGTAAGGCTGTAATGGCCGTGTCTCATGCCTAAGGCCTGGCATTGGTACATTTTGAGGTGCAAATGTGCAAATGGTTTTTTTTTTCAACATGTGAATTTCCATGATTTTTTTTTTGAAAGTTCACAGGGAGAAGAGAGGATCCCTACCTAAATTTTCATTGCAAAATTATAAGATCCCACTTGATAACACACTTCACTGTGATTATTGGATTATGTTGCGGAAGGTGTGAGAGACTGGGGAATTGCATGTAACTCAGAGAGCTATATCCCATAAGACAATTGGCAACAGGTGCTTCAACTTGTTGGATTTGTGTCAAATGGTTGTTGAGTGCTTCTATGTTCTTCATCAAACCAACTAGCTCTAGTCATCCGGTTGCCACTCTTGCCAACGTCCATTCAAAGCCGGTTAAGAGGAGGGGAGTTAGGCATAACTCTTGGGATGGGTCGTCAAAAGAGAATGAGTAAATTCAAACGAGGGGATCTAATGTCTCTCTAACTCCACTTATAACTACCAAGTAATCTATTTACATTAGCACTCATCATACAGAAAGGATTCAACTTTAAGGTTGTTGTCCATTCAGGAGGGGGCTACCAGAAAAGAATAAGGAGGTCCGAGGGATGGGTCAAGGGTCAAAGTGTAACCCAGTATTTGGAAGACATGACCAAAGCAATGGAGAGGCAAACAAAGGAGAAACACTTTCTGAGGGGTACGCATATTCTCTCAATCACACAACGGAAACAATATCCAAGAAGAAATGAGAGGAGGTGCACGAAGAGAGTTCCCTAAGCTACATTACCATGCTAACAAAAAAGCAAGATGAAGCAAGGAAAGAAGTTGCATTAGGGTAGTAGCAAACAAAGGGGAAGGCAAAGGACTAAGCCTATGGCGCATATCTTGTGGGAGGCTAGGAAGATCCAGCCATCACTTATCATGGATAGCTTGATTATTTTGAAAAACCATCAAATATAAAAATTGCATTGCTACAACCTAATGCTTTCTAATATGGTCCCACATTATTCCTTTGCAAGGAATAAAGTGGTTCCTATTATAACTATTCTTTTGTAGAGATAAATATTACATGATGTTCCCAAAATGGCATTACCTAGCGATTGTGGGAACTCCACCTGAATCAAGCAAGATGTTTTGTAATACGGTATGAGATGAATCCACCTAAATTGTTGAATGAGAACACAACCTTCTAAAATTTGATTGTTTTCCAAAATAATCAAGCTATACTGCTAATTTGAGAAGATATCTACAAACACTTGGTAATTACTTCTACTATGTCATCCTTATCATAATTATATGCAATTTTCGTGTTATAACTATCCTGCTCTCGATCGGTTCAGCTGGCTACGGCTGCGGACCAGCAGCTCATAGCTCATCAGCTCCGCTGCCGCTAGCCACAGCTGATCGAATCCAAGCAAAACCCCAGATAAAGCAAGAAACGTGCACTAGTACTCCATCTGTCTCAAAATAAGTGTTGTTTATATTTAACGTTTGATCGTTCGTCTTATTTAAATTTTTTTTATGATTAGTTTTTTTATTGTTATTAGATGATAAAACATGAATAATACTTTATGTGTGACTATTTTTTATTTTTTTATATTTTTTTAAAATAAGACGGACGGTTAAATGTTGGACATAGATACCTACGTCTGTACTTATTTTGCACTTATTTTTATTTTGAGAAAGAGGTAGTATTATATCGGTAACAAAGACAAGAAAACAATTCCTCTTACGACACGAAGGTTGGTCAAGCAAGAGTCGTCCGATCCGATCTGAGCCCCCCCCCATCCCCAGCTGGCGCGCCTTACCCGCGCTTGTCGTGTCGTGTCGTGTCCTCACGTGCCGTGCCGCCCGGAATCTCCCCCTCCTCCTCTCGCGGCGAATCCAACAACAAAGTTGCGCGTTGCCGCCGCTCATCTCATCGATCAGCTGCAAAAAGCGCTACTACTAGTGCACACGGGCGACAAGCCACACACGCAAAAATCGTTCCCGACTCGTGGCGACGCAAGGCCGGCGACCCGTACGTGTGGCGCCCACGACGAGACGAGAGAGAGAGAGAGAGAGAGAGAGAGAGAGACAGCTCGTGTGGTCTCGTCTCATCTGGAGCTGAGCCGAGTAGCCGACGCCTCCATCTCCATCTCTCCTCTCTGCTCTAGCGTGGGCGGAGAACACGAGGCGTGGCCGCGTCGTCGTCGGAGGAGGGAGCAGAGATGGACGGCCGCAAGGATGTCGGGATCCTCGCCATGGATATCTACTTCCCGCCCACCTGCGTCCTCCAGGTCACTCCCTCGATCTCCCTCTCTGCTTTCTTCCTTCTCCTGATCTCGGCATTTTTTTTTTGGGGTGGGGGGGGGGGGGTTTACGTTTCGTTCTTGTGCTCTGGGTTAATCACGGAATCGTACTGGGAGGTCTCGCTAGATGCGTTCGGCGCCCCGCCTGGATGCGCTGGGTTTTGGGTTTTGGCGCTGGTTGTGGGCGACGCCAATGGTGGTGAGGTGCGCGAAAGCTGAATCTCTTGCGGATTGCGCTGCGGCGTTGCAATGTTGGTGCCACCACCTGTGTGTGTGGGGGTGGGGATCAAATCGACAGTGAGAAATATATATGCTGCCCATTCAGGATGGATGGATGGATGGATGGATGGATGTTTGAATTTTCTCATGGGCGGGTGGATTGGATGCAGGAATCGCTCGAGGCTCATGACGGCGCCAGCAAAGGGAAGTACACCATTGGTCTCGGCCAAGATTGCATGGCCTTCTGCAGTGAGGTGGAGGATGTCATCTCGATGAGGTAATTCAACGGTTTGACTGCTAATCTGTTGTTACTAATGTTTACATATGTGATCAGGAACACTCTTCTACAATGCCCCATTTTTTGTGTTGTAAGGGAGATGTGTACAATTGTGTAGCTTTCAGTGGTCAACTCTACGACACGCAATTTCTTCTCTCAAATAAATACAGTACAGATCTTTTGTCTGAATGCTGAACAAAACGTGCCTTGCAGCATGACAGTTGTCACATCCCTGCTGAAAAAATACAAGGTCGATCCAAAGCTGATTGGTCGATTGGAGGTTGGCAGTGAGACAGTCATAGACAAGAGCAAATCCATCAAGACTTGGCTGATGCAGATTTTCGAGGTCTGTTAATCAAATTGCTATCAATTTCCTCCTAAATTGACAGGCCGTCTGGTTCACTTTTGACCTCACGAGCCTTTCTTTACTGAGTTGTTAGTTTTTTGCTAATCTCTGTTCATAAAATGCAGGAATGCGGTAATACTGACATTGAAGGAGTTGATTCCAGTAACGCGTGTTATGGTGGGACAGCAGCGCTGTTGAATTGTGTGAACTGGGTTGAGAGTAACTCCTGGGATGGACGCTATGGCCTTGTTGTTTGCACGGACAGCGCGGTCTGTCACCCATCATTTTCCTTGAGCTTGAGCTACCTAAGTTGATCCTTTCTGTCTCAATTGGAACACTGAGCTCACTGACTACCATCTTGTTATTGAATTGTTCAGGTTTATGCGGAAGGCCCAGCTCGTCCGACAGGTGGTGCTGCTGCTATTGCAATGCTCATTGGTCCTAATGCTCCTATTGCATTCGAGAGCAAATACAAAGCTTCTCACATGGCTCACGTCTATGATTTCTATAAGCCTGATCTTGCAAGTGAATATCCGGTTAGTTTTTGTTCCTCTGTACTATTCCTATTATCTGGAGAGTTTTTTTTTCTTGCGATGCTATGTACCTGCTGTCCTCTCAAAGTGTCACACTTTATAGCACCATATTATGTTAATAACAGCAGATGCATTGTAGGTCGTTGATGGAAAACTATCCCAAACATGCTACTTGATGGCGCTAGACTCATGCTACAGACAGTTTTGTAAGAAGTGAGCAGCTAAAACTTTGTTACTTTCTCCCTTAAAAAATGTTACTTTCTCTTTTGCATTTGAACTTTTCTGATTTTTCGGTGGATCAATAATTTTCTACTGCTATTATACTTCCTAAACTAGGTATGAAAAGCTGGCGGGGAAACAATTCTCAATTTCTGATGCAGATTACTTTGTTTTCCATTCTCCATACAACAAGGTGTGAATATGAATATGAAGATTTTCAAAACTTAAATTGCTAGGGAACTTCAGTATTTTTGTTGTTTCTGATTTTGTGACCTGGTGAACTTTGTTTAACTCCCTTGTTTCTTCACAGCTTGTGCAGAAGAGTTTTGCTCGGCTTTACTATAATGATTTCACGCGCGACTGCAGGTTTGTAATATCTTCTCTTCCATTTCCCCCTTTCGAGAAAAGCTGAGCTTAGCTCTCAGATTTGTCTCTCTAACATGGACAGTATTTAGAATTCAATCCCGGAGGGTTTTTCGATTTGTGGATGCAAGTTAGTCTCATTTATTTTCCATGGTGAAATTTCCAAACTAATTTATTTTTAACTGGATACTAGCTCTGTTGACAATGATGCTAAAGAGAAGCTCCAGCCTTTCTCAAATTTGACTGGCGAGGAGAGCTACCAAAGTCGTGACTTGGAAAAGGTCATTATCATCATATTGTAATGTTGTTATGCGATTAATTCATGATCTGATAAAATATTTTGCCAAATTTTTAGGCTTCACAACAAGTAGCAAAGCCCTTGTATGACATCAAAGTTCAACCATCAACTTTGCTTCCAAAACAAATTGGTAACATGTACACAGCATCTCTTTATGCTGCGTTGGCGTCTGTACTCTATAACAAGCATGCTAGTCTGGTAAACCCTATATCTTTAGTTCCCTCTTATATAGTCTTTCACCTGTGTCATTCTTCAATCTGATAGTTAATTACTGTTGATGTTACAGGATGACCAACGAATTGTTATGTTCTCGTACGGCAGTGGCTTGACATCCACTATGTTTTCGTTGAAACTTAACAATGGCCAGGACCCCTTCAGTTTATCAAACATTGCTTCAGTGCTTAATGCCACGGAGAAGCTTGAGTCAAGACATATGGTGAGCTTTGTCATCCCCTCCATCCAGTACCCCGTCTTCTTTCATCAATCTGTTACTGCCTCAAATTGTCACCTTCCAAGAAATTCTTCTGTTCATAACGCTACAATCTGTAGGATGTTTGCTGTATCACCTAAACTTTTCAGTTGAAGAGCCTTATTAGATCAGTTCTTCCATCTGATGGAGTGCAATCCTACATACTCATTCACTCATTCTGGGCTTATGCTCATATATTATTAATGCTGCATTATAACCTATGTTCTCCAACCTCTTGTGATCAGACCTTGCCCGAGAAATTTGTGGAGACGCTGAAGCTGATGGAGCACCGATACGGCGCAAAAGATTTCGAGACGTGCAAAGACACGAGCTTGTTGCCTCCTGGGACGTTCTACCTCACCAGGGTTGACTCCATGTACCGAAGATTCTATGAGAGGAAGGCCGACGAGGAGATCGCTGCAGCCAAAGCCAAGTACAGTAATGGACATGCCACCAATGGCTATGCCAATGGCCACTAGTGGCACGCATGGCATGATGGCTGCTGCTGATATTGATTTCTGGTTTGATAAGTTCATGATTAGGTGTTTCCAGCCTAGTGTAGTAGTTTCTCAAATAAGTGTTCTCCACACCTGTTATCCATATCTCCTCTAATTTTTTTGTATTGAATCAGACAGACTAGTGAGACATTTCTGTAGTATCAATCATTCTTGTTTCTTCTAGCTTGTGTTTCTGCTGTCACTTGAAGTTATTACTATGGACTAGTTTAGCAATCTTGAGCCAATAGTAGTCTTATAAGTGCAGCAAACAGACTTGAGACCTGTTTAGGAGAGCTCGAAATTCTGAGAAGCACACGATGACTACTGATGAGCAGGGCTGTGTTTGAAGCTTCTAGCTCCTAGTTTATATTTTTTATCCTATAACTATAGATTCTGAATTGTTTGTTTGGGAGAGCTGGAGATTATAAAAAAAGCTGCGACTGTTAGAGACTTCCCCAAATAGAGCCATAGATTCCCTCGCGGGGACAAGCGCCGCCCTGATGAACACTAATAGCGCTCTATGATAACGTAAGATTCAGGTCACTTGGCAAGGCCTACTAAACTAATACAGTTGTTTGTAGGCTTCAATTAGAGAACAGAAATACTACCTCCGTCCCATATTACTTGTCTTTTTGAGTTTTTATTTATTAATGTTTGATCATTCTTCTTATTCAAAAAATTTTAGAATTATTATTTATTTTGTTTGTCATTTGCTTTATTATCAAAAGTACTTTACATATGACTTATCTTTTTTTATATTTGCACTAATTTTTCAAATAAAACGAATGGTCAAACGTTGCAAATAAAAAGTCAAAAACGTCACCTATTATAAGACGGAGGGAGTAACTAGCAGTATCAGGGGAACAGACTCTTCAAACCGATCATTGAATAAATAAGGGCAAAATCCCACATTTGTCTCACTCTAGAAGTACACTTTCTGCCAATAGCTATAACAAGGTTAAAAATCCCATTTGGAGAAAAATAAAATTTTATAAAATCGACTGCAGTATGTAGCGAGACAAAAAGGAGATGTTTCTCTCTAGTTCCGCTTTTTTCACGATTTTGGCATTCCCATGCACTTGACATGTGAAAAAAGATTATGCTACCTGCTTCCCTTTCCTTAGTCTATCTAGTTCTGACTCGGCCTCTTGCAGTGCTGATTTTAGTAGTGATACTCTCTGTTCCACCTCCTCCACTGTACCTCTTTTCAGAGCAGCCTTGTATGGTGTAAGGAAATGCCGTGAAAAGTTCTGCAGAGCCTGGACGCCGCATACCTGAAGAATTACAGATTCCAGATATCTTTAACAACCAGTGGACAGCACAAAATTGAGATTCGAAAAGGTAAACTGGTGGATTCCTTACCTCTTCTGGAAGCAAGGGCAACTTGGTTATGTTGAAGTCATCATATAACATATGGAACTGATCAATATATTTTTGTTGCATTTTTATCCGTGCCTTTAGAAGTTTAGACTCAACGGCTGCAAGGAATAAGTAATGGTTATATTGAAATGTATATTAAGAACTTAGATGCATTCAAAATGAAAACAATTGAAAGGTCTTTGCAATGAATCATTATGGAGGGTCCCTGTCTTGTGCATTTAAAGGTTTCATTTGTACTTCAGAGCTCGGTATTTCAGCCGAAGTTAACGAGGACAAGCAAATATAAGCCCGTGAAATTCAAGGTCAATCTATTATGTCTACATTTGCAAGGAAACCTCAAGGCAGTAAAACTGAAAGAAAAAAATAGTTCTGGTACTAACCTTCCTCATCAAAGAGAACTTGATTGATAATAATATTATGTGCATCAATCTCGAACTTTGCCAACTCTTGCACCAATCTCTCCGTTTCATACAATGAAAGAAATTCAGGAATACAAACACATACGAAAGTTGTCAAGTCCTGGGGAGAAAGGGGAAGCAAGAGTAATGAGAAGTCAATTTTATAAAATTAGGTGCTTTCATTAATGTAGAGTAGTAGTACTACAAAAAAGAAGGGTTAAAAATGATATCAGTCTTACGCTAGTCCAGTTGTATTCTCATGTATATAAGTTGGACGACAGGTCTGACTGTTGATTGCCCATCTAGCAACTAACGTACTGGCACTAAATATTTTTGAGACAGCACAAACCAACATTTCCAGGGTACTTTCTCTGGTTGCAGTAGATCTGTACTGTAAAGTTGCTGTACAAACTAAAGGTTATTGGTTCTCAGCGTACTGTGAGTACAGTTCTACCTTCTCCAACAAATTTGACCAAATCTAAACAACATCAGTACATCATTATACACTCCCAATGTTAAATAATGATTTCCTATAGGCTCTAGCTTAATAACACTTGAAACTCATGAGTTGTTCAAGATGTCAATATCATGAGTTGGCTGACCACCCATAATAAACAGGCTAAGAGTCTGTCTTGATAGTTAATAAAAAAATTCTGATTCTCTGCAGGTTTTGGTTAGACTTACTGGATCTTTAAATTGCCTGTTCACTTGCTCAATCACATCCTTCATGCCTTCAAGTCTCCCTAGCATTGCATCCTCATTCAGTTCATCACCAAGACCAAACAATCGAGTTGCCTGTCAAAGTATATATTAACAAAATTATCAACCAACAATCAGTATAGTTTCAAATAACTAAAGCAACACGCATAGTATCTTGAAATATATAAGGAACACCTGATTCAACAGTCCACCAAATTTATTTTTCAAGGCCATCATTTTCTCTAGACCTTTCTCTAGTGTTGCAGGGAACTGGAGCAATCGTAAAGTATGACCTGTTGGAGCAGTATCAAAAACTACAACAGAGTAATCCATTGTTTGGACCAGTCTGCAGTAAGGAAAACGGATCAGCCTCAAGAGTTGTTTCACATCGAGGAGTGCATTGAGTAAGAAACTTCTGTGCAATGAGAAGAATGCTGAACACCAGAATGAAGGGAAGACTTACTTCAGCATTTCAGCAAAACTCATAGCTTCATCAACTCCTGGAATTGCATTTGTCAGTTCTGAAAGGAATCCTTCCATTCCTTCATTAGCGAAGTCATCATTTTCGACCTTTGGATCAATTTCCTGCAAGTTAAGTATTGACAATGAAGTGGTTGAGACAATCCTAAATTTAGAGTAACAATTCAAAGTGGTACAATAACAAAGACAGAAAAGGGGGGGGGGGGGGCAGTTTAAAGATATGGGCACCAACAGTCTGCAAAAGAAAATCATGACACTGTACTGGAACCTGTTTTATCTTGTTTATCACGAATTAGAAAACACAATTAAGTATCTTTTCTGAAAAGTTCTTAACGAAAATTTATTTTACATGGACTAAAAGTAAGGTCAATTGAATAAACCATCACAAAATCACTAAACAACATCCACTTGTTTGATAAGTATCACTTTCAATTACAACAAGTGGAACATAGGAAGAGATAATTGCGAGATAATGGGTGATTGTTTTTGCACAAACCAGACGCCTTATTCTCTATCTATTACACATGAGCCAAACATCTGCAAGCCCGGTACCTTCAATTAGCATCCCCGAAGAGGCATAATACTAGAGGAAATAAATAGGTATTAAGCACAAGAAACACCTCCATTCGGAAAGGTTCAAAAGCATACAACCCCACATCACAAAACAAAGTCTACATAACACACGTAGCAGCGCGCGCGCACACACAGAAACGAGCCCCAATTATGGAAATAGTTAGTGTGAATCGCCTATGCTTCGTTACAAAACCAAGTAATTTTCTACTTGCTCAATCTCCTCTCCTCCTTCAGACCTCCATCATAGCACACACCACAATTCCCTCAAATTCGTGGAAACTACAGGTCTATCGACGAATTCGGGGGGGAGGGGAGGGGGAGGGATTGGGCGTGATATTACCATGGCGTAGAGGTTGTTGAAGCCGCGGACGAGGGTGGGGAACTTGGTGAAGCGCTGCTGGAAGGCGTCGCTGAGGTTGTGGGCGGGGTCGGTGGAGATGACGAGGACGGACTGGCGGGCGGAGGCGAGGAGGATGGAGAGGATGGAGCTGCACGTCGTCTTCCCCACCCCGCCCTTCCCCCCGACGAACACCCACTTGAGGCTCTCCTGCTCCAGGAGGTTCCGCACCGTCGGGTCCGGCATCGCGCCGTCGCCGCCGCCGTCCGCCATCGCTCTCCCCGATCCCGCGCGGTGGCTGGCGGTGGTGGCGAGGGGGGAGGGGAGGGGAGGGGAGATCTGGGGGAGAGAGACGACGACGCCGGTGGTGGTGCGGGTGGGGGCTACGTGCAAGAATTCCTTCCCTTCTCAGCTTCTCTCCTCTCCACGTTTTTTCACCTTTGTCCCTCCTGCTCGTTTCTACTTTCACCTGTGTACTTTTTACCATTTATGCCCTGTGTTTGTTCGCGAAATGAAAATTTTTTAAGTGTCACATCGAATATTTGACCGAACGTCGAAAGGGGTTCTTGGACACGAATGAAAAAACTAATTTCATAACTCGTCTGGAAACCGCGAGACGAATCTTTTGAGCCTAATTAAACCGTCATTAGCATATGTGGGTTACTGTAGTACTTATGACTAATCATGCAATTAGTTTTTGTTTTTATCTATATTTAATGCTCTATGCATATGTCCAAAGATTTAATGTGACGTTTTTAGGAAAAAAAAATTAGAAACTAAACCAGGCCTTAGAACCAAATGAAATTACAGCCTACTACTACGAGGGGTAGTACTATATTACAATTTTTCTACGATATTGTATTTGCAGGTTTGAACAGACAAAATCAAAAAAAAATGTATTTGCAAACTACGTATGTATATATTAGAAACCTTAAAATTACTGTTGAATCTAGAAGTAGGCGTATAACAAGAGTAAAATTTTAATTTCCGATGTGGATAAATCTTATATGTCCATTTTTAGGATCTTTTGATTTGTTGGGGAAAAATAAAAATTTTGAAGGATTTTAATCCTATGGAAACAAATCCTATGAGGGCTTTAAAATAAAGGAATGAATCTTTTCGTAAAGAAGAATGATTGAATCTTATCGTATCCTTAAAAAATTCTATGGAATGAGTAATCATATAGACATTTTGAATGAAAGTTAGCAAGACATTTTGAATGAAAGTTAGCAAGAGGTCTAATCTCTTGAAAATTTTCCTTTGATTATATCTCTCTCATCTAATTTATGTGGTCCAATCAAACGGTCATCCATGTGTTGTGTAATTCTCTATTTTACATTTACGTCATGTGTTTTTTCTATTCCTCATTTTTTTTTCATTCTTACGATTGAAAAGGGGCCTTAGATCTAATACAGTTTCCAGGTTCACACCACATATATGTTTTGAACTATATTTTTTTTTTCCGACAAAACCACATTAGGCAAAGAGAGGGGAAAAAGTATAAATCGACAAATTTCCGCTTGATAAACCAGCCAATTTTTTAAAAGAACAAATTTAAAACCTTTTTTTTATAAAGATTGTTCAAATTTCACCGAGTGTCATCCATATCGACGAGCGAACACAATTGAATCCTCATGTTACAGTAAACATCCATGTTACACACACACACACGAAGGATTGGTTGGCTCTTAGTCTTAGCCAAATTTAACCATGTGCAGTAATTGGTATTGTAAAAAATATATATATCTACTTTAACAGATTCAGCGATTGTATCTCTCTAGTCATAGTGGGAGCTTCCAAATGTCTAAATAATACAATATATATAAATATATCGATTCTATTTTTAATAAAAAAATTATCGTCAAATTATTTGGTTTAGTTGAATTTGATATACTCAATGGGTAAACTTTTATTTTTCGAAGCAATATATCCAAACAAGCATCGATCGGCAGTTCGGCACAGTGGCAAAGAACCAAAAGTGCCCAAAAAGACGATCGCCGCCGCCGCCGCCGTCGCCGTCGCCGTAGGAGTTGAAGTTCTACGGCGTGGATGCTAGTAGAAGAGCGAGTTGTAGGTGGAGAGCGTGGCGGCGATGGAGGCGACGCAGACGAGCAGCGCCGGCAGCAGCGTGGCGTTGAGCAGCCTCCCTTCCCCGGCGAGCAGCCCCGCCGCCGTGATGGTGCCGTCCGCCACCACCCTCGCCACCGTCCCCGCCTCCGTCGACAGCAGCCCGCCGTTGTACGTCCCCCTCGACAGCCGCGCCGACATCACCCGCGACAGCAGCGACAGGTTCACCCCTTCCACCACCTCCGCCGACACGAACGTCAGCACCGCCGAGCACACGTATTGCGCCGCCGTGTACTCCACCGTCAGCTTGAAGCTCAGCATCACCCCGGCGAGCAGCGCCATCTCCGACGCCACCAGTATCTGCCTGCAAATCCAACATAAGAATACACTGAAAAAAAAAAATCTGAAAACTATCTAGCTAGGTTGTCGAGTTGTGATTCAAATGGGACGGGGGAGGATGGCGTTAGGTTTAGACTCTCTCTCTCTGGCACTTCGGAAGGCGATTCTGAGGTCGACCTCGGGAAGGTCGTCAATGGCGGATTCGGCCCTGACGAGCGCGGGAAGACGAGGGAGGGGGATGCCCCCCCGACTTTTGACTTCGAGTCCCTCACGGGAATCTCGTTCGTGGGTCGTTTTAGGCCCGGGAAGCGGGTCGCTGGGCCTCGCGAGGCAGGATTGGGTTCGCGGGAGCTAGATCTCTGTAGCAGATAGGGGCCTGCAGCTGAGTTCATCGCGGAGGAAGAAGGTCTTAGCCCATCCCAGCGTTGGATTTGGAGGCAGAAGGGTTCGTCTCCATCCTCGAAGCTAGGGTTTAAGGCGAGGAGGGGTGAGGTGACGAGATTGGAGGCGAAGGCTAGGAGAGGCTTGCGATTTTCCTCTGGATTCACAGATTCCCGAACTTTTGCGGAAGTGGTGAGAGAAGGTATGGATCGTAGACCGCAAGGGGGGTGGCAGCCGGTGAAGCGGCGATTTGGGGAAGAGGGGAGGGGATTTCGTGACCTCACCGAAGGGGAGTTGAGGGAGAGATTGCAGAGGGAAAGGGCGAGAGAAGGGGAGAGAGAGGGAAGCAGGGAGCGAGGTGGTGAACAGCGCGGACCTCGGTGTTTTGGATCACCGGTGGGACGCCGGGAGGGGGGCAGGGGAGCTGGTCGCGGCGACGAGAACTGGCAAGGAGGTCGTCCAGATGTGGCGCGGCAGGGCGGCGGTGGAGATGGTGGCTGGCATGGGGGAAGAGGGGATGGGGGCAGACTTGGAGGAGGAAGAGCAGAAGTTATCAAATGCTTCAAGTGTGCTCAAGAGGGACACCTTCAAATCGACTGCCCGAACCCTCCAATCTGCTATACATGTAAGAAATCTGGTCATATTGCTGCAGAATGTTCAAATTTCCATCGCAAGGGGATTCATCTGTGCGGATATGGGATTGCTGGCCAGTGCTTTAATAGCATGACGATTGAGACTGATGGGGGAGAAGATGATCAGATTCCTATCAGGGGGATATTGACTGTAATTAGTGGAGAAGGTTCTGTGGATCAGATAGAATGGAAGCTGAAGTACAAATTGTTTAAGGGAGTTGTGGGACTGGAAGGTGACTGCAATCAGTGAGAAAACTTTCCTGATATCTTTCCCTTCAAAGGAGGCTAGGAGAGAGCTGACAAAATTTGATGGTTTTGATTTAAGTTCCTCTATCAAAGCTAAGGTGGAGGAGACCAACAGGACAGAGGAATCTTTTGCTGAGCTAAGAGAAGTTTGGGTCAAAGCTTATAGGGTGCCTAGAATTGCTAGAAAGGAGGAGTTGAAAGATCTATCATATTTGGTTGGGGAGCCAATTGAGGTTGATGAGACAAGTTTGAGAGGTTTGGGACCGGTTAGGGTCAAGGTGGCAGTATGTTCACCGGAGGAAATTCAGGGAAGCACCTCTGTGTTCATAAACAGGGTGGGATATAGAATCAGATGGGAGACTGAAGAAGGAAACATGGAGCAACTGAATCCTTCTCCAAAGAAGAAAAAAGAGGAAAAACAAAAGGATGTTGACAAGGATAAAGGTGATGACAAGGGTCCCTCCAAAAAAAAGGGAGAGTCATCGAAGGATGGAGAAGCAAAAGGGAGCAGAGGGCCTTAACCTCATTCAGCTCCACCAAAACTGCCAGGGTCAAAACAACAGCAGTTGCTGGCCCTGACAATGAACCAAGTTTCAGAGAAGAATGGGGATTATAAGAATCCTGAGACAATACTAAAATCTGGAAGAGATGCAGGCAAGGAGATGGTAGTATGGGAGTCACAAATGGAGCAAAAGGTAAACACAAAAGGAGTGCCAGCTGATCAGTCTCTAGATATGCTCACTCAGATGGATGTGGAAAAAATTGACAGTCTGTCTCAGAATCTGAATGACTCCTATGAGGCTGAAGATGAAGTGGACTATGACTACTCTGATTTAGAGGTGCAGGAGGGGATGATCTCAACTCAGAAACTGGAAGCTTACTTTGAAGAAGAAGGCAAAGAGAAAGATAAGCCAAACAGGGGAGAAATCTGCTTGGGGAAGAGGATAACATGAGCATGGAGATAGAAATCAATCAAGAGGGAGATAAGGAAAATGAGCAACCCATGCATGAAGCTAAGAAGAGAAGAAAAGAGGTGGTACAGGCTATCAGGCAGAGTGACAGGATCAAAAATAAGGATATCTCGGTGGCGACCAAGGCTGAAATCAGAACTTCAAAGAAGAATTTGGATGGAGGTAATGCTAATCCCTTTGCTGTCTTTTCATCTATAGATAGAAGTCAACTTAGAAAAATTGCTGAATTAAGTAGTATAATGTTAGGTAACAATGATAGTGAGATAGATAGGAATTTGGATATCATCTGTGCTAGGGAGGAGGCCCAAGCAGCCATATTCCAGGCAATGAAAAAAGTGGAGGCAGAGGCAGAGGAAGCAAAAAAGAAAGGAGAAGGGGAGATTGATAGTAATTTGAGAGGGGAAGAAATTAATTCAACTGAGGAGGAATCAGAAGGGGATGAGGTTCTGATGCATGAGAACATTGAGGGGAGTATACAGACAAGGGGAAAGAAAAAGGGGAGAAAACAGTGCTCAAGTCAGAAGAAGGGGAAGGGGAGAAGAAAAACAAAGTTCAAATGAAAGTTCTATTTTGGAATATAAGGGGAATAAGGGCTAAGGGGAGGAGCAAACAATTGATGGATATGGTGGCAGAACAGCACATTGACCTGGTATGTTTGCAAGAAACAATGAAGGAGGGTTTCACTGATAAGGAGTTAATTGCTTTGTGTGAAAATTGCTTCACTTGGCACTATTCAGCAGCTAGGGGGAGGTCTGGGGGGATGCTGATTGGTTTGAAAGAAGATCAGCTGGAAGTGTTGAGTGTAGAGATAGGGGAGTTTTTCATGAGTTTGGTGGTGATTCAGAGGAAGGATCAGTTTACCTGGGAAGTTATAAATGTTTATGGACCTGCAAAACAAAGTAAGAGGAGAATCTTTTTGGAGGAATTGAACCAGAAATTAGATAAAGGAGTTTTACCTGTTTTGATTGGAGGGGATTTCAATCTTTACAGGTTCAGCAATGAAAAGTCAAGGGGGAAAGTGGATATCCATAGGATGGAGGATTTCAACAAATTTGTGGCTGATCATGAGCTGATTGAGTTACATAGGCTAGGACAGAAGTTCACCTGGACAAATAAACAGATCTGTCCCATAAGAGTTTGTAAATAAGGAGTGGGAGTTGAAATATCCATTGACCATTGTGACGTCTTTGCTAAGAGTGGGTTCAGATCATTGCCCAATTATGTTGGATACTAAAAAGGAGGAGAGAAGGGTAGCAAGGCAGTTTAAATTTGAAATGAGTTGGTTTCTGGTACCACATTTTAAAGAAATGATCTGTAAAAGATGGCCTAAGAGATTCCAGCTGAAGGCAATTGATTTTTGGCATTATGCAGCTCCTGATTTAAGGAGAATGTTAAGGGGGTGGAAAGCAAATTTAGGGAAAGAATCAAAAGAGAAAAGGCTTCTTTTGGAACAAAGATTGATTGATATCGATAGTAAAGCAGATGAGAGTGATTTGTTTGAGCAGGAATGGGAAGAGAGGTATAAAATTGAGGAGGAACTAGAGAATATATATGCACAAGAGGAGATCATGTGGCAGAGAAGAAGTGGGGAGACTTGGCTGATAAAAGGAGACTCGAACACTGGATATTATCATGGGATAGCTAATGAGAGAAGGAGGAAATGTTACATTTTTTCTCTTCAAAAGGGAGATCAGATTATTTCACAGTTCAAAGATATACAGAATCATGTATATGAGTACTACAAATCCTTATTTGGTAAAGAGACCCTAATAGGAGTTAGTTTGGCTGACAATGCATGGAGGGAGAAGTTACGCTTGTCTGAAGAGGATAGAGAGAAGCTAACTAGAGATTTCAGTATGGAAGAATTAGAGAGGGTGATTAAGGACATAAAATCTAATACAGCCCCTGGTCCTGATGGTTTCCCCATAGGTTTCTTTAAAAATATGTGGTCTATGCTGAAAGGATTGATCAAAGAATTGTTAGATGATATGTGCAAAGGGGAGTTGGATTTGGGGAGGTTAAATTATGGGGTGATCTCATTACTACCCAAAATTAAAGAGGCTAACGCAATCAGACAGTGTAGGCCGATTTGCTTACTCAATGTCATTCTGAAAATTCTAACTAAGGCTGTGACTATGAGGGCTACAGAAATTGCTGGGAAAGTGATTAGCAGGACTCAAACTGCTTTTATCCCAGGAAGGTCAATCTTGGAGGGGGTGGTAGTGTTGCATGAGGTTCTGCATGAGCTGAAGAGCAAAGGAGAGAGGGGCATTATCTTCAAAATTGATTTCGAAAAAGCATATGATAGAGTCCAATGGCCCTTTCTAGTGGAGGTCATGAGAAAGAACTTTGGAGAAAAATTTATTGGGTGGATAAGAAATGCTGTGGAAGGTGGTAGAGTGGCAATCAACATAAATGGAGAACAAGGGGAATTCTTCAGAACATATAGAGGATTAAGACAGGGGGACCCTTTGTCACCCATCTTATTTAACCTAGTGGGTGATGCTTTGGATCTGATCCTGGAGTCAGCAAAAAAAGCAGGGGTGCTAGAAGGTCTGACTCCAAATCTGATTGAAGGAGGTATCACTCATCTACAGTATGCGGATGACACGATTCTGTTTGTGAAGCCAAGTAGACAAAACATTGCGACTCTGAAGTTCCTTATGTTCTGCTTTGAAGAGATGTCAGGAATGAAAATAAATTATCAAAAAAGCGAAGTCTTTGGTGTAGGTCTAGAAGATGGGGAATTATAGCACTTTGCTGATATGCTGAACTGTCAACAAGGAGAAATGCCAATTGTCTACTTGGGACTGCCTATAAGCACTAAGAAGGTTAGAAAGAGGGAGTTATTCTTTATAGGCCAAAAAATGGAGAAAAGATTAGGGACCTGGCTGGGAGGATATGTCTCTTATGGTGGAAAGGAGATTCTTATAAACTCTTGCATGTCCTCTATCCCTTTATATGCTATGGGTTTCTATAAATTGCTTGAAGGGGTTCACAAGAAGATGGATTCAGTGAGGGGGAGATTCTACTGGCAGGGAGTACAGAAGAAAAGGAAGAAATACCATATGATGAGTTGGAGTGCTATGAGCAGGCCTAAGGATTATGGGGGTTTAGGTTTTCTAGAAACAAGGAAAATGAATATAAGTTTATTAGTAAAGTGGATCTTTAAATTGGAAAAGGAACCACATGATCTATGCACAGAGTTGTTACATAAGAAATACTTGAAGGGGGAAAGTTTCTTTAAGGGACAAAAGGGAAATGTATCCCAATTCTGGAGTGGTCTTCAAGATGTTGCAAAAATTTGTCAGTTATACACAAAGAGAGTGGTGAAAGATGGGAGGAGAACAAGCTTTTGGGATAATGTTTGGCTTCTGCAAGTTCCTTTAAGGGTGCAATTTGAGGACTTGTATAAGATTAATGAGCAACAGGGGTGCAGTGTAAGGGATATTTGGCAGGGAGGGGAATGGGGCCTGACTTTTAGAAGAAATTTGGACAAGGAGTCCTAGGATAATTGGGTTTATCTAAAAAAGTTACTGAATGTAGTAGTGATTGAGGATGGCTGGGATGAACTAAAATGGGCTCTGGATGAGAAAAAAGGCTACTCTTCAAAATCTCTGTACAGAGCACTAAGTTTTGGAGGGGTCATTGACTCCAGAGCCCAAGGGCTATGGAAAGCAAAAATTCCCCTCAAAATCAAACATTTTCTGTTTATGTCTTTGAAATGAAGGATCCCATGTGCTGCTCAGCTGAAAAAGAGGAAGTGGAAAGGGGAGATTAATTGTAAAATGTGTGATCTGGTGGAGGATACTGAGCATATTATGTTCAGATGTTTTTTAGCTAGATTCCTATGGTGTGCAGTTAGGGAGGTGGCAGGCTGGGAGACGTCTCCATTGTCCTTTTCAGATTTTTTTCTTCTTAGTAAAGAGGGGGGGGGGGGGGGAAAGTGGTTTTTGGTGGATTATTTTAGTGCATGCTGTTGGTCTTTATGGTTGACAAGAAATAATTTTGTGTTTGAAGGGATTGTAATCAAATCACCTATGCACTTGTTATATAATGTGTTGATGTTTCTGCAGAAATGGAGTTTGCTACAAAGTGAAGAGATGAAGGGCATCCTGAAAACTTGGATAGAAGAGATGAGTTGGAAAATGAAGCTTTGGAGACCTGAAGTTCATCTGCCAGAAGATATCTGATAATTTTCTAAGAAATGCCTTAGTACTGTGTCACTGTTCCCCAAACGTTTTGTCATTTCCTTTTAGGAACTCTATCAGGGGTTTTGCATGGAGCCTGTTCCAGCTTGCAAAACTTTTTTTTTCTCTTGCTTGCAGTACTTTTGTCTTGGGCTTTCTCCAAAAAGCCGGATCGTTATCTAATATAATGATCTTTCCTCTAAAAAAAAGTTGTGATTCAAATTCATTTACACTCATACAAAGACCCACTTCGGACGGAGCGAAGCGGAGGCCCATTGTGTTGTGCACGGTATGGATCGTTATTCTTTTAGGTTTCACCTTTATATGTACTTCCTGTGAGCCGTCGTTCGGCGTTGTAACCTCATCTTGATATAGTGAAGATATTTGCTGGCTGGTGCTCATGGTTTTTTCTCTGCTGTCTTGGGAGGATTTTTCACATTAAATCTCATGTCTTCTATAATTAATCTATATATTATTTTTTATCGTTTATTTGTCCATCGTTCCCTAAAATAGGTGAGTTTCTTGATCACCGTACCTGTCCTCGAACATGTTGCTGATGTAGGTGCCGACGATGGCGTTGACGGGGAGGACGCTGAGGCCGAGGACGGCGAGGAACACGGACACCGTGCCGATGTCCCAGCCGAAGTAGTAGCCGGTGACCACGCTCGATTCGGCGAGGAGGATCTCCATGGCGTACTTGAGCATGAAGTAGATCAGCAGCTGGACCTTCACCGATGGAGTCAGCAGCGTGTAGGCTGAGGCGACTGACGAAGCTGGCCTCAGTGTGGTCGTCGATGATGACAGTGTCTCGTTATGCTCCTCGTCGCCATTGTCATCTTCTTCGTCTTGCTCCGATGGCAGGAGATGCTCGGTGAAACCCTGCTCCATCTTTTCTTGCTCCATGTATCCTGCATTAGATAGAAAAGAATAATTTTGTGGTTAAAAAGGAAGAAATATTGGCTGAAAAAAAATCTTAGTCCATCAGGTCATAAATATTTGACGTTTAATACAAGTTTTGATTAAACTTTTAAAATTTTGACCATCAACTTTCTATTAAAATAATATTAAAAAACTAATAAGTTTATAATATTATGATAGTATTTTTCAAACAAATCTACACATACAATCTACTTTTTAAAAAAAAAACAATTACGAAATTATCAATGACCATAGGTTAAAAGGTTTGATCAAATCTTATTCTAAACGACAATATATATCAATATGACCGAGGGAAGTAATATGGTTTGCTTACTTGTACTAGTGCTACTTGAAGAACCCTCATAGAAATCTTTGACATCAGGGCCAAGATCCGGTTCTTGAAATAAAATCCACAGCCAGATCAAGTACACAAGCCAACCAAACGCCATGATCCATCCAGGCAAGGTGATCTGGTTGATGGTGAGACCATACAGGCTGAAATTTGTCTGAAGAAGACCAGCAAGGGCAGGGCCACAGGCCATTCCTAGAGCACTAGCGCTGACAAACGCTGCAGAAGCCTGCATCCGGATTCTTGGAGGAACACAGTCGCTGATGTACCTCCGATTCACAGCTCTCGCCGATCCCATACTGCAAACAAGTAATAATACAGTATTCTGATCAGTAGCTACGGAATACTGTAAAAAAAAGCTTTTGGTTGTTGGTTCATTTTCAGGATTCTGTAGCTATTGATTCTCAGAATTTGTGTAAGAATCTGAACTGTTTAAAAAGGTTGGAGATTATAGTCAGAATACTCTGTATTGTTACTTGTTTGCAGCACGGGATCAGTAGCTACAGAATCATGAAAATGAACTAACAACCAAAATCTTTCTCACATTCTCATCAGCTGCTTCCAGGATTCGCAATTCCAATCGGTTTCCGAAAAACCACTAGGGTCTTGCTTAAAACCGATCAGTTTTAGCTGGTACTAGTTAGTTTAATAGGTTTCCGGTAAACCGATATGCACCGTTTTTTACAGCAAACATGGTAACGTTAACCCTGACTGCTTCTCATAATCTTCAGCTATCTAAACGACTATAATTAACCTGACGAGAAAGACAATGGTTGCAGATCCTTACCCACAGAGAACACGTCCAAGGAGGAGGATCGTCAGGGAGCCAAGATCAAACGCCATGGCATACATCACATTGCCCAGGAGCAGCACCACGCTGCTGAACAGCAGCGGCCTGAAGTAGGACCGGTTGGACCAGGCGCTGAAGTACACCGACGAGAACACCTGCGCCACGGCCATGGAGCCGATGACGGCGCCGCACGCCGTCGCAGCGGCGCCGAGGCTGGTGGCGTAGCCGTCGGCCGTGGGGACGACGATGTAGGTGTTCACCATGTAGAGGAACGTGTTGGCGAGGTTCAGCACGAGGGACATGAGATGGTACTCGTCTTCTCCGACGTGTTGTTCGTCCTCCGTACCTGCAACAGAGAGGCGAAGCCAAGCCAAAAATATAGCACGGTGAATTAACCATGGATCGAAACAATGTTAATTGCTAGAGGATTTGGGAATTTTATCGGGGTTGGCTGGCTGGCCCTGATGAACAGGGTTAGCTCCGCCATTGATTGGACTACGTATATACGTACCTGCAGTGCTGTCTGCTTGAGCTATGAGCGCGTGCTGTCCTAGGAACCGCAGGAAGTTCGTCGAGTTCGTCAGCTTGTCCGCCGTCGCCGTTATCAGATCGATTATTGGATCCTTTTTCAGAAGTTCGGATATCACAAGATCAATAATGGTAGTTAAGAGCTATACATAAACACTATGAAAGTGTAGCACTACACCTCCGTCCTCGAATAACTATGAATGTTGACTACTGCCATATCACTTTGACTACAAATTATATTATGATGAATGAAAGTTGTAGTACCATCATATTTTCAAGTATTTATATATTTTTTTCTGAAAAGAAGATGAGCGGTTAAAGTTTTAAACTTGAATAGTGTAACTGTCAGTTATTTAAAAACAGATGAAGTAATTTGTACTGGAAAGAGGACAAGATTGAACCTTTGGAATGGCAAGAGGATGCTGATCGTAGATATTCAGATAGCTTCCCTGACGCTCCTCAAGATCACTCAGATTGCGAGACAATGCCCCAACAACGGCTCCAATTCCCTACTTATTCACAATTCATTGAATTCAGTACCTGTTCAACAACTTATCTTTATGGCAGTGAAAACATCATGACTGAATTTTTCCGTGAAACTTAGTATCTTACCACATGTCTGAAAACCTGTTGTAGCTGAGAATACGGGTGGTTTGATCTGCTTCTGACGTAATAATCTGTAAATTTGTACCCCAACCTTTCATCGAACTTCTTCAGTATCTTTCGAACCGCATTTGCATTAAGTTCGACAAACTTCAGAAGAGTTACAAGATCCAGGCCAACTGATCTGTAATCTTCTCTTAGTTCAGTGATCTCCTGGAGAAGTGGAATGTCTTGAAGCCTTGCCCTTCTTTTCCCCAAATCTTCAAGCCTTGCTGCAATTAGCCCTTGCTGTTCTATCATGAACAGCACAATCTTTTCAATCTGAAAAATACATATAAAAAACATTAGATTACCCTGAATGAATAGTTTAAGCTGAATAAAACCGCAAGTGCTAAAGTTCACCTCATCATCAAGCAACTTTGAGAAGTCCTTAAGAACACGTCGACGATATTGTGTTCCTTCTTTTGTCTGCTCCGTGTATTCGTTTACTCTTCCCTTCAACATCTTGTAGTTAAAGTAGTACCTACATCAATCAGGAAAATAAGGCTGAAATGACCAAATTTATCAGAAAAAAGGACATGGCAGTTCAGGTGTGAATGTCAATTGTAGAATTTGGGGCCTGTTCAGATTGTAGCCAAAATAAATCTTACCAAGTTTTGTCAATGATAAAATTTTAGCAAGATGGCAATATTGCTAAAATTTTGGCAGGATTTCTTATGTATTGACTAAATTTGGCAACAAACTAAACATAGACATTTTTTAGCAACTTTGCTAAAAAATGGTATGGTTGAAAATGGCATCAAATTAGTGAATAGGCCCTTGGTTGCAGGATTGAAACAAATTATATTTTATTTTCTTTTTTAAACGAAGGCAAAATCTCTATGCTTCATTTCATGGATAAAGAAGAGATGAAGAAAACGGCCATACTCCTCCCATCCTGGAATTTGATCTTTTGTTAGTTTATTGGAGAAGTTCACCATTTTTCTTCCCTGCTTGTGTTTGGCCTGAAAGAAAACATTCAAAACATTTTACTGTTACAAATCAACCGATCAAACATCAGATTATCTACAAAATGAGGCAAAATAAGATCTCACAGAAACAAGCAGATGGAACAGCCACAATCCAGCAAACTTGGGAAATGGATGCAACAAATCATTTAATTCCTGGTTTTATGTGGTAGCATCTGGCTACCTGAAGACTTATATATAGCTTTGCTTTGGGATAAGACTTTAGCAGGGTGGATGAACTAATTAATTATCATGATATACCAAAATTGTTGGCTGAAACACGGTTGTGCTTTTTTTTTTTAACAGTTAGACATCAGATAATAATATATCATTCTTCAGCCCTCATATTTATCTGAATTTTCTATTGATTGACCCTAATCACATAGAAAATGTAAATCTCTAGTCTGACTTTTGTCCTATTATTATATGATTGAGGCATGTTAGATACTGCTACATATAACTGTTTATATTATTATTATTATTATTATTATTATTATTATTATTATTATTATTATTATTATTATTATTATTATTATTATTATTATTATTTATGAATCTGGAATTAATTTTGTATATTTAAGGGATCATATACTTGTCTTTGTAGGAATGCCTGCTTTAAGATTGGGAAACCTGTAGTGCATTACTCTTGAAATTCCTAGTATCTGTTTATGTGGTAGCAGAAGGAAACAAGAAAAGCTCATTCAAAAAAAAAAAAAGAAGAGAAAACCTATGTTTATTTTGATTTTTTTTCTTTTACTAAAATAGATAATTGAAAGAGTAAAACAACAGCTCATCACCACACATCTGTAATTTATGTGTAGTTCATAGCACTAAATAGTAGATTAGGGTGGAAACAACAAAAGTCAGCTGCTTCCTCTTGATGCGTATGCACAGAGTGACACAGACAATTAAGAACAAGCCTAACACTCTTGTCTTGAACGAAGATTAATTATAGTTTTAAATTAGAACAAGAATCATGGAAGTCATGCATGCAAAGAAATTCAGGATACTTGAGCATTATCAAGTTTGAAACGAACTGGTATTGTAGAGTGCGTGCCCAGCTGCCATAACCTGGCAAAACACAGTTGTATAGTTTGATACCAGCTTCACACGCATCCTGAAATCTGAACAATTCAGATTCTTGAATTCGCCCCTCTTTCAGAAGTCCAAACATGAATGGACCCAATGGAATATTTGCAGACAGAAAATAATTTATGAATAAAACTTTTATATATGTGTTCTTAACGATACAACAGTAAAGGCTAAAAAATAAACTTTGATGAAAAAAACCCAAAATCAACTCTAAATTTAAGGACGAAAATTCAAATTTTGACTGATAAGTATAAACATAAGTAGAAAGATAAGGCCCAAAGCAGCGTTCACAATTCTGACGAAAATCAGTCGAATTCTGTGAAATTTCGACGTTTCGACATGGCTCGGAATTAAGTTTCAATTGAAATTTCGAAGGTTAAACAATAGATTTGGTCGAAATTCAGTCGAAATTTATGGAAAACCGTGATAACGATGGGGCTCAAAATTTAGTGGTCAACCAGTAATGTTAACCCTAGCCCAAAGCCTATTAGGTACTTCTTCCCTAATTAGAGTCCAAAAGCTGATAAGGCACAAAACGACTTATTAGAAAATTTAAAAATATGTTTTAGATAATATTTTTATATTTGTGTCCGTAGTCATTTAAAAACCAATACCGTAAAATAAACTACAATAAGTAAGTCCTAAAAAATATTTTTAAAAAATTAAAATTTGAAAGTTGCTTAACTGAAAAGCGAACAATAGAGACCCAAAAGATACCCAGACTGTTTGCAATCCCAAAGCACATCTTAAATACTACCAACAGATCAGCAGATAGCCTATTCCAATCCGTTCAAGAAAAATAAAAGAAAAAAAACTTTCCTTTTCTATAGGACAAAAAAAAAACCTTCTCTTGTCACTCCTGATCGCGAACAGAGGCTACGCTTTGCTGATAGCCTGATCTCTTCTGTAACGGTAAAAAAATAATTCCAATTCTCCCATATAAAAAAGGCAAAGGAGAGAGGGAAAAGGAAAAAAAAAAAGGAAAAAACACTAGACATAATAAGCGAGTAAATTATATCGGAGAGGCCCACCTGCAGCGACCCAACCCGACCCAACCCAACTCGCGCGAGCCCTGCGGTTTCGCCGGCGAAACGAGGCCGACCTAAACCCTCCGCCGCCGCCGCCGCCGTCGCCGGGGAAGAAGAGAGATGGGGGTGGGGGGAAGCTTCTGGGACCTGCTCAAGCCGTACGCGCGGCACGAGGGCGCGGGGTACCTCCGCGGCCGCCGCGTCGCCGTCGACCTCTCCTTCTGGGTCGTCTCCCACAGCGCCGCCATCCGGGCGCGCTCGCCGCACGCGCGCCTCCCCCATCTCCGCACCCTCTTCTTCCGCACCCTCTCCCTCTTCTCCAAGGTGAGCCACCCCCTCCCCTCTCCCCAGGGTTTCCTTCCTTCCCCTCCGCCCCGCGACATGTATGTAGCTTCACTTCCGTTTCTTGATCTCCCCCAAGGTTTCTTGTTCTTAGTACATTTCTAGCGTTTTATGTGATTATGAACAATCTGCATTGCGGAAATGTACGTTCTGTGCTGTTTTCAAGACTGAATCTTGGATGTGCAACCGCCGTTGGGGTCTATGCTTGGGGGCATGGGGGCTAATGCTGTTCAATGTGTTTTGATTCCTCGATTTGGGCCCGGAATTTTGATTCACGTGATGGATTATCTCTGGAACTGTTGCAGATGGGTGCTTTTCCTGTGTTCGTGGTGGACGGCCAGCCGTCGCCGCTCAAGTCGCAGGTGAGGGCCGCGCGATTCTTCAGAGGATCTGGAATGGACCTCGCTGCGCTGCCGAGCACGGAGGCGGAGGCCAGTGCGGATGCGCTGGTTCAACCGAGGAATGCCAAGTTCACGCGATACGTGGAGGATTGCGTGGTGAGTGTCCGTGCCATGGCTGTGCTTGTGATCCTTCCTTGTCAGTTTAGGATGTGTAATTTGGTCGTACAAGACAGTTCGAAGTACGATGTAATAAATTGCCGCTTAAATACCATAGGCATGATTCAACACGGTGTTTATAAGCCTCTGAAGTAATATGTTCGAAATTACTCTTATCTAAATAAAAAGGCGGGAATTTGTCAAGGCGCGAAGCGGGTCGGTAGAAAAGAAAACTTTCCATAGTAGCGTCTCCCAAGTTTTGCTTAGATTACTGATGAGCGGGTACACGTGTTTATGTGTTTTGGGGATCTTGCTGTCGCCTGGGGTTTCTATGGTAGTAAAGGTCATATTTAATGATGCCCCTTATCTTATAATTTTAGGAACTGCTTGAATATCTTGGAATGCCTGTGCTGCGGGCAAAAGGTGAAGGTGAAGCTCTTTGTGCTCAGTTGAATAATCAAGGCCATGTAGATGCTTGCATCACTTCAGACAGTGACGCTTTCCTCTTTGGGGCTAAGACTGTCATAAAGGTTCTCCGATCGAATTGTAAGGTAAGCAGTTTATCATAAATATGTAACTGGATTGAATTGTTTGCTTCATTTTCTCTGTATTCTGTAATATGGTATCACGATGTTCACCATTTTTTTTCAGGAACCTTTTGAGTGCTACAACATGGCAGACATTGAGTCTGGTCTTGGACTAAAGAGGAAACAAATGGTAGCAATGGCACTTCTTGTTGGCAGTGACCATGACTTGCATGGTGTGCCTGGTTTTGGTCCTGAGACTGCACTTCGGTTTGTGCAGTTATTTGATGAAGATAATGTTCTAGCTAAGTATGTTTAATGATTTCATTATTAGTCCTCCTAGTTTATTTTTAGTGCAAAATGTTGAATTTCTCTGGCTAATTGTCTCTATACTTCTCCAGATTATATGAAATTGGTAAAGGGGTCTATCCATTTATAGGAGTTAGTGCGCCCAATATTGATGATCTCCCATCACCCTCCACAAAGAGTCTACCGCGTGCGCGATCACCGCACTGCTCACATTGTGGTCACCCTGGCAACAAGAAAAATCATATCAAGGATGGGTGCAACTTTTGCTTGGTTGATTCATTAGAGAATTGTGTGGAGAAGCCAGCTGGATTCATATGTGAATGTCCTAGTTGTGACAAGGTAGTGCTGTTTGTTCCAGAGTATATTGTAATTATGTATTCAACTGTCAGTTTCTATATATTTATTTCAGCCTGCATTCCAAATATTAGTGCGCTTAATATACAATCTGCAATTTGTACGAGAAACTGCTGTTTACATATGACAAATTTATTTGATAACTGCCTTTTGTAACAATTATCATATTCTCAGCAATAATCATACCCTGTTTGTCAATGTTTCTGATGTCATCTTTTAAACCACATAATGAGGCTTTATGTTGTGTATATTCTTGTATACTTCAGTGTTTCATGGAGCATAATTCTCAACATATTAATAATATCTTTTTTGAGATGAATATTAGGCACGTGATCTGAAGGTGCAGAGAAGAAATGAAAACTGGCAAATCAAGGTCTGTAAAAGGATAGCTGCTGAGACTAACTTTCCAAATGAGGAGATCATTAACTTGTACTTGAATGATGACAATTTGGATAATGGTATTCTTTTTCCCAATAACACTTCTTTCAATATTTCTTACTGACGCCGTTATTTTAGAATGGGGACTGCTTTGGCCATCTATATCTTGTCTCATTTTACTCTACAATACTGTATTTGCTTGCATTGGTATCTGGTATTTACCTCTATGTTCAATTTGCAGAAAATGGTGTTCCATTGCTTACATGGAATAAACCTGATATGGAGATTTTGGTTGACTTCTTATCTTTCAAGCAGAACTGGGAGCCAGCGTATATTCGTCAGCGGATGCTTCCTATGCTATCAACCATATATTTACGCGAAATGGCTTCATCTCAATCTAAATCATTTCTTCTTTATGATCAATATAAATTTCATTCAATCCAACGGATTAAGATAAGATATGGTCACCCATATTACTTGGTCAAGTGGAAGAGAGTCACTCGTAGTATGATATCCAATGATCCACCTAGCAAGCAGACAGAATTGGAGGGGAAGAATGATAAGGTGGAGGTATTGGATGGAGATGATGAGGTAGTAGATGAAGAGGAGGAGGAGCCTACAATGATTTCCGAAACTACTGAACTGCTAGATGAGCCAGATGTTCCACAAGTACTGGATGATGATAAAGATTGCTTTTTATTAACTGATGAAGACATTGAGCTAGTGAATGCTGCATTTCCTGATGAAGCACAAAGATTTCAGGAAGAACAGGTATGCATTGGTTGCTTTCTTCAGATAATTTAAAATATGCATGATACTTCCAGGACACATCAGTCAGTTACTGAAATAGAAAGATGAATCATGAATCATAAAGATAATTGCACTGTGTTCAATGGCCCTGTTTTAAAAATGCTAGGTTCACTTTGTTGGTGCTTTTGTCAGTTACTGCTGAGGCTTGAATTGTCATGTTTCTTTCTAATGTGGTATCATATAGTTCAATCAAGTTAAATTGCTTATAGTATATGATTTATATATGACATATCAGCATCTATTTGTTTAAAAGAAAACTTTTGCTGACTGCGGTTGACACAAATGCAACGAATTCATGCAGAGGCTGAAAGAAGCAAAGTCAATAGCACGGAAATCCAAGCTCAACGTGGCAGGTTTCGAAACACCAAAAGGTCCAAGGCCTAGTGGAGTTCAGCTTAGCATCAAGGAGTTCTACCGCTCCAAGAAAGGGCTGAGTGGCGACTCAGGGAAGGACGGCTCAAGAAAATCCTCCGATGTGGACCTCAGCAAGAACTTGCCCAAGTCTGTCCGACGACGCCTCCTCTTCGACTGACTGACAATTGGTCTCCCTTCTGTCTTCCCAGTAGTCCTGCTGCTACTGTTGTACATGTTCCAGTAACATTTCTTTCGGCCAATGGATGTACATTGCGTGGCCCGGTTTTTGTACAGGGAACATGCATGTCTTGTAGCTGATGAGAAACAGTGTTTTGGGGGTTGAATCTTGTATCTGCTGCAACCATGTATATTTCATGCCATATCGCATCACTGCTTGCGTAGCATGGAAGAATTGGACCTGAAATGAGCTGTACCAGCTACAGTGCTTCCTTTGGACCAACAGTGTCAGCTCTACACAAGGGTCAATTCTGTCTACGGCGATGAAAAGTGAAGAGTTCATCACCAAAAAGGTGAAAAATGTGGACAGTTTTTTGCAACGAAGATTTATGCCCTTCCTCACAAGGAGTTGACCTTGAACGTATATACAATCTTATACTTGTGTGTGTACTTAATATCTGATACTGTTGGACCCAGTATTTTCAGAGTTCTGACCTGCCCTGATGTCAACCTGAAAAGAGTACTCCGTAGAGTACTACAAACATCGCCTTTTCAGCAAGAGGGGAGTAGGTGATGAGGAATGATTGATCCTGATTTCTTGAACCATGGGAATGGATCAGAAATTCAGAATCAGACCATGATAATGATTCAGCCAACTTATCATCAGTTCAGACTTGCAGTGGATCAACTGGCGAAGTTCAAGTTGAGAGAGTTGCTTTCTCCTGCCACAACACAAGTAGCAGCGGCTCGCAAGTTGCACGTGTATGCAACTGTGTGTCACGTTGAACGAGTCGTTTTTTTTTTTCTAAATCATGTTGGTCTAGTGGATGAAATCGAGTGTGAAAGGAGAAGAGAGTCTGTCAGTGAGAGAGACGGAGATGTTTTTTTCCTTTTTCTTCTTCTTCTTCTTCTTTTGCAGCGTTGGGCGCGATGCAACTTGACTTGCGAAGCCGCGACAGTGCGAGCTTCCTCACTGCAGCTAGAAGAAAGTGGAGAACGTCGCTACACGCATCGACTTTTCGTCTCTGGATTTTGATGGTTCCGTTTGGTCCCAGGGTGTTTGGTGTTCAGTTTTTTTTTTCTCTTTCTGGAGTCTGCTTCAGGTTAATTTATCCTCTGTTGTGCTCTTTGTTCAGAGACGATCGTTAATAAAATTGGGACAGAGCAATGGTGCAAAGATTTTACACCTAGATTACTGACACCATAGTGGTGAAATGGAATTTGCTGAAACTTGTTAAGAGTGTCTCTGCATTAGTGTGAACTGATTTAGTCTTCTAGTTTAGCTTACAGGTAAAATTGCAGTTGGTTCAGGAGGACTTTTGCCCCGTTTGAGACAGTTGAAATTGACGGAATTATGGATAATCTATTTTTATAGCTATTTAAAGATGTAAACGAATGAATCAACTACTATTCTTTTCGTTTTAAAATACAAGCTTGTCAGAAAATCCTTATATTTTAATTAGGGGGAGTACGAGGTTGAAAATTTGTTTTAGAAAAGTATATTCCAAGATAACTTCACATAGAAAATTTTCGTACGAATCATTAGCTCAAGAAGCGTGCAAACGTAAATCCAAAATCCATAAAATCAGAGAAGAACTTGACCAAAATAGCTCTTTGGAGAGGAGAAGTAAATTTACAGGAATTCATTGACTGCACATTCAAAATCAGATGGAATCACAAAAGGAGGGAGAAATCTGGCACATTCCAAAATTACAAAAATTGCCATTCATCCTCAGTCTCATTGCCTACTCTGTTCTAAATTCACCAATACTCTGTTCTCTTTTTTCCCCCAATTTCTGGAGAATCAAAATTTGTCCACACTTTTCAGTGCGAGATTTTGATTAGTAGCTCCAGAGCGGCATGTCGGAGCCGGCGAGCTCGCCGTCCTCCCACCACGCTCCGGCGGCCGGCGGCTCGACGAGCAGCCCCTGCGCCAAGCTCGCGTAGTACGACCCGGCGTCCATCCCGCCGAACCTGAACCCGTCGTCGAGCTCGAACGCCCCCGCGTCGAACACCTCCGCCGCCGCCACCGGCAACACGTCCTTGTTGTCTTCTTCTTCGTCGCCATCGTTGGCGAAGGTCTCCGCCGGAGACGACGGCGCGGCCGACTGGCGCTGGAACGCCTCGACGGCCACGGCGACGGCGTCCCTGACCCCCCTCGCGCCGGCGAGCGCGGCGGACGCGGGGACGGGCGGCATCCGCCACGCGGAGTCGGCGAAGTTGAGGCAGGCGGCCCTGCCGCGGAGCGCCAGCGCGGCGGCGTCGTGCGCGCGCGCCGCCGCCTCGGCGGTGGCGAACGTGCCGAGCCACAGCCTGGAGCCGCGCGCCCCGGGCACCCGCACCTCGCACACCCACCTCCCCGCCGCGCCCGGCCGCCCCCCGCGCCGCCGCACGCCGCGGTACACCGGGTGCCTCGTCTCCCTGAACTTGGTCCTTCCCGCCGGCCTCTTCGGCGGCTCCGACCACACCGTCCTGTACGCCGCCTCCTCCACCTCCATGGATGACTCTCTCTGGTTCACTTCGCCGGCGAGCTTGAGCTGAGCTGAGGTTGGAGACTTGGAGTTGGAGATGGAGAATATTTATAGGTAAGTGGTGGTCGTTACTCGGTGCGAGGCGCACGCGGGGATAGCTGGAAATGGAAAGGGAACAGCGTGCGGGTGCGGTGGTGGGCCCGCGTGGCAGCTCACACTCTCGCTGTCTTCAGTCTCACTGCCCGCTGCTGCTGCTGCTACTCCAGCTTGCAGGCAGCTTCACGGCGTTTTCTGTGGTTTCTGTTGGGTTTTTGGGGCTGTTTCTGCAGGGTTTTGGGGGGATTTGGCAACGGTTTTGGTCTCTCGGTTGACAGGGCTCTCTAACTTGACGAGGGAAAACATTCTAGATGGGGTTCATGGGGGTAGTGCCGTGGTAAGGTGAGGTGTATGGTTTGGCTTTACTTCTCTCGAAAGAATACTTGCTCCAAGGTGAGACTGCACGAGTGTTACTCCGATCAACTTCATTTCACACTCTCAGTTTTAGTCAAAGATGCCATGAGTGTCGTAGTAGGAGATACTCTAAGGCTGCGTTCGCCACCGTTAGATTGGGAGATAGTTTATTCCGTTTTCCGCGCGCACGCTTCCCAAACTATTAAACGGTGTGTTTTTTTATAAAAAATTTCTATAGGAAAGTTGCTTTAAAAAATCATATTAGTCAATTTTTGAAATTTAAAATAGTTAATACTTAATTAATCATGCGCTAATGGCTTACCTCGTTTTACGTATCTTTCCAATCTTCTCTATCTCCCCTTTATCAAACTCAGCCTAAGTTTGCCTTCGCGGTTTTACTCCTCCTAGAAGAATACTTTTTATACTAATATGTCTCAAATAGAACTAGTGATACTCCGGTCAACTTCGCTTTACAAGACGTAGGACATGTTTAGTTTAGTACATTACCAAATATTGGTTGTGATAAATAAAATATATGGCACCGTCAATTCTTCGATAGAATAATGTTGTATTTGATTTAATACCAATTAGAAGCCAAAACTTTGATTAGAATTTAGAAATTTCTAAATTAGATATTGGCAATGCTGATAATCTGGCTTCAAACCAAAATTACCATGTCTATTATTCAAGCTATCAAACAGGGACGGATCCAGCATAAGGGCAGCGGGGTCTCGAGTCCTCACTACTGGCGTGAAGACTATAAGAGCCCCATAAAGACCCCACTAATTTTTTTTACCATACGTAGATGGGAGGGGGGACTGTAACTCTATCTAGTCCTATTTCTTTCTGGATCTGCCACTGCTATCAAAATATTAGGGTCTGTTTAGTTCACGAAAAGAAAATTTTTGGGTGTCGCGCATCGGATATTTGACCGGATGTCGGAAGGGGTTTTTGGTAACGAATAAAAAACTAATTTCATAACTCGCTTTGAAAACCGCAAGATGAATCTTTTGAGCCTAATTAATCCGTCATTAACAAATGTGAGTTACTGTAGCACTTATGGCTAATCATAGACTAATTAGGCTCAAAAGATTCATCTCGTGATCTCCCCCCTAACTTTGTAATTAGTTTTTAGTTTTTTAATTTATCTATATTTAATACTCTATATATGTGTCTAAAGATTTGATTTGATGTTTTTAGAAAATGTTTTTTGGAACAAAACAGGGCCTTGGTATCGTATGTTTTGGTTTCAATCCAAAACAGACCGTACGCCACTCGAAATGATTCTCTCATACCCCCAAGATGTGTAACGACTGTTTGTACCGCCACTTATTAACTTTTATGATAGTTGTTGTTAAAAATAGTTTCTTGCATAATCGAATGTTCCGTTAATCGTTAAAAATTTCGCCTTTGCAACAACCAACGATAAATTGGATATAAAAAAATAGAGAAACATACTCTCCCTATCCCCAAAACAAACAAACCTAATAAAGAATCTAACACATCCTTCAAGCCAAATTCATATTACTAAAATATATAACATAATAATCAAGTAGTCAAAGTTATATTTTCCTCGTTTAGAAAGTAATAAGTAGGTTCCTTTTGTTACTAGAAGGACAACTTTGATACTGAAGTCGAATTAGCACGAGTAATTTGTTGGACTTGTAACAAGATAGTAGTACAGGGCAGCACACCGTACCACTACCACACCGAACACCGGTGACCGGTCCATCACACGCACCATCAGTCAATTACCAGTTCACCACTACCCAGTGAAGCGATAGCTCATCCCATCTCATCTCGCCTAGAAGGATTACGATAGCTGGAAGAAGTGAGAAGATTCAAAGATCCCGTGCCTTTTTGAGCCAGCAGGCAGCAGGGCCCCATGACCACCACACCACCGTGACCGAGACCGAGTCGGAAGGACGGCCACATCTTCTGGATTTACTCGTCATTCGGAGAGAGTTGGACTGGACCAGCTAGTGCTTGCGTGAAAGTTACCCTGCCCGATTCTTCTTCTAGTTGGCCGCCACAAACCAACGACTGAACGAACGATGCCCTGTTTCCTCGGCATCTTTTCACATACCGTTTACGGCTGTGTTCGGCACCCCTTTTTATAACCCATCTCTCTCGTTTTCCGCACGTACATTTTTTAAACTACTAAACGGTGTATTTTTTTTAAAATAAAGTTTATATACAAAAATTGTTTAAAAAATCAAATTAATCCTTTTTTTCTAAAAAAATAGCTATTACTTAATTAATCATGCGCTAATGAACCGCTCCGTTTTTCGTGCGTTCTGTTCCGATTCCCAACCATGAATGGCGAACACAGCCTACATCCACTGACCACTGTTCTCTAGCATTGCCATGACATTTTCCCCTACTATACATTTTTCCTAGGTTAGGATAGCCATGTATTCTCCTTTTCTCTGATGAAAAGATATTTTATATGTTTTGAAGAAATTGCCACGTGATTGATATCCACGGCCAAGAGATCAGATCAGTATCCAATTACTTGTATATTGTTATCTGTCGAGGTGTGATTTGTAATTCGTAGCCGTTTGATCCGGAAAATATGTAGTAAGATTTTGGAGGGCTGGTAACCTTGTTTTGGGTTGAAATGCGAGCCTAGCGAGATGTCGAATTTTGTAAATATCGCTAAATTCGACACGGAATTTGGGGGAGCTTCGAAATTTGAGCGAAATTGGGAACACTGGTAAAGACTATAAACAACAAGGGTCATGTGGCCATATCGTTAGTGAAAACTGAGCTCTGAAAGTGTTTAACTAATCAACAATTCAACATGCTACCAAAAGTACCAATTCGTTACAGAGTCAAAAACAGAGTACAGTAAACTGGAGACAGTGTCAGAGCTCAGTAGCTCCAGAGCGCGATGTCAGCGCCTTCGTCGCCGTTGTCCCAGAGTGCGGTCGCCGCCGGCGGCGGCTCCATGAGAAGCCCCTCGGCCAGGCTCGCGTAGTACGTGTCGTAGTCCATTTCGCCGAAGAAGTCGAGCTCGAACATGTCCAGCGCCGCCCCCGCCGCCGTGTCAGCCGTTCCGTCGATCGATGAAGGTCCGGGCGTCTCCGACGAGCCGGCATTGTTGGCCAGCGGCGGCGGCGCGGACACGCCGGAGGTGGCCTCGTCCATGGCCTCCGCGACGGAGGCGCCGTTCGTGGTCTTGTTGCGCTGGAGGAAGCCCGCGACGGCCTCGGTGGCCGCGCGGCGGACGCCGGCCAGGTCGGACGGCGCGGCGGGCGGGACGGCGAGCAGCCACGCGGAGTCCTGGAAGTTGAGGCACGCCGCGCCGCCTCCGCCGGCGCCGCCGCGGAGCGCGATCATGGCGGCGTCGTGCGCGCGCGCCGCGGCCTCGGCGGTGACGTACGTGCCGAGCCACAGGCGCGCGCCGCGCTTCCCCGGGACGCGCACCTCGCACACCCACCGCCCCGCCCCGCCGCGGCGCCGCACGCCGCGGTACACCGGGTGCCGCGTCTCCCTGAACTTGGTGCGCCCCGCGGGCCGCTTCTTGTACTGCTGCCGCCCCGACGAGGACGACGACGACTCCGCCCCCGACGACGACGAGCTGGAGTTCACCTCGTGGCCGGCCATGTCCATTGCTGCTCGTGAGCGATCGAGAGATGGAGGAGCTTGTCCGAGCGAGTGAGAACGCGTCGCGCTTGCAGAGTGAGAGTGCTCGAGCTCGGCGGCGCGAGGAGTATATATATAGGTATGCATTTGGGCGGCGAGGGTTGGGACGCGGGGAAGCCATGGGAGAGGAGAACAGCTGGTGACAACAATATTTGGGGGTTAAACTATGGTTTCCTTGGGCATGGGCGTGTGGGGCTTTCAGTGTTGGGGAAAAGGGGACGCTGCTGCTGCTGCTTTGGTGCTAAGCTTGGTGACGTAGTAGGGGTGATGGTTAGGGGCCCACCTGCTCGGCTCTTGGAGACATGTACAGCGATATTTTCTGTTTGCAACCACGAAAAGAATCAAAATTCTTGTTAAATTTGTAGTATGACCATGCTCGGAGGAGCCAGAGATATTGATAAACGAACCTGTGAGCAGGGTTTACCTTTTCGAATTCGAGGTAAACACAGACCTGACCAAAAACCAGTAAAAACGATGAATTTCAGTTAGCACCGTATGAAAATCGGCTAATACCGACCGGTTTTCATAAACCGAGACCTAGCGGTTTCATGAAAATCGATCGGTTTTGGCAAAATTCTGTTTTTAGATTATCAAATTCTGTTAAAATCGAACATGGTTATCATTGGTTTTATTTTTTACTTTTTAGAAGTTTCGAACCTTTAAAAATTAGACCGTGTAGTTTTTAGAGTTTATTGACTTGTTGAGTTTTATTTTTTATAATTTTTATAAGTCCCGTCGAACACTGCCACTGTACTCCTCTACGGCCCATCCGCCGCCTAATCTTTATTGTCATTGCTATTCTAAAAATCGAACATAACTATCGTTGGAATTCATTTTTTATTTTCTAGAAGTCCCGCCAACCGTTGGTGACTCTACAACTGTACTCCTATACACCCCACCCGCTGCTTTTTCTTTTTATTGTCATTGAGATTTTAAAAATCGAATATGATTATCAATGATGTTTATTTCTTTTTTACTTTCTAGAAGTCCCAGTAACTGCATTACCAGTTTGCTTCATGGCCTGCTATAACAAAATGGAGAAAATGCCACTCGCTTATTTTATTTTGTTTTTGTCAGAGTTTAGTGATGTGGGCGTTTAAGTTTAGATTGAGGGATACACATATAATGAAAATAAATAAATTATATGTAACAAAATTTCTAGATTGGGTTTCTAAGTATTCCCCTCGTTTCATGTAGCTTCGCGCCGTCCTCTTCCTAAATTTTATAGCAGTTTTATTTGATAATTCAGATGAAAAATATCCAAATTGCTCAGGGGAGTTTCCATTTACAGCAGTCTATATTTGAAATCATGCGGCATAAAACTTAACCGTAGGAGTAGTCTCTATAAGCTTCATCGTTTGTTTTGCAGCTTCTAAACCGTTGCAAAAATTAATTTTAAAACTGCTAATTTTAGGGTTACATCGTGGACTTATATAACTAGAGACATATATTAAAGATTTATTCACACGCTATTTTCTTATTGCTTATAAGCCACTATGTAGATAAAACAATTCGCCGGTTTCATCCCAGCCAAAAGCTACTACTTCGGCATGAAGGACCTCATCTTTTCGCTTATATTTATACTTATCAGACAAAATTTTAATTTCCAATTTTAAATTTAAAGCTGATTTTAAAGTTTTTTCATCGAAGCTTATTTTTCAGACTTTATTTTTAGATCAATAAAAACACATATATAAAAAGTTTTATTTATAAATTATTTTTTGTTTGTAAATATGTTATTTCGCTTGTTCCACGAATAAGCGAAACGATGGGGCCGTTCCACTGCCACTCCACACCCTTTCCACATGAGCTGACACAGTCGCCCAACAGTTCCAACTTCCAAACAAACGGGACACAGTACTACTATACCCCTAAACTAAAATACCACACATGCTCCAAACCCTGAAAAGAAAGATTTCCCCATACCAGGTGCGCCACAACCCCCGGAAAAGAGAAAACCAGCGACAGCCGTTCCGTTAGCCGTATCCAGCGCCGCAGTTGCGCCCGCCCGATTCCACCCCCCTTCCTTTCCCCCCCAAATCCCCAATCCCCCGGGACCCGCATCCGCAACCAGTTTCCGCATGCCGTCGCGCTCCCGCACCGCACGCGACAGCGACGCGGCCACACACCACCACGAGAAGAATATCCCCCATCCGTAGCCTCACGCCACAGCAGCAGCGGCGCGTGCGTGTTGGCGCCCACCTGCGGCCGGTTTCTGCCTGCTTGGCCCTTCGGGGTTTCAGGGAGGCGAACACCGCGAATACTTGCGATATTTTCTGCGGCAACGAGGGCAGCTTCCTTCGCCTTCGATCTGGGAGAGCGATGTTTTTTTTTTTCCTTTGTTGCGCTGCAAACGGGTGGCTACAGCTAAGCTAAGCCGCTAGTTGCTTCCTGCTTGCTCACCGTGCTCTGTACCGTAGTAAATAAATCGATGTGTTCGTGACGTATTGAGATGTGTCATTTTCTGTTTCCTCGACAAGTTGCAAAAATTGGTGTGGGATTGTGGCCCTGGTGCTCCGGTGTGAGTTCACCCCCTAAATTTTTGGAGAGCTCAGGTAACAAAGGGGGGCAGTTTGGATAGTGCCAAGAGTCAAAAGGTAAATAAATAGCTTTGCGAACTTGTGGGAATACAAGTGAATGACCCACTGGGACATGTTGAGGGCTTTTTTATTTGATTGAATTTTGCCAGGACCGTTGAAAGGTGAAGCCTGTACAAAGTTTACGGAGTTAAGGCAGGCACCGCAGGTCAAACCAAATACAAGTAGCAAGAAATCATTGGCAAAGCAAGTTATCTAGAGCTGGGGCTTTTGACTTTGACCCGGTTCATTTTTTGTGTTTGACCTGTAATGTACAGTACAGGGATTGCATTGCGGGAGCATTCACCAAAAGGTGTGGCCAAAACCAGAACAAATCTTTTCAAGTGAAATTGCTTGAGAGAGATCCACGGTCAATTGCACTCGAATGCATAGGTTACCCAGTACGAACATCATTGACAAAACCAGGTTTTTTTTCACTGTCGTTAACACTGTAACCTAAGTACTGTACCATCCAATCTCTCGTCACTGTAGTTCTCGTGCAGAAACAATACTGTCAAGAAACTGTTTCTACACGAGGACGGCTCGCAGATGCTAAAAAAAAATCTACAGTACTATTTTGGGAAGTCAATGACTCAAATGAAGATGCTCTGTGTTTTGCAACTTGTTCCATCACATTACCGAAAGTAGTGTCCGTACAGTACCAAAATTTTGGCATCGGAAGCCAGAAAAGAGAGAAAAAAGAGGCAAAATTGTACAGTTGATTGAGCTCTAGTAGCTCCAGAGTGGGACGTCGGCGAGGATGGCGTCACCGTCGTCGCCGAGCGCCGCCGATGGTGGCTCCATGAGCATCCCCTGCGCCAAGCTCGCGTAGTACAGGTCCCAGCCCATGTCACTCAGGACGTCCAGTTCGAACGCCAGGTCGCTGGCCGGGGAGGAGGACTCGTCGCCGTCGGTGGCGGCGGACTCCTCGTCGTCGTCGGTGCGTGGGGTGGACGGCGTCGTCGAGGACGACGACGTGGCGGACAGCGCGTCGTCGGCGAGGCGGCGCCGGAAGAAGTCCTCGACGGCCTCGGCGACGGCGTGGCGGACGTCGGCGAGGGTGCGGTAGGAGCGCGGCACGGCGAGGAGCCACGCGGAGTCGGCGAAGTTGAGGCAGCATGCTCCCCCGCCGCCGCCGCCGCCGGCGTTGATGGCGAGCATGGCGGCGTCGTGCGCGCGCGCCGCGCCCTCGGCGGTGTCGAACGTGCCGAGCCAGAGCCTGCAGCCGCGCCGCCCGGGCACCCGCACCTCGCACACCCACCTCCCGGCATTGCCCCTCCGCCGCACGCCGCGGAACACCGGGTGCCTCGTCTCCCTGAACTTGGTCCGCCCCGCCGGCCTCTTCGGCGGCGCCGTCCACACCGTCTGGTGCTGCCGCTCCGCCGACGCCGAGCTGCACGGCGACCCCGACGACTCGCCGCTCATCTCCTGCTTGATCCCGCACATCTTCGGATTTGTGTGTGTGTTTCTGCTTGCTCCTGATTCCTGAACTGTATTTGCTCTGCTCGAGTGTGGTAATGGCGATGGGAGAAGAGCGGTTTTGGGGCCTCGTATTTATAGGTGGTGGCGCGCAGCGGCGAGTGAGAGGACACAGGCTGGATTTGGGGGGATGAATCTGGCTAAGAAACAGTGGGACTTCGAGAGTGACCGGGTGATTTCTTTATTGGACTCTCTTTTTTTTTTTGGTTTAATTGGGTTGGATTTGGACCAGTCTAGCTTGTCTTTTTGCTTCCTCTAATCGCAACTGTGTTGTGTTGTGTTGCCTCTTTTGCTTTGCCTTCTTGGTTAATTAAAGAAAGAGGCGGCCTTTGCCAATTTGGATGCTTTGGTTCAGTGAGGCACAAGGGAACTTTAGCTTGTGTTTTTGGGGGGATTTATGGTGGTCGGTTGCATTAAGATAATCTTACTCCCGGGGCTTCATACCAATCCAGTGGATCGCGAGATTGATTTGTGTTGAGTATATAAATTGGAATGCTTCATCAGTTAAGCTTAGTGATCTATGGCACGTGGGAGCATGGGTGTCCGTGGATCTCCATAATTCGGCTCGTCATTTGTGACGTTTTTGCTGGGCAAGCTGACGTCGACTCACGGTTTTGGTTATGATTCTGCAGATGTTTTGTGATGCCTTTGCCACGCTGGTCTACCGGATATAGAAACTTGACTCTTGTCATTTTTCGCCTGGAAGTCAGGATTCGAGCTTGTTTAGTTTGATACCTCATCAAAAAATTGTAAGTACTATAACTTAAAACCTAGGTAAATTTTGACAACCAATTCTTTAGCGGAGTAAAATAATATCTGGTTTAATACCAAATAAGAAGCTAAAACCTTAATTATAATCTAGAAAGTACCAAGTTAAACACGGGGAATGCCAATGTTTGGCTTTCGAACCAAAACCAGCATATATACTATTCAAGCTACTAAATTATTGGTATGACACATTTTTGACACATGGTTTCATTTCTAGCGGCCCAAACACAAAACATGATTTAAAATCTGGAGTACTACTACGTATAGTATCTCACTAGAAATGCTACAAGTTTAAACATCCTAATTCGGTATCCCGGTCAAAGTTTAAAGGAAATTCAAACCTCAATTCAAATTCTCAATAAAACCTCTCCAAATTTCAGCGGTTCTCTTCTCACCAGTAATCGAGCGACGAGAGCACGATCGTCGTGGAGACCATCCGGAAGTGGTATTCGGTGACCATCCGGTTTTAGAAAACGTGGGCGACGTTTTCACGCACCTAGCACTAGCAGCATCAATCACCTCATCATCAAACCAGCCATTCAAACACAAGCAAAGCAACGGTGAAACAACCAGCTTCCCGTTCCACAGGAACCCCCATCCCCACCCAGCGACAACGACGGGAGTGATGAGAGGAGCCGCGAGACCCAAAAACCGCGGGCCAAACCCCAAACCAACCCCCGGTATCGCGAAAAGCGGCCGCCGCAGCATCAGGGAAGCTGCATACCATGCACCTCACCACAACACCGCGTGCTCCGCGAATGCGTCGCACCTCGCCTCGCCCACTTGTGCGCCGCAGCCTTTGCTCCCGGACAAAACGCTACTTTTTGCAATCAATTCCCCCACATAACTTGCGGCTCGCCCAACTTGTGGGAGAGCAACGCGCAGATGCTTCCCCCCCCGCACGTCGCGTCACGGCGAAAAGTCGCGCGGGTTTTAACGCCCAAAAGGCGATCTTTTCCTCGTTAAACGAACGGCCGCTCGCACGGTCGCGGTCGGCCTAGTGGGGATGGTGGTGGGATGGCGACGCTCGCTGGCGGTGACGTCCAGGTCTTATCCGTTCACGGCGCCGGGCACACGCTTTTTTTGGGGGGTTGGGGTTATCTGCTGGCTGTCAAGTGGCTCTCACCTTGCGATTCCGACTTTGTAAACTAGTAATTGTGCGGATTGATGCTGGTTAGGAGTAATTTGTTGGGTGGAGGTCATGTCCAGCTGCTGCTTCACGCTGCAGCTTAGCTGGCTTTGGCTTTGGCCCCCGGGGAGTCTGGAGGAGCACTCAGCATGTAAAACATGTTTCTGTTTCAGTTTTTGTTTTACTTATGAGCAGGATACAACTTATGCTTATCTTGTGGGAGCTAGCTGGATAAGAAGTGGGGAGGTATAAAGGGGGAGGTATTGTGTCATCTCTACTAGTATATCATGGTAGTATTATATTGGGTTTGGAAGATAAGATTGCTGATGGTTTCCCTTGGAGGAATAAATTAACTTTCGATCAGGGTTGGGCAATCTTTTGTTTAATCGATCGGTGATGGCTTTTCGGCGGTAATCTTGTTCCACTCCGACGGCTCTTTGTTTACGCAATAACCTAGTATTCACAAAGTGGCTAATACAAGCTGTTGGCTACTGTACTGTGTATTAAAGAAGTGGCACTTGTGCTGACCGAGTGTTGATTTAGTTGCATACTCAAGCAAACATTGGGAGCTTATATTGTCACTTGAAAACAAACATTTTAGGGCTTTTCTGGAACGGATTGAGAGCTTATATTAGCACTTACGGAACAAAACACTAGAATTCCGTTCGAGTGAAAACTAGATGATTGCAAAAGCACAAAAAATAAATTCT